GAAATTCGTAAAATGCTCCCTATGCCCATCTAATCTTCGAAATATATATAGTAAATAAAATAAAAAGGAAATGTTTAGCCATTTCCGAGAAAGTGTTTTATGGTCTCGAGAGGCTGAAAATCACCCCCAACTTAAAGGAGCGTTTACATTTAAAAAAAAATCGTTAAATTTTCAGATAGGGCTCAATCTTTTCGTCTTGAACTCTACGTTTTGAAAATATAAAAACATTGTATGGTCCTCTTGTGAAAACAGCCTTAGAAATTTAAAAAATTGGAGAAATCGATAATTGTTACTTTGTAAACTACATTTTTTTCAATGATCATTGAAGAAGTGCACTTTATTGACCAAATTTTTATAAACCAATTACAACAATGTATTTTTCAGGAAAAAAGAAAAAAAATGGCATCCTTAAGTTTTTAATTTGACGCTTATTATTTATACGCTTATTAATAATATATTATAATGACGCCGTAAACATTCCAAATTTGCAATTTGACGAGTCGTGAAAAAATAATATAAGTTGGAATTCACGTAAAGTACACCCCTGCTTTTGTATTTTTTGCAGTAGAATCTTTTTATGTTATTATTTTTGCAAATTACCTAACCGTCACATTAATAGCAACCTTTTTTCCCCGTCCTAATGGGGCGTCGTAGGATCGCTTACACACTCAACTACGACGGCAGGTTTGCCAAAGCCGACTACAACAACCATGGGGTTGTTCCCACGGTCTATTCTGCTATCAGTACAGAACAACGGGAACAACTGGCATGGCACACCGCCCACCAGGTGGGCCGCCATCCTGTGCGTTTCTTGGCTTAGCGCCCCTCTGGATTGCCGGACGCTAAGAAGCCCCCTCCCACCATGACAAAGTGAACACACATTGGGAGGAGAGGGGATACCTACTCTAAGAGTTATGTATGCATGTACATATGTACTTATAAAATGCGAAGTTATAAACACAAAGGATGCAGAATATATAACTTTATTCTATACAACATTCTGTATATAACAAAAATTAATGACTTTATTGTGAATGTCTTTTTAAACGTAAGTAAATGCATGCTATCATTAAAATTTAATGTTCATAAAGGCGAAGTCGTTAAAACAATTTAATAATTTTAATAACTTTACTGTACTAACAATAAACTATTTTAAAATTATAACATTCAAAGTGTTCAGCACTTGTAACAATTGTAATATTCAAACTTAGCGAGAAGAATTATAAATTAAAAATTTACAAACCCCCTACGCAAATTAATTGTCATTTAACGATTACACTGGCACGCGTGGAGCAATTAATCTAGTAATCATACGCCAAAATGCCTTACATATTTTTAGAAAAGAGCTGATACTCTTACACTGCTGGACCGATATTAGCTAAACATAGCTAAGAACCACCGCAAGGAAACTGGCTTTCAAACGAAAAAAAAAACCGCATCGAAATCGGTCCATCTGTTTGAAAGCGACGATGTCACAGCAGACACACACACACACAGACAGACATCGACGTCAAACTTATAACACCCCTCAATTTGTTTGGTTTTAAAATGCTCGTAATTAGTCCCAGCGAGAGGGTAAATAAATAAAATTATTTATTGTATTAGTAGACCAATCGGAATCCGTTTATTTTAGAGAAAAAAATATATATTGAAAACCTGATGTTTTATGATTTTAAAATGTTAGCAGGTATATAAAGAATAGAAATCCGTAAAATGCCCTACATGCCCAGCTACTCCCGAGAAATGGGAGGGACGCAAAGCCTTGAAAAATAGTTTTTTTAATTTCCGGCTTACTGCGAGCCACTAGTGTATAGATAAAATTATAATAGTATCATTTGACGACACGTTTGGCTCAGTTTGTAGCGATCCTAGTAGGATCATCCTACTTGCTGTGCCAGCGGTCGCGGGTTCGAAACTCGCTGGGAGCATTCATTTGTGTGATGAGCACGAATGTTTGTACCCCAGTCATGGGTGTTTATATTTATTATATGTACATGTATTTAAAGTTATATATGTATATTGGCCCTATTCTTAACTATCTAGTATCCATAACACAAACCTCGTAACTTAACATAGAACTAGTTGGTGCTCTGTGTTAATGTTCTAACATATTTTTTATTTATATTTACTTATATCTCATGTTTTAGTATATAATTATAAATATAATTGTGTGTTATATCTGAACTTTCGTTGACTAAAGCTGAGCAAATCGTATTTAACTGCCACAACAGATACCTACAGATAACAGATAATTAATTAAATTCTGAAATGAAATTCTTATTATAAAAAAATGCATAACCTCCAGATTTATTACGTGGTTAACTACTTATAGCATTTGCTACATTCCTGCTATTAAGGCGAGGGAAAGCGATCATTTGCGAATGTCATATGGGGAGTATCTCACGATTATGCTTGACATTGGCCGAGCCTTTCAGCTCGCAGTACTGTGTAACAATGACGCACCTGAACTTCTAATTTGGATCTACGCAGATGAGGGTATTTTTTTTTATATTATAAACAACTAATCCATACTATCCATACTTAATTTTATAAATGTGAAAGTGTGTTTGTTTGTATGTCTTGGCCGATTGGCGTGGTTTTTGTGTGGAGATAGTTGGAGGGCTGGAGAGTGAAATAGGCTATTTTTTACCGCGGGAAATTATCTTTTTCTCACGGGAAAACACGTTATAATACAATCCGAAAAAATATTAATAATATACATGTTTTAGCATTTTTCGAAATTCATCTCTTAAGGGGGTAAAATAGCGGATGAAAGTTGTTATGAAACCTACCTTTATAGTGTTTTTTTTTTGTAGTTTTAGAGGGAGTGAAGCCGCGGATTCTGCTAGTAGGTATATAAATTAAACCTACTCTCAACGACCGCGGACCCGCCGGCGTTACAGTTAACAATAGATTTCTTAGAAATGTCATCTCTTGTAGGCTTGTGTTTGCCAAAATAAATATGATTTAAGAAAGGACTCAAAGTCAAAAAAAGGTTTTTATTTGGGTCAAAAAAAGGTTTTAATATAGATAATTTCAGGAAGTGTAGGTTTCTCAATAGGTGTTCTTTGACATGATGCTTCGGCCGCACTTTATAATTATGTACTTACCATTAGTAGATAATATTCAAAGTTATTATCGTTGCCAGCCTATTACGAGTAAAAGTGTAGAAATTAACTATTTCCATCCCTTTTAAAAAGTTTTAGTCCTTAGTGAAGGTTATTGTTTCACACGGTAGTATTTTGTTTTTTTTTGTCTATGAACATCAACTAATCTATCTCACGGGAACCGTACATTTTTCCAGGATAAAAAGTAACCTATGTGCTAATCCCGACTATGATCTATGTCTGTGCCAAATTTCATCCAGATCCGCTAAGCCGTTCTGGTGTGAAAGAGTCACAACAAACATCCGTCCATCCTCACAAAATTTCACATAGACATATATATTCATATATTCATATTTATGATTAGTATTACTTGAAACTTAGTATTAATGCTTTTCAATAAAATTAAATAAATACCTGTTTTTAACCGACTTCCAAAAAGGATTTGATAACCTTATCAATTCGTCGGAATCTTTTTTTTTTCTTTTTTTTTATGTATGTTCACCGATTACTCGAAGACGCCTGAACCGATTTGGATTTTTTTTTGTTTCAAAGGGTATACTTCCCGGGTGGTCCCATATAAATTTTATCGAAATCGTAGGTAGAGCGGTTTTTTTAAAAATCAACAATAAATATATATTTTTAAATAAATTGCTGAATCGAATATTTAAATAAAAAACTTTCTTCTTACAAATTACCTGCTTATTACGTCTACACTAAAAATGGAAAAATAAAAACTTTTTAACAAAAAATAAAAACCGACTTCCTACCTGGAAGCCAAGCAGCCTACAATATTTTAAGATATTAATATCTAATAGGTAAATATGTATGTTACGTATCGAAATATATTAGATTTGCTTTGCATCGGCTGGCACCGACTTCGAAAATATCTGATTAGGTATCTATTCTAAATGAAAACCTCCGTTTAGTTATTTTTTACATTTTAGTGCCTGGAAGTCGGTTTTTATTTTTTGTTAAAAAGTTTTTAGCATTTATCGATATTCATCCTAAAAGGGGAAATAGGGGATGAAAGTTTGTATAAAACCTTCCTTTTTAGATATTTTTTGTAGTTTTAGCGCGAGCGAAGCTGCGGGTTTTGATAGGTTATAATAATATATAAGTAGGTAGGTTTTGAGAACTTTATCAAACGATCCTTTTATAAATACGAAAATTTATATGTGTGTGTTACTTCTAATCTTTATACTAAAACAGCTGGATAGTTGTAGATGGAATTTAGTATCTGCACAGGATTCTTGTGCAGATACTAAATTCCATCCAAAAAATCCAGGTCATAATCCTGTGACAGAATCATGACCTGGAGTTATCGTTTGTAATAAAATTTGCAAAAAATGGCGTCTATGTGTATATAAGATTATACACAAATATACCTAATGTAAAAAAGTCGCACTCTATACGCAATTTCACGCGGCCGACTTTAAAATTAATCCATCCTTATAAACCGTATAATGAAAACACGCAACCACTAATTTCAACAAACGTCAAGAAGCCTTTAATTAATAACTATGAAACATTTACTTGCATTAACATATGGCGTAGTCTATGCTATCGATTGTCAGCACTAACGTAGAAAAACGGTAACCTTGGCGTCATACTTTTCTTCGCACGCTCACAGTTTAACTATATAATTTTAACTGGTGAATAGTTACGAAAATCATTAAGCTATATTATATAAGTATTTATTGATTACAGTAATTATTTATTATTTTCTATTAATTATAAAGTATGAAATTAGCGTTTTTGATACTGGCTAGAGCGAAGTACGACTTGCTTTTGACTTGGATCTGGAAAATAAAATAACTTTTATAATTTAACTATTTAAAAAAAAGTTAAGTTTTTATTTGATATCGCTTTTTCTGTGACCATGGTAAAATTGAAATGCGCGAATATTTTCGTCGTGGCACCAAAGCAATAGAGACGGTATGCAAAACCACCGACGTATAAAACCAGGTACCTACCGCAATGAATGTACCTACTGTGCGTTTATATTTTCATGACTTCCGTTCGTACGATATTTTTAATTTACGTCAAAATATAAGTCAATTATTTTGCAGACGCTAACCGTGTATCTTGAGATTCTGCATCTAATGCAATAATGCGGGAAAATTGGGATACATTTGAAGGTTTTATTTAATTTTTGTCATAATACATTAATAGCAAATCCATATACAATACCATAATATATAAAAAATTATTTGAAATAGTTTTTCCATTCTTCCTTTGAGATTCTTTGGTCAAAGTATACATAGAATATTCGCGTAGAGCATCTACGAGTTTGCTACGTAAGCGAAAAGTTAACAACGTTATAATATGTATGAATTGACTCTATTTTTCGTAGATTGTGTAGAACTTCGAATTTTAAACCAGATTATATCATAAAATATAATTTGTATGATTTATGTAGGATTCTATAATTTTAGCAGAACGATTAGCGACGCAATTTAAAATATATTATTCCTGATTGATACAAAGTAAAAATATTCTAAAATTATTCCACATATTAGAAACGTAAAATCTGCATAAGTTGTATATAAATATTAAAAGTACTTTAAAAAAAGCGATTTGAGATACCTTTTATCGATATTCGCCATAGGTTTTTTCTACTAAATACCTTATGTACATTCGATATGATTATGAATAGGTTCAATATAGATAAAAATTATAGCACGATAATGTATTGTGTACAACTATTGGTTTTTCTTGAGTATATCACATAATGACGACAAGATGTATAATATCGCCCGAAAAAGATTCTGTCATACCTTGCGGTTTACCAAAACGGTTTTGTTACACAGTTTCGAGTGATGTAAACGCCGTAGGACGAAACGTGATACAGTTAAAAAATATAAGTTAAACGGTTTTATTATAAAGAAACATAATAATGATGATAGATGATGAGAGATAATGTACTAAAAGCTAAAAAAATAATTAGGTAGGTTCCCCAGGTACCAGTCATTGGCGTAGAGTAACCTAAGTGATATGTAAATTCGACGTACCCCACCATTTTATTTTATTTTTCTGATATTTAAATGCCCTAGATTGATGAGGAGAGTGGTATGATGACTACTATTTACTATATACAATGATACTGAATACACATAATTGTATTGTCATTAGAACTAAGATGTGTACCTTTCAGGAGCATCAGTCTACAGGAAGGAGGTATAATTATTAATTATCTACTAAATTTTACCCACACTAACAAGGCGAGCTAAATAAAACCGATATGATTATTCGGAAAAGATTTTACACAAGCATTCACTTTTTATGAAAATTTTACACCCAACCCCGTTGTTATTAGGCAATGCCTTACCCATACTTATTGTACGTCACGATTGTCATCTAATTTAGCAATCAGTTAAAAAGTCATGTTTTTACTATTTAATATTTTACTTAAAGGTTTGTCCTTATGTAAGCTCTCCAGGTTTGACGCATATACATTATAGATATGTGTACATATGTTTGTCGCTCACACCAAAAATATTTAAAACGAATGAAAAACACATTAATAGTATTATGACGTGAAATTTAAGATATCTTCAGTATATATTAATAATTTTTATTATCAACCCACTTTAATTGCACTAACCACTTTTAATATGCACCAAATTGCTAAATTAATAAATAATAAATATATTGGGACATTAACAAACAGCACCATCTAGTTCCATGGTATGCTACGAGGTTTGTTTTATGTATACCAGATAGTTGATACACTACACATATATAACTTTAAATACATACATATTATAAATATAAACACCCATGACTGGAGTACAAACATTCGTGCTCATCACACAAATTAATGCCCCCAGCGGGACTCGAACCCGCAACCGCTAGCACAGCAAGTAGGGTCACTACAAACTGAGCCAAACCCTCCAACTATCTCCACACAAAAAAAGACGTCAATTTGACGTTTTTGATTTTGATGAATTTGACGTTTGACGTGAAAGAAGGACAAACAAACAAACACACTTTAACATTTATAATATTAGTATGGATATGCTTGTTAATGAAATAGTTGTCAGTTTTCAAAATCATTGAAAATCATTCAAGAGAAGGTTCAATCATTGAAGAGAAGGTCGTCAAATGCGTTGATAGTTTTAAATAATCTTATAATTGTTAAATTAAGTAACTGTGAACCTGCTCATTGACCAATTTAATAAAACTGTTTACTTCTAAAATATATTTTGTATTATACTTTAAGAAACTTTATTTCTGTGCATGCTGTGTTATTTGTAATTAATCACTACATTTAGTTCCTAGATTTTATATTTGTGTGTATTATTGTAAGTGATTGTAAATAAACCTAAAAAAATAATTAATAAAAAATAATGATTTCATCTGTAACATCTACCCTTCTTAAGTAAGCAATATTAGAAGTAAAGTTTAATCTGCTATTAATAGTCATTTCGTTTAGAAACTTTATTAGTATGTAAAATCCGGTAATCCATACTTCCATACTAATTTTATAAATGTGACAGTGTGTTTGTTTGTTTGTTTGTTTGTTTGTTTGTTTGTTTGTCCTTCTTTTACGTCAAAACGGATTGACGGATTGTAATATACAGGTTATGATAATATGACCCAAAAAAATATGATCAGAAGTACTTGAAACTTGGTATTCATGCTCTTCAATACAATTAAACAAGTACGTGTTTTGTGTATTTATCGAAATTTATCCCATTAAAGGGTAAAATAGGGAATGAGTTTTAGCGCAAACGAAGTCGCGGGTTCTGCTAGTAATAATATAATTTGATACCATCGAGCTAATCTAAAGATGGAGGATGGTCAAAGGAGGTGGAGTAACTCTTCTATAGGTAGTAAAACCTTCGGGTATATTTTATTTCATTTGTTTTTCGAGTCTGACACTTTGCATTTCGTCAAAAGTTTGTTAAATAAAAAAAAACTATACTATAATAAAACTGTAGAGGTCGAATGTCTGTACATAGAAAAACAATGCTAAAAACCGAGTCAGGGGGATGTAAGAAGACAAATAGAACAAGTCCAGATTTTTTTCAATTTTTTTGTTTCTCTGTCTGTTTGTTAATCTGTTTGCCTGTTTGTACGGGCTGATCTCCGAATCTATTGGACCGATTTAAATGAAATTTTGCATGGTGGTACCTTATATCCCCGGGCAACATCTTAGATACTTTTTATCCCGGAAAATTAAAGAGTTCGTGTGGGATAGCTAAAAAACTATAATAACTTATACAGATTAGTACACAACAACTTATGCACCTAATTTAGTAAAATTTGGCATGCTGATACCTTATATTGCCGGTCAAACAACAAGTTATAGTAGGGGAGCCCAAGAGGGGATTTTTGTAGTTACTCAAGCGCGGCAGATTAACATAAAAGAGGTGACCTTGCACTCTATTGAGTACTTTCACCATAATATAAGTCTTCTATATAAAGGCGCGCGTCTAGGGAAGCCGATCAAAATATTTAAAAAATGTTTTGATAAGGTAGAAATACTTGAAACCGTCAGATTAAGGTGTGGTAGGCTAGTCGCATCCTGAAAAGTGTCCAATTCAATAATCTGCCGATTTGCACAAGCCGAAGAGGCAAAAATCAAAATTATAGTCGATTTTTGCCTATCTATTTATTTTGTAAAAACAGTTGTTACTTTGATATGGGTAGGTACTAGCTCCTGAAACACTGTTTTATAGTTCAGAGGCTTCATATATTTATTATATGTATTGTATTCAGTCATTTTTACCGTCCCACTGTTGGGCACGTTACAAGATTTGCAAGTATAAAACATGAATGCATGTCTTCGACTGCATAATACTCGTACTATGTACCTTTGTCAACTTGTTCTCTCCTTTATAGCACTGACATATATATTTATTTTATTTTACAGTCGAACAAAGTATCCGCGGTCTCGCACACGCGGCTTATAGACGTAGGCGTGGTAGAAGAAGGAAGCAAACGGAAACGTAACAAAATCAAAACATCTAAGTACACTCTCCTCATGTTCATACCTAAAAACTTGAGTGAGCAGTTTCGGAGAGTCGTTAACTTCTATTTCTTGATTGTAACCGTTATCGCAATAATTATAGGTAAGTATCTATACTAATATTATAAAGAGGTAAAGTTTGTGAGTTTGTGAATTGTGACTTTGTGACGTTGTAGGGGGTAATCTCTAGATCTACTAAACCGATTTAGATGAAATTTGGTAAGAAGATAGTTTGAGACCCTGGAAAGAATATAGGACTTTTTATCCCGGAAATCATCCTTTAAGGGGGTGAAAATGGGGATGAAAGTTTGTACGGGGAATCAACCTAGGGACGAACCCGAGCGAAGCGAGGGTGAGTCGCTAGTTTTTGTATAATTTGGATCAAAGAATAGGATTCTCTATCTTTTCCTTGCATGGGACCCAATTTAGTAGTAGTAATTAAGTAGATCCAGAGATTACCTCCTACAACCTCACAAACTCACTAACTCCCAAACTTTACCTTTTTATAATAATTATACATATATTAAGTATAGATTATATTTTATTTTCAGTAGAAATAATTTTTTCTGTAATGACTTCATAAAATCGATTAGTAGGAACCATTTGCAGGTACAATAATTGTACCTGTTAATTATTAGATACACTCATTTTCCAAGTGGGTACCTATCAGTTATTGCAGGAAATGTCTACCCCACCTTTAGTATATAACATTATCAAGAATGAACTTGAAAGCATTGATGTTTCATTTAGCAAACAGTTATTATTCACATCATTGCTATTGGGCTTTGTAGATAAGTAAAACAAAATATCTCAGTCCTTATCTTGTTTAATGATGAATCCTTAACCGTTAATTTCGAATTTAATATTCTTTAATAAAAAAAAATATAATGTGAACATCAGTGAATAGAACATTATGACGTATATTTTTGACACTGTTAAAAACATATATATATATATCCACTCTGCTCTTGTAGTACTTTCTATTATATCGCAAATTACTGAAGCTTACGATATAGGGATAATCGTTTAGGATATAGGAAGCGAGGACAGGTTACTGATTCTGATTTATTTTAAAACAGATAGTCCAGTATCGCCGCTAACGAGTATCGCACCGTTGAGTTTCATGGTGTTCGTGACGGCGGTGAAGCAAGGTTATGAGGACTGGCTCCGGCATAAAGCTGATAACAAAGTCAACAATCAAATTGGTAAGCTTTATAGTAAACTAGCAGATCCCGTGGCTTCACTCGCGCTAAAACTACAAAAAAACTCTAAAACGTGGGTTTCATAACAACTTTCATCACCTATTTTACCCTCTTGAATCTCTCTTGGTTAAATTTTAGAAAAAGCTGAAATACGTAAGTCATTATTTTTGCCGTACTCAATTCATAGGAAATTTCATGCAAATATGTCCAAGGAATAAAAAGTTTTATACAAATTTTAATCCCCTATTTCACCTTCTTGGGGGTTGAATTTTGAGAAGTCCTTCCTTAGTGGAAGCCTTCGTCATATGAGGAACGTGTGCGAAATTTCAATTTTCTAGCCTTAAGGATTTGGCCTGTGCGTTGATACATCAGTCAATCGCTTTTGCCTTTTAGGTATATATTTAGAAGATAAGCTACGAGGGTTGTGTTATGGATACAAGATATTTGATACACTACACATGTATAACTTTAAATGAATATAAACACCAATGAGTGGAGTATATACATTCGTGCTCATAACACAAATGAATGCCCTCGGCGGGACTCGAACCTGCGAACGCTGGCATAGCCAGTAGGGTCACTGCAAACTGAGCCAAACGTTTCGTCGTTTTACTAGCTTTTCCTTAACTCATTAATGTGATAATTATTAATTATGATATTTTTAAAATGCCTTATATAATATATATTTTTAATAAATAAAATGCTTTCAAAATGAAATTGTCTTTTCTTTTCGGATTTTGTCGCGGTATTTTTATTTTGGTTCCCGACGTTTCCAATGCTTTACGGAAACCATGGTTACGGGACAAATTCCGAAAAGATAGTTTCCTTTTAAAATGTAAAATATACGCGTAAATATAGGAAAGTGTGCTATTTAATATTAACATAAACATTTGTTATATAAATAATTATCTCCATGACATGATACTTGACTGATAAGAATATTTTTAATGACTGGTAGCTATTGCCTGTTGTGTTTATATAAACGCCAAAATTGTAGAATAATATAGAGCAAGTGTTTTTCTTGCTTTTTCCGTTTAATGTAGATGCAATAGGTATTTGTTATCAGAACTTATCAGACCCCCCAGGGCTCTCTGATATGACTTAACGTCTGCTTTTAACACGTAAGACGGTAACGGTAAAAAAATGTAAGCAAACAAAAAAAGACAGAATATATATATATATATATTTTATATATATATTTTATATATATATATATATATATATATATATATATATATATATATATATAATCAAAGAAAATTAAAAAAAAATAGATAAGATTATCATTCAAGATAAATTGAATTTGTGTCTATTTCTAAGAACCGTTGGGTTGAACTATAGATTTAGTTTAGTTTAGATTAGTATTAAAATGCAAAAACCTTTACAATACGCGTGTGAAATATGCGTGTGATTCAAATAAAGGTGATTTTTTTAATAATGTTTTATTGCTTTTGAATTAAGCATAGGTTTTATGTCAATATTTTTAAAGTGCCTAACTTCCTTTTGATTAAGAAAATAATGCAAAAGTGCAAATGTTGGTGGGAAATTCAAAGTAGTCAAAACGTACGCCATCGGTCAGACCGAATATGACGTCAAATTATAATTATTATGACAGAGCGATTAGCGATTTTGTTACTACAAGCTAAAGTCGTCATTTTTCTATGTATGATACTTTGACGTCACACCAAGCGCGCGGAATGGAGTATCTGTATCGGTGTAATATTTTTATTTTTTATACTAAATTTTAGTTTTTTGGAGCTGAATATTTTTTACAATTATATAACGATGATAGCTATTGTATAAAAAACATCACGCATATTCCCTATTGAGTAAACTTCCGTTTTCGTTACTAAAAATATTTTTTCTTATTTTCTTTTTTTACTTAAGAGTTAAGTGTGTTAATTTATCTACTTTGTTCGCAGTAGAAGTAGTGTACAAAGGTGTTATAAAAGAGGTTCGTAATTCTTCAATCGCTCCCGGTACATTAGTGCGAGTGAAACGCGGTAAAGAAGTGCCGGCAGATTTAGTGCTATTGTGTTCAGCGAGCGAGAAGGGCAAGTGTTATGTGACTACGGCCAACTTGGATGGAGAGACTAATCTGAAGACCTTAAGGGTTCCACCGCCATTAGTTGGATATACAGCAGGTATTTCGAAATTAAACTTTCTCACGAGACCCACTCTCACTGATAGAGATATCACTCCAAGATGAAATCATGGGTTTTCTTCTAAATTAAAGCAACTTATTTCTTTTATGAGCTTATCTAACCGTCACTTTGTTTCTGTCTAAATTTCTTACTCATTTATAGATTAGATTACCGTTTATATTTATTATTCATAGCGATATTTTTGCACTTTAGATATTATATAGAATCAATATGATGGATAACATCGCGAAAAGCTGGTATGGTACTGTAATTGACCTCGCTCACTTCTAATAAAAGATAATTTTATCTCTTTTATCTTAAATTCGCAACCCAAATCTCTATCTCGTATAATCCATCGGTGACAAGAAATATATCATATTAACTACATAATGCGTGCGTAAGTTAATGGTTTGATAACCAGCCTTTCCTGAATTAATGTAGATATTGATCGCCTCATTTAGGTATATAATACTAGCAGAACCTGCGGCTTCGCTCGCGCTAAAACTACAAAAAATCTTTAAAAAGGTAGTTTCATACAAACTTTAATCCCATATTTTACCCCCTTATTGGATGAATTTCAAAGGATGCTAAAAAACGTATTTATTTATTAATTGAAGATATATTTATTATATTATTAATTATATTGAAGAGCATTAATACCAAGTTTCAAGTAATTCTGACCATAAATATTTTTTTGGATTGTATTATAACGTATTTTCCCGTGGGTAACGTATCTCCCGCGGTAAATAGCCTATGTCACTCTCCAGCCCTCCAACTATCTCCACACAAAAAATCACGCCAATCCGCCACTCCGTTTCGACGTGAAAGAAGGACAAACAAAGAAACAAATAAACACACTTTCACATTTATAATATTAAGTATGGATATGGATTATAATATTATTATATGATATAAGTAAGATAGTACATACATATTTGTATAATAACTTGTGTTGTTTTTGTAGATATAATCCCACAGGGAATCCGCATAGAGGTCCCGCACCCTGTTGCAGATTTGTACACGTTTTACGGTCGCTTAGATATTCCCAATTTTAATAGTTTGCCTCTCAGTACTGATAACTTGATGCTCAGAGGGTCGAGGGTCAAAAATACCGAATGGGCTATTGGGTGTGCTGTTTATACGGGTAAGGACTCAGATTTTATGGATATTAGTGATTTATGCTTTTTACTTTCCAGTTTAGTTACACTTAGGTAACTTGAATTTAAGGTTTTAGGATTTTTGTTTCATAGTTTTGTTTGGCTATAAAAAAATCTCATCCATCTGTATATTAAAAGATCAATTTTAAAAATATCATAGATCTCACAAAATAATATAATATTCATGATGATTATAAATATTATATTACTTTGTAAGTGAAAACGTACACCAACTTTAAAATCACTTTAAAAGCTATTTCGATATAGAACCATGAAAATCGAAAGCAAAAATATCGTATAACATTCACAAAATTATATTCAATTCAAGACTTCGTGAAAATAGTAATTAACTTATTTCATTTCAGGCGAAGAAACAAAATTGGCTCTCAATTCCAAATACTCGGGGAACAAGTTCTCATCTTCTGAAACGGCAGTCAATGGATTTTTGATCCTTTTTATATATTTGTTGATATTAGAAATAACTGCCTCATTAGTGGCAAAGACGTTATTGGAAAAGTGGTATACAGGCCGTGATATATATTTGGGACCGGGGCCGGAGTTTCCTTTGGGTGTATCAAATATTTTACAGGACTTATTCTCCTTTTTGTTACTCTATTATTACATCATCCCTATGTCTTTATATGTCACCATTGAGCTATATAAGTTTATTGGTAAGTGAATTGTTATTTTATTTGATCATATAGTATTTGTTTTGGTAATATTAAAGTGTGAAACAAACGATCTATACTTTCCCTCTGTTTGCCATATAGAAGACACATATCAATATTTTGTTTAATTTTGCAAAAGACAGTCCACCACAGTCTCTTACCCTGAACTATCGAAAAGACTAATAAGGCTCTATCGAAAATAATAAAATAGATTTAAAAATATATATAATAAAATGTTTTAACGGTTAGTATAGATTTCTCAGAGATGAGTTATTTTCCCGGAGTGAAATGTATTCTATATGTATTATGACCCAGCTATCATCATACCCATCAAAATCTGTCCAGTAGTTTTCTCGTGATGTGTTTCCATGTTTCGATGACAGACAGAAAAATAAACAGATAAAAATTATAGAAACTATGGATTCAGCCTTTGTATCAATAATAATGACTATTTCAATAACGTTTTCCATAAAATATTTCATGAACAGACTCGACTCAGAATTTTTTTATATGTATAGACTGTCTAGATTAACAAGAAATGTTTAATTGAAAACACAGGTGCACTGTTCATCGGTTGGGACGAAGATCTCCGATGTGAGGAGACGGGCAGGCCTGCCGTGGCCAACACGTCCGACCTTAATGAGGAATTAGGTCAAGTTGAAGTGCTTTTCTCAGATAAAACCGGCACTTTGACGAAGAATCTCATGGTATTCAAATCATGCTCCATAAAGGGTCGAGTTTACGAAGAAAGAGACTCGAAATTGTACGATACCGAACGGTTAGACGAGCCCGTTGATACACTTCAGGTTAGTGTAATTATCCTAAGCAACTTATATAAATATGTGCTTACGACAGGATCTACAAACGTACTACGAGTATATATAATTTTTTTTTTATTATATTGTATTCTATTGTATTCAGCCATTTTTAACGTCCCACTGCTGTGTACGGTCCTTCCTTCAATATGAGGGGGATCAGGCCAAAGTTCACCGCTCTGGACAAGTGCGGGTTGGTGGATTTCACATGTCTTTCGAGAACTGGCTAGGTTCTCTCAGACATGGAGGTTTCCTCAAGATGTTTTTCTTCTGTATAAGATAAATGATAATCATGTTGGAAAATGATTCGCACAAGAAAATATCAGACGTGCGAGACCCGGGATTTGAACCCACTTCAGTCGGTTTCCCAAGTGAGCGCGTTACAACTGGGCTACCACTGCCTCTAAATAACTTTTGCTTTTCAAATACTTTAGTTCGTGAAGATTTTTAGAATATAAGTACATAGTATAGGTATTTACCTATGTAGATAGTAGTAGAGTAACTAAAGAATAAAGATCTTAATGTAAAGACAACTTAAATAGTAGGCTAATATAAATTGAACAAGGATTTATGTTTTAGTTCCAGCATTTCTAATATTTCATATATCTTAATATATATAATTTTTCCGTACGTGTGTTTGTTAACCTACTCCTCCTAAAGGACTGGACCGATTTGGATGAAATTTTTCAGTAGGTGGCGCTGCAGTCGGTGTGCCACTGATTATCTCCTAAGCGACAGGAACGATTTTAATTATATTTTTTGTGTATGTTCGAGTCGAGTTCGAGTTCGGGTCCTTGCAAGGTCTGAAAATACAAATGGACCCGCTAGGTGGCGCTGCAGTCGATGATGGGTGCCGGTTGCGGGACTGTGGTCGCAGGCCCGCATCCGGCGGAGGAGTAGGCCGCGGCGGGAGAGGAGTGCCGGTATTTCGGTGCGCCGTTCTCCCTACCTTCCGCGGCCTAGACGGGGCCGCCACCGTTCGATGGCGGACGCGGTGGGGCTGCAGGGGAAGAGGAGTGTCGGTGTTTCGTTGCCGCTCTCCCTGTCCTCTGCAGCCGATTGGAGGTGGCCCACTTCGGTGGGCGGTGGTTAGGTTTTATGGGGCTGCTCCGGGTACCTCTCTGGCGTAGCAGAGTTGACTGTGGAGCAGCCCCATTGGTTTGGTGGTCTGCCTTTTTAGGCAGACCTGCCGCCGGGGCGCCGTAGTAGTTATGCGCAAGCGATCCTGCGGCGTCCCATTCAGGCGGAGGGGAGGGGAATGTCGGGTTTTAGTGGGTAGTACCGGCTCTTCTAGCCGGTAAGCCCCACATCACCACCTGGGGGATCAGGTGGTATGCGTAAATGCATTTCCCGACATAAAAAAAAAAAAAAAAAAAAAGGTGGCGCTGCAGTCGAATTGTCACTAAAATTTCATAAAAGCCTCCATTTTCCAAGCAATAAATAAATTTAAATTATTGATTAAATAAAATAAAAATCGATGTATTTATGTATGTTTCCTAAGGACACCAAAACAGCTGGAGCGATTTTGATGAAATTTTCATGTAATCTTCAGATTAGCCCAGCGGGTGATCCTTTGAATTTTGTTAGCGATCGGAAGTTTGGACGCGGGCGAAGCCGCGGTTGCTAGTATACATATATAAAACAAAGTCGGGTTTGTTACAACACTTGTAACTTGAGAACTGCTGGACCGATTTTTATGATCTTTATTTTGTTGGATTTGTCTTCACTCCTAATAGCAGAATACTTATTAAAACATCGGAAAAAACACGAAAAAAAGAAAAATTGAAACAAAAACTATTCCACACTAAGCGCCAAAACAAACGAAGCAAGTCAGTCGCTAGTTTTATAATTGAATAAGTTTCATTAAAATTAACTTACAATATTGCTATTGGGTTTGCTATAAATAGCCTATGTTATAATAAGTTATTATAATAAGCTAGATTATTTCGCATATCACACACTATGGCCGTTGCAGCGAGATTAGATTGTTTCAATTTATTTTATTGTAATAGAAATAAAAGTCGTGCATCTAATTGTACGCCTTTTTAATTTCCCCTTGTTTACTTTTTATTAAAATCTGTTAAAAAACATAATTTATAAAAAAGATATTAAAAAAGGTCTTAATAAAAAATAGAATATTGTAAAAAGGATGTGTGGGTAGTATGTATATTTGTACCTACAACAAATTCCGTTGAACATTTACAGCATGTAACAAAGAACAATACACTCTCTTTCTCAAAAACTAGTTCATGTACAAACACCCTTTTTTAATATCAAAATAATTGATTAAATAATGTCAAATTTTAAAAATTATAATTTGGAGTTAAAGAGATAAGGTTTATCAAATGAAGACAACTTTTCAGAAAAAGATTAACTTTTATCGTAGTCTATTTTGTTTGCTGGAGGAGTGTAGCGTCATGTATTGTTTATCGCTTTATCATTTGTCAATTAATGACACCGCAATATAAATGTACTTGTAAGTAATCCGCTAAAAATATTTTAATACGAGCCCTCGCCCACAGATCATATAATTCATTTCAATTCTTTAGTTTTGTAGCTTCTAGGAGTGCCTTCTGGCAAAATTTACTTCGTCAATGTCGCGTAGAATAGAGAAAGCACGTTATACCTAATATGTAGAATGACCGTTAAAATAGGAGAAAAAAAAACACTAATCTGATTACTATACCGTGCTGAAGTCATGTCCAGGTTGTTAGGCTAAGCTAAATTACTTAAAAAATAATGAAATCGTGTAACATACATTTTACTTTTGCTGTATTTTTATATGTATATATGACGACACGTTAGGTCAGTTTGTAGTGCTGTGCCCTACTTGCTGTGCCGGCGATCGCGGTTTTGAGTCCCGCTGGGGGCATTCATGTGTGTGATGAGCACGAATGTTCTCCAGTCATGGGTATTTATATTTATAATATTATTTACATACATATTATTAACTTTAAGCACATATTTAAAGTTACATTATATGTGTAGTGTATCAACTATCTGGTATCCCATAACACAAGCCTCGTAGCTTACCATGGCACTGGATGCTGCTGTGTGTTAACCGTTTCCCTGTCCCATGAGTCATGTATGAACATTTCGATTGTGTCTATTTTGCGGACAGATAATCTGTTAAATGTCCCAACATATATATCGACGGGTGAAAGGCTATTTGGTTTAAGCGACATTTGCTTAACTTTACAGGAGAACCAATTTATTAAAAAAAAATTCAAAAAAAAAGTCATTAAATTAGCTCCAGCCCTCCAACTATCTCCACACAAAATCTCACGCCTATCCGTCACTCCGTTTTGACGTGAAAGAAAGACAAACAAACAAACACACTTTCACATTTATAATACTTATTAGTATGGATAAGCTCTCCTGTCCGCCGCAAGTAAAATGGAATATACTTCGTGTGTTCTCCATTTTACGTGACATTGGCGAAGTAATCTGGTTAATGTTGGTAATTGGCTCAACTGGCACACTTTGAGGCCATTAACAAAAGAACTGAATTGAAAATCAAATATAAAGTGTAACTTAATTAAATATTTAATATTTAATTAGAATTTAGAACTAAACGATAGGGATTTTGATAGCTATTCAGTCGCTAGCTGCATGTTACTCCTGACATAGATTGTACAACTCTATTAGTCTAATCTAGTTAACTGACTCTAATATAATTTTCGTCTAATATGGAGAAGTGCTTACTTATGTATGTACGATGTATTACGTCGATGAATTTCCTGTCTCCGTAAATACAAAAAAAAGTGACGTACTAAAGTTAAAATATATACTGCGAATACGATTGCTTTATACCAGTGTTTCCCAGACATTGTCATGCCATGGCTTGGTAATTTTCATACTGCCCCTTCGTGACCATAGTTTATAACCCCCAAACCAATAACTTTCCAAAGTATACTTCGATATCAGCTATTCAGTGAGAAGTAAGGAGCTGCTTACTTTTTTTTACCAAAGAATACAAGTTTGCCGCAAATGATGAAAGTTTTGTCCTGAGATCTGGTTCCATTTCAAGTCGGTTTCTATACCTATTTTTAGATTTTGTGTATTTTTGTCGACAATTAGATATAACCAAAAACCTATCAATGGTCTTGTCTCGAATATGTCGGGAATGCTGCGAACTGGTATTTTGTTTTGATGGCCCGGTACTGAGTCGCGACCCACCAAATAGGAAACACTGCTTTATACAATAAGACTTGACCAAGATTATAAAAACAATAAATTATTGTTTTTGTTCTTGTCATATTTAGGTATATGTAGGTGCTATATTTGAAGTCATAATTTTATCATGTAATAAAACTTTGCTGTCAGCTGCTATAAGCTACGCAACTTCATGTACATTGTACGTAATAAAATCTAATCTATACATATTATGTATAATAAAATAGTGACAAAGCAAAATCTATACATGAAATATTTTTTAAAAACAATGACTGTAACGTATTGTGTCATTGTGCATATGGACCCCACGATAGTTATTGAAATTTTTGTTTGTTTGTCTGCATGTTTAGTTATCTGTTTGTCTGTGTGCATTTCACGCAAAAAGTATTGAACTAATTTTAACTTTGTGTGGTAATAACTTATTACTCGGGTCAACATTTTTCTGTAGTAAAAGGTGGATACCTTTTTCATTTCCACGGGAAAACATTAACTGGTTCTATCGAGTCGCCTTATTTTATATGGCTAACGCTTGTTAAACTTTAAGAGATCCATCAAAACAATGTATCTATCTATGTATGTTTTAAAAAACGGCCTACAGAAAAGTCTTGCAATAGCTATATTCCTATATCCTAAGGTACACTTACAATAACTATTTTCAGAGAGGCACGCACTTGAGCGAAACGAGGATAATCATTAAAGGAAACTAAAAGACATCATTTACTCGTATGTGTCGATTTTTCAAAATTTTTAATTTGAAGATGCTACTATTAAGTAAGTTAATAACGTCATTAAAAAGAACTAATATAAAATTCTAATAAGTAAGAAATCATTTACTAAAATTAACTATATCAGTCTTCAGGATATACTGAAGCTGCAGGTTCAGAAAACCTGAACAATTCTTTCCATTTGAAACTTCATTTTAATATAAACATATAAAGAAATTCTAAATTATAAGTTTGTGTCCTTGTAATTAGTTCATAAATTAATATTTTACTTACTTACCTATTAAATTTACTTATTTACTTAATATGGGGTGAAGTTAGATAAGAAAAGAAGAATAGAATATATATACATATTTCATTGTGATTAACTAAACATTTCACTACCCCAATTGCACTTGAGGGCCGCCAAAAGCTCATGAAAGCGGCTTCCGGCAGCTTTTCTGTCTAAATCAAAAGTAATGCGAAACTTCAATTTAAAACATTTAGCTCTGAAACTTCCCGAAACCAAAGCTATAAAGCCTAAATATAAGATTTTATAACTACATAAGATGTTATCGTAACCTTGAATGAATCTAAAGTGTTTTTTGATAAAAATCGCAAAACATATCTTCGATAAAACATGCTTTAGGTATTAGGATGATAACACCAACTTTTATCTTGACCTTTTTTGTAAATCTAATGTGGAAGAAGAATAAGAATTTTTCTTATTTTTGTCGTTCTTTATAAGCATATTTATACTAATATTATAAAGAGGTAAAGTTTGTGAGTTTGTGACATTGTAGGGGGTAATCTCTGGATCTACTGAACCGATTTAGATGACATTTGGTAAGAAGATAGTTTGAGACCCTGGGAAGGACCTAGGATACTTTTTATCCTGGAAATCATCCCTTAAGGGGGTGAAAATGAGGATGAAAGTTTGTATGGGGAATCAAGCTAGGGACGAACCCGAGCGAAGCAAGGGTGAGTCGCTAGTCTATGCATATAATAAAATCGTAAGTAAGCCGAATCCATACATTAAATATTTTTTGGAAAATATTATTGAAAAAGACTTTATTATCGATACGGAGGCCGAATCTATAGTTTTTAGAATTTTTTTGTCTGTCTGCCTGTGACCGCATCACGGAAAAACCACTGGAGGGATTTTGATGAAATTTGGTAAGATGATATCTAGTTATCCGGGTCAATATATAGGATACTTTTTACTGCGGGGAAATATTTCATCTCTGAGAAATCTATACTAAAAGTTAAAACGTAACTATAAGGAACGTAACCGAGCGAAGCGAGGGTGAGTCGCTAGTATATTATAATTAAATGATATTTATATTAAAATTTATGTATGTATGAACTACTAATAACTTACTAAATTCCGTTCTTCGATTTCTGTGGGATAAAATGCATAAATATTTTTTCTAATCATGGTAGTAATTCCAAATAGAGTTTTCGAATGACCACAAACAAACATAATCTTTAACTTTTTATAATATTAGTATAGATTTAGTGCTAATATACATGTCCAATCCAGAAAAGATACAACATGCTTATCAGATATCCAAAAATTTAATATATGTAATCTGCACCGAATATGATTTTATTATCCTTCCCTACTATTAATAATTTTATGATGATATTAGTCGATCGTTTTTTGTTTTTTCATGCACAAATGGAGTAGTTTATCGAAGTAGTAGCAAGAAGTTGAGTATATAAATAGTTTATACGTCAGGGAGTGTGAAGCAACACGAGACACGTAACCCGACCGCCTTGTTTCTAATTGTAAAAGTTCTCTATCGCGACTGAACAATACAAAGTATGAAAGTAGTTATAAAATGTTATACTACATCATCTTTTTTCTATTTCAGACAGATATCAAATTTTTCTTCACAATTCTCGCGTTATGTCACTCAGTACAATTATCTGGCGAGGATATGAAAACGTTGAGCGCGCGTTTGTCCGGGAACCAAAACTTACAGATTATGAACTTATTTAGAAGGAAAAAGCAGTCTAAAGTGAATGGAAACAACGTCCTAAATGACGTAAACTGGAACGCTATTATTAATGCAAATGGCAGTAAAATGGACTACCAAGGCAGTAGTCCCGATGAAAAAGCGTTAGTAGAAGCGGCCGATAGAGTCGGCGTAACCTTTTTAGGAGAAGAAGGCAACAATTTGTTGGTTAAAGTTGGTAATCACACGGAAATGTATGAAAGGTTACAGTTGATAGAGTTCACTTCAGAAAGGAAGCGAATGTCTATCATTGTTAGGGATAAAGATGGAAAAGTAAGTTTTGATACAATCTTTTTATTATTACAAATACATATTTGCACATATAATGAAATTCTAACTGAGTCGAATCTGCAATGTATATACCTATAATGTAATTATTTTTCGAAAATCTTATTGAAATAGTCATTATTATCGATACAGAGGCCGTATCTATAGTTTTTAGAAATTTTATCTATCTGTCTGTCTGTCTGTCCGTCTGGGAACGCAGCACAAGAAAACCACTGAACAGATTTTTATGAAACTTGTTATGATGACAGCTGGTTATTAGGGTCAACCTTTAGGATACTTTTTACTGCAGGATAATATATCATCTCTGAGAAATCTATACTAAACGTTAAAACGTAACATGGGACGAACCCGAGGGGAGCGAGGGTTAGTCGCTAGTAATTTATATAAGTATATTTTATTACCGATGGTTGTTTTACCTACTAAGTGTCGTTAAGCTATAAATTTATATATTTTTATATCTTGCAGTATTTTTTTTCAGATTTGGTTATTTTGTAAAGGAGCTGAAACATCAGTATTTCCAATTTGCAAAGACTCTGTATTAATAGAACAGACGGAAAGAGATATCAATTACTTTGCGAATGAGGGTCTCAGAACTCTCGCGATTGCGTACAGAGAAATACCTGCTGAAGAATATGTAAAGGTGGCTGAATGTTAGTAATAAAGTATAAAATTATTTTAAAATTGTTTTTAATGATTGATAGATAAATTGAGTATATTATTTCATAAAATTGCATGTATGTATTTCAAAATTGTAAGTTAATAATCCTACCAATATTATAAACACGAAAGTTAGTAGGTATGGATGTATGTTGCTCTTTCATGCAAAAACTACTGAATTGATTTTGATGAAACTTTACACTAATATAGCTCATACATCAGAATAACACATAGACTACTTTATATCCCGGAAAAATGTACGGTTCCCGTGGGATAGATTTGTTTTTGTTTTTCTAGAGGCGAATCTGAGCGAAGAGAGGGTGAGCCGCTAGTAAACTATACCTATGTATATGTGAATTCCCTATTTACAATCTATTTTTTTGAGAAAACCCCAATTCTGAAATCCAAAATTTTTGAGAATTGGGTTTTACTGACCTGGCTTGTTAAAACTGAGATCAGCGATAATATTTTCTATACAATCTAAACAATAGTAAATCTTCTACCTTCTCCATAGCCATAAAAGTTCTATAGAAGTCTTCCGTTTTACTTAAAAAAATGATCTAAATCAAAATCTCCCTCTTTATTTACCAATAAAGTCTGCAGAAAGTTCTTCACGTATCTATGTAAGTAATCTATGTCACTTTCCCCTCTTTCTTCCATAGGATTATATTTTCCATAGGATTGTAAATGCATCGTCGTATTTTCATGAAAATGATCTAAAATAAACCTCTTTTCCTACTCTACCTTCCATCCAAAGTTGTGATTATCGAATTTTAAATAAATGATATAATACAACCCTCTTTCCCTGCTCTCTTCTTCCTTCCGTTATGTAAATGGTTCGTTGGATTCGCATATCATCTAAAACAACCATCTTTCTCAGCGATAAACACAAGAGTCGGTAAATAGGTAATTGAATATTTATGTTAATACCTAGTGGTATAAAACAGAGGGTTGTTTTCAGCAATAAACACAACGGATACGTCTCAAGGCGGGCTGGTGGCGGCCACGCTGCGCTACCACGCGCTGGAGCACTCGCTGTCGCTGCTGGGTGCATCGGCGGTGCAGGACGTGCTGCAGGACGGCGTGGCCGACACCATCGCGGCGCTACGGCGCGCCTCCGTGCGCGTGTGGGTGCTCACGGGGGATAAGGTCACTTTGTTTTTTTTTGTTTTTTTTTTACAGGGCAAAGGTGATGGTACGTGCGGCCTGGATGATGGTAGGCTGTACACTAGACATAAACAGGGTAGAATGCAGTAAATTAAGCAGAGAGATTTCTCCAATCAAGTCAGCTCTGTCATGTGACACGGTGCGACTGAGTACTATGCTATGTTGTTCTATATTGTTGGATATAAACTTATTTTTTTGTAAAATAAAATAAAACATTATATCTGCTCTATTACTAATACATTCGTAACGGTAAGAAACTATCCACTCTTGTTATCACTAAAGCATTTTAACACGCTTTTATTGGCTTTTACTAGGTATATATGTAAACAAATCCATGAAGTCAATTTTAAATTATTTCTAATTATCGTGATTTATCCGGCATACCCTTCTCTTTACCCCAACGGACAGTTAAAATTTATCTTATATATATCTATCTCTTTCCCACAGGTAGAGACAGCAATCAACGTAGCACAATCCTGCGCTCACATATCCGAGAACGACCGCCGTCTCTTTCTAATAGGCATAGAAACAGAAGAAGCTCTCAAGACGCACTTAGAGCTGTGCCTGCGCACGCTTGGCGAGCCCAGCTACCGCGACGTGTCGCTGGTGGTGGACGGCACCAGCGTGGCCACCATCCTGGACACACCCTACGCGCCCGTCTTCGTGGATATATCCCTCCAGTGTAATGCCGTGCTTTGCTGTCGGCTCTCTCCTATACAGAAAGCTAAGGTGAGCTGTTATTAGTTAAAGAAATTGATTATAGCACTGCGTTACCTAAATCCGCATTTAAATAAAGCTTATGCATGATTCGAATACGCCATATTAAGATTCTGCTATGATTAATCTACTTTATTATGACATATCATAGGTACATACGAGTACTTTATATATAAATGACAACCAAAAGAAATAACATTTGGATTTGTTAGTAAGAAATAATTGATCTAAATGATATATATATTTATAATGAATTGATTTCTATATCTAAATTATCATGTGCTGTTTTGATCATTTCTTTGGGTTTCTTAATTTATTTACGATAGTTAAGAAAAATGGTACATTACGGTACGGAGCGTTTGGCTCCCTTGCAACATTCGGGCCGTAGCTCACACCGTGCAATAATAGCTTACTTAAATCACACGTATTCTTATGTGCTATCATTTCCTAGATATCGTAAACAAATTGTAGAAATTGCTTCACATCCATATTATTAATAAAGTACCTCATACACAGATAGTAAAATTAGTAAAACAAAGCCCCAAACGGCCGATAACCGCCGCCATCGGCGATGGCGCCAACGACATCTCCATGATACAGGAGGCCCACGTCGGCTTCGGCCTATTCGGTAAAGAGGGACATCAAGCTGCCAGGTAATTATTCTCTTTCAATCATCGATCAAAAAAGTACTAGATACACAATCAACGACAAAGTATGTCCTCACCGAATGAGCGCCTAATTGAACATTTGAGCGCGCTTTTAATTTTTTTTGTGAAAACTACTTTAAGCATTACATTTAAGGTTCAATATACATTATTGCATATGTGTTTCAACTAGAATAATTACCTGAACACAATTGGTGCCAGTTTTAAGAGAACTTTTACATGGGATTGTGTATCTACTACTTTTTTTATCGATAGTAGATCTAGATAGAATAGTATATGTAGATCTAGCAGTTATTACTTATAATAACACCTACCTTAGTGTTATAGCGCTTTAGAGTGTAAAGCTTAATGATGTTATTTATCGCGTTAATAGAAAATCGTGCACATTTAAACTTACACGGTGGATTGTTCTTCTGGATTTCATTTATTGTTACGTCCGCTTCGTTTGGGGGAGTCCTGAGTTGCCCTTTGTAGTTGTACCTACTATTATTTATATAACAGCGCTATCTCTTGGCAAATTTTATCATTAACAATAACCTGTATGTTCCTCTCGGTTATATCCTTATTACTATCTATATAATACAAAAATTCATCGAAATAGGTTAAGTTCTTTCAGAGTTAAGTAGAAACAAGCATTTTAATATTTACTTATAAAATAACAATAACGTATAGTAATGAACTAATATAGATATGCAATCTATAACAGTGCAGAAAAATATATAATATGATTAGCCAATTGCCATATTGGAAAATGGAAATGACTGAAATCCTCTTTAGGATCTTCATCGAGTTTCAATGAAAAGTAAATATTTCTATTTTACTATCAGATCAGCAGACTATGCGTTCACAAAGTTTTGTATGATAAAGAAGGTTCTACTTGTGATGGGGCATTGGTACTACCAGCGGATGGCCACGCTCATACACTACTTCTTCTACAAGAATCTGGTGATGGGCAACATTATTGTGAGTATTTACTGTATTCAACGCTTTTTAATGCCCCACTGCTGGGCACGGTCTTCTCTTTAATACGAGGAGGATCTGGCTATAGTCCACCGCCCCGGCCAAGTGCGGGTTGGCTGTACATGTCCTTCGAAAACTTGTTAAACTCTCATGAAGGTTTCTTCCCGATGTTTTCCTTTACCGTAAGACAAGTGGTAATCATGTGTGAAATTATTCCCACATCAAAAAAAATCAGAGGTGAGAGACCCACTTCACTTTACTTTATTATTTGTACATATTTGAAACTAAAATGTAGGGGTTTCAATTCGGATGTATATTTTTTTAGTGTAATGTGTGCATCCTACGCGATATACCTATACCGCTTTAAGTGAAGTGATTTTGATGATTAATTTTTAAATAAAAACTTTTCTAAAAGAGGTTCGAGGGTCTACTATGATACTAAGTCAATATATATTACTAGCGACTCACCCTCGCTTCGCTCGGGTTCGTCCCTAGGTACGTTTTAACGGTTAGTATGAAATACAAATCTTTGAATTTCTCGGCTATTCTGTACTATAATATGCATGTATTATACATAATATAAACCTTCCTCTTGAATCACTCTATCTATTAAAAAAAACCACATCAAAATCTGTTGCGTAGTTTTAAAGTTCTAAGCATACTTAGGGACAGACAGACAACGGAAAGCGACTTTGTTTCATAATATGTAGTGATGTTAATTATTTGTATTTCATTATACTTTCTTAGATTTACGCATTTTGAATAAAACTTTTTTTATGTTTTTGGACCTTTATTTTAATTTGTTGAATGTTTCGTTTGCTTTACAGCAAACAATGAAGAGTCTTCCGACTATGTTTGCTGTAAAAGTTTCTAGACACCAATCGAAATAAAACCACAGAAAATTTAGAAATATATTTATTTATTTGTTTTTTTGTTTATTTGATTCGAAGCATTTGTATTCCAGTTACTATTCCAAACAAACTCTGCGTTCTCAACGCAGTCGATATTCGACTCGATGTACTTGACGTTTTACAACCTGGTGTTCACGTCGGTGCCGTGCCTGCTGCTGGCCGTCACCGACCAGCGCTACCCCGCAGACTTGCTGCTCGAGTGAGATATTTGTTACGGTCAAGTGTGACTTTAGATTAGGGGTATAGTCGTCCCATCCCTCACACTTATCACTCCCCGGTGGAGTTACTGCTCAAGTGAGATATTTGTGACGATCAAGTGTGAGACTGGATTGGGAATATAGGGTACCTCCCATCTCTCCCAATATACGTAATGTATTTGTGTCACTATCCAGCGGATTTACTGTTCAAATAAGATTGTGTGTTAAGTGTGAGTCTGAATTAGAGATATAGGTATACACAAAGAGGATTTTATGAAGTGATAGAAAGGTTAGTGTGAGCCCGACTCACACTTGACCAGTTTTTTAGTATTTTACTTGTTATTTTAATTTAGGGTTTGATATATACTATGTACATACATATTATCAAGTTCCTTGTATTATCATTGTTATGTACTAAAAAATAAAAATTTAAATGAATACTTTCTTAGATTTACGCGAATGTTTGACATTATTAAATAAAACTATCTTTTCGGATTATTTTGCGGATTTATTTTGATTTTTGGATCCCGATATAGGTGGTAGCAATACAACGTCTGCTGTCTGCAAACATAGCCAGGACCGCCCAAGCCATTATATTCGTTTCGATAGACCTCAAATCCTGGCGAAAGAAAACCGATATCGCCCTAGAATGATTCGAGAAGCCATAGAAATTAAAAAACATCCAAATTTCAATAGGGAAGATGGCTGGGTACTACCATCGTCATGGGATCCTGTTATTAATATAATAAAATCAAATAATAAATATAAACATAACAGACAGGCAGATGTAGTAAGTTCATACTGTGTAGATCAAAATGACAGCTTATCAGATTGATATTTTTCATTTTTCATTTGTAAAAGTATATATTAATAGTGTTGCTTAGTAAGTTGTTTTTAAATAATAGCAAACTAAATTAAAATTATAATCCTTAATTAATTTTAACTTTTTAAATTAAACATTGAACAATTATATGGCTTAAATAATTAATACTATATTTTATATTTTTCTTTATGGTTATAAATATAATAATGGCAACACTAAATATAGATTACTAATTAATATTTTAAAATTGTAATAATTATAAAAATAATAGCAAAAATTAAATAAATAATTTTCCATATTCAATTATAATTAAAATTATAAAAATGTTTAAAGTTAAAATATTGTAATGTAATTGGTGCAATTTTCATTTTGTTAATTGTGGGTAGGCTGTCTGTAACAACTATATCTTTAAGACATGTAACACCTCAGTCTCTCCCGTGACCATGGATGCTGTAAAGCATTCGAAACGTCGGGAACCTAAAATCAAAATAAATCCGCGAAATAATCCGAAAAGATAGTTTTATTTAATAAATTTAAATGAAATCCCACTATTTTTTAAAATTGTCTTTTTCATTTTTAGAATTTTGAAAATTTTGACCAAATATGCTATAGCTGTTACAAAGACTTCTTCGAAAGACATCTTTCTTTGAATGTGACTGACAGACACACAGACCAGAAGACGGATGAAAGTGGGACTCGTACCTAAGTTTTATTCATATTTATTCAAAAATGTTTGTGAGAGATCAGTTAAAAAAATTTGAGTTTTGAATTTTGAAATTAGTAGTTAATACCTCAAAGAAATTTGTTTTCTTTGAGGTTTAACAATTTGAAGTTGATTGCTTTTAACACTTTTTTTTTCTTCTCAGAAACCCAACACTATATCGTGATATAAGAAAGAACAAACTACTATCGTGGCCGTACTTCGGCGCGTGGTTTCTGGCTGCTCTCTACCACTCGCTCGTCATATACTACTTCTCTAAGAAGCTGTTTGAAGTGCCAGTTGTTAATGGAGATGGTATGACGGTGGATCTTTGGTAAGTGACGAAAAATGGTTAAGTAAAAAAAAAGTTGGAAACGCAAACTGAGTGTTTCGTATGGCGTACTTAGTAATTAGGATGAAGCGAAAAAATGAGTTTTTTTTTTCTTAACAAAAAAACTTTAAACTTAACAAAAAATTTGAAAAAACAAAATACTCTCAACATTTTAAGGTGGCCCACTGGTATTTAAAATAATAATTAACACCTCCAGGTAAATTTCTAAGAAATATTTTTTCTAAGAAATCTATTGTTGTTATTTATTAGACGACACGTTTGGTTCAGTTTGTAGTGACCCTACTTACGGTGCTACCGGTCGCGGGTTCGAGTCCCACTGTGGGCATTCATTTGAGCGATATGTGTGCACTCTAGTCATGGGTGTTTATATATTTTATCAACTATCTGTTATCCATAACACAAGCCTCGTAGCTTACCATGGTACTAGATCTTACTGTGTGTAAATGTCCTAACATATTTATTTATTTATTGTTAATTGTAACGCCGGCGTGTCCGCGGTCGTTGAGGGATTATTTTAAATTTTTGGTTTGTTTGGAACATTTTTTTTCGACTGATCTTTGAAAACATTTAAGAATTGACGAATATAGTCATTTTCTACCCAACTTTCTCTGTATAAAACTGCATATTTCCAGGTCGAAAATGCCTTAAATCTGTCACGAAGCGCCCGCGAAGATTACAGACTTTTATTCAGCACGATGGCTACACAGTAAACAAGTCTTGTAATTCACTGACATACTTTGATTGTTCAGCACAGATTACTTTGTAATATTTAAACTGTATAATTACTGACTTAAGGTTAAAAGAAAGATTTAAATTAAATGTCAAAAAATTCTAAGTTATACACTATAATCACAGTTCATTTTCAGCCCGATCTTGGTCTGGTAAAATCTCATCATGTTCACATTACACATTCAGGCTTTGATCACCATTCAGTTTTAGGGTTGATCTATACTATATCGCCGATCTCAGTTCGTGCTGAGAATAATGCGAACGAACTATGGCCGAAAGTATAGTGTATGTAGATCGACCCTTATAATGTACATTGTAAACTATAATAATAATATCCTCCTAACCGATTTCGGCTACGGCGGCCAATCTCACTGAGATTAGGGGCATTTCATATGTATGAAGCGGACAGGAAAAAAAAGTGAGGTTAGGAAATTTGTTCATATGCGGGTTATTTATACCTCTAGTAGGTATGAAAGTGGATACGTAATATTTTTTTTCTACGATGTTTATTTTTAAAATTATGGACCTTTGAAAAATAATCATAATCCAAATGACGATGTTCTAGATTTAGTTTTTCAAATGGGGGAAAAATACAAACAACTATTAAACTTTTTATAGGTTTATAATTGCTCTATTTAATAAAGAAATATTTTTTTGAAATATAAAAAAAAAATATGTACAAAACCGGAAGTGAAAATTTCAAAACAATTTTTTGATCACTTTGACCATTTTATTTTTTATTTTATTTACACCCAATTAATATAGCCTATAGTATTATTAAAAACACTAAAACTTTCATAGTGGAGTCTCTATTACTTAGAAAGATGGGTAAATTAATGTACACGCATGTCACTCTGAGCGTGATGCTTCATACTATTTTATGTCAGTTACTTACTTCGCGAAATTTGAAGCGTAATCACATGTATCATTGTATTCAAGCGAGTTTAAGCTCTGAAAACTTAGGGTTTATTACTTGCTATTTTTTACAAGCTTGTATTACTAGTCAATGCCTGGTCCAACGTTCCTTAAACATAGCTAACTTTGATCTGAGCAGTCAAAGCTTTCGATAAAAACAAACCGCACTCGGATGCACGCATTTGAGCGATACGAAGCCATACTACAGACAGACATACCACATATATACACACAAGAAACCTATAACACCACTCTTTTTTGTCGTGTGTACGCGCAAATACAATTGCACTCTCTATTCCTGTTACTCTCAAAGTCCGATGGGACGATACTTCGACAGGACCGAAGGGAGTTAAGAGAGTTAAAGCATAGGACCGACGGCTTTATGTACCCTCGCACGGGGGTGGGCTGTTACTGGGAATTCCTTAACAGAAAGACTCAATAACTAAATTTGGCCCGACTGGGAACTAAAACCAGGACCTCCGGATCTGTGGCCGTACATGCTAGCCATTAGACCACCGAGGCAAGTCTATACAGATAAATAAAATTGAAGTGTCTGTTTGTAATGTCAAAATAATAGCATTTTACTAAACGCATATGAAATTATATACGGTTCTTATAAGAAAGACACAATTTAAAAAAAAAATCTGTCTGTTTGTTCCGGATAATCTCTGAAACGGTTGGACTGATTTTGACGGGACTTTCACGGCAAGATAGCTGATGTTATACGGAGTAACATAGGCTACTTTTGTTTCAGTAAAAGAATTAGGGTTCCGTTCAAAAAAAAAGAAGAAGAGAGGGTGAGTCGCTAGTGTAAACTATAACCGAGTACACGTCCATGTCGACAGGGCGTTCGGTGCGACGCTGTTCCACCTGCTGATAGTGACGGTGACGCTGAAGCTGTGCCTGCAGGCGCGCTACCAAACGCCCGCGCTCGCGCTCGTCGCGCTGCTCTCGCTGCTCGCCTACGTCGGCTTCAACGCTCTCTACTCGATTGTCTATATGTAAGACATCTATTTATTATATTCCCACTTTACTTCCTTATACTTTGCCCGTAACACCCCCCGAGGTAAATATCTATTTATATATATTTTCGGGATAAAAACTATCCTATTCCTTCCCAGGGTCTCAAAACATCTTCTTTTCAAGTATATTTGTATACTCGTAGATTTCATTTTTGAATTTCATCATTTTTAGTGTTAGTGAAGTGAGTTTTGTTACTGTAACAACTTACACATGATTTCTTGAAGTTGTTTGTAGCGCTACAGTCGTGTTAATGGGCCGTCATATCACACAATATACCATGACATCCTAAACCTGAAGGCGTCTTAAAGTATCTGATTAGATTACCTACAATATTTTTGCATACTTAATTATTATTATTTATTCTATAAAAAAAACAATAGCACAAATAACAATTACAACTCTTACGACAGCTATCCGGCTCAAAAAACCAACAGCAATTAAAAACACAATTAATAACATTACAGACAATTAGACGGTGACGTGCTCGGCACGTACACGAGGCTACTAAAGTCACCCTCTTTCGGGTTCTTGAACTTACTAGTAATAGTGGCGACGCTCGCGCCCGACCTCTGTGCGCGCCTCGCCTGCGACACGTGGGGCAGGAGGAACATCAAGAGGAAGCCTATGCCAAGTACTAGTTTTACTACGAGACTCTAGTGTGCGATCTATACATAGTATAAAACAAAATCACTGTCTACGTCTGTCTGTTTCTCCGCATACTTCTCCTAAACCAGCAACGGATTTTGATAGGTTTGTCACTAAGAAAGAGCGATAAACGAAGAAGGTTTGTGTGTATAATTTGTAAATATTTTGCACAAAATGACCGAGGTTAGATGATGTTTTGTCAAAAAACTTGTTGTTGACTGCATGGCTAACGTTGGCTAGCTCGTAAAAGATACATCAAAACAATATAAAAGGCCTACAGAAAAGTCTATCTCCGAAGGTACACTCACAATAACTATTTTTATCTATTTTAAACGCACCCAAGCAAAGCTAGGATAAGTCGCTAGTAAATATCATAAATCGCACAAAATTGCAATAATACTATAGAAAAGCAAATATTGCACAAACGCCATCCGGCTCAAAGGGCCAATCTTTCCTCTACTGAACCTGTTGCATCAAGAGGAATCCGCCACCAGATACTGTTTCTATGACGAAACTATAAATTGTTTCGTTTTGCTGTTTTGGACCGACTTCGAAAAGGAGGAATTTAATTCGGGGATTATTTGTGAATGCTATGATATCATTGCGATGTCTTCGCCTGTTGTAATTAGATTTTTTTAAATAAACTATATACTGAATGATATATGCAAATTATATTTATATATAGGACCTATATACATTTCAATAATAAATGCTTTTAATCTTATTTTAATGTCGATGTACCTTTTTAGTTAAAAAGTAAATATTAAGAAGGTTTTTTTTCCCTTAATATTATAAAAAGGGATGATATCATCAGGAACAAGAAAAAAATAGTTTTAATGATTAAAAAAACAACACCTTTAGTTTATGCAATATGAAAAAATGGGTTCTTAAAAAAACTACTAATTATTGAAACATGAGCCCAAAGGTAACAAGTTAGGTTAGGTTAGGTTAGGTAACAAGTTAGGGCTGCTTAGATGGGCTGTTTGCATGTTCAGCCTTGATTATTTCAGTTTCAAATTTGTCAGCCCTGATCGAAAAAATTGTTTTGTTCTTGCTTTTTCTATGTTTTGTTTTTCTAGAACACTCCGTATGATGCGATCAAATTTCTTTTTCTGAGATGGAATATCTATACATCTTTAGTACCTAATCATTGCATTTAATCAGACAGAAATCTTTGTGTTTTAGAATAAAACTTTTGCGTCTACGGTTCATAATCCTGACCTTAAGCAAAAGATATTGTCAATCTTGCTCATTACTGTCTAAAATAAGAACACACTAAAAACAACACTTTTTCATTTATATTATGTATTTGTAAGACTCAAATATTTCAAAACATTGTTTTTTTTGTTATTTAAATAAGCATTTATAAAATGCAGCACTGTCTAGTCAAATAAGAGCATGTGATGTGGTTTATATGTATAGGTAGATTAAGAAAAAAAAGTACTAAAAAAATTCAATTATTCGATTATTTTTCTTACCAAATGTACAATTTTAGTATAAGATATTTATAAAAAGGTATAAATGATAAAGAACTATATAATGACAATATTAAATAAGTGATATTTTATATAAATCAATGTACATTGTACAAACTTATCTTTTACAATAGTACCTACCTTTCATTTTTTAAGGTAGTATCCTATATACAATAAACACTTATGTAAATAAGAAGTCTGTTTATTATTACCTTTTCTAAACACCTGATATTGTTAAAAACAGGAAAAAGATCTATCTAGAATATCTAAAATCACAATATATTTTTTTAATTTCAGCAACACATTAGTCATTAGTCCGGGACGTCTCGTGTCTCGAAGTCACGGTACTTTTCAAATTTTTCTTCTCTCGAGTCCCGAGACTTTCGGGTCGAGACTCGAGACAAGACAAGATTGTCGAAATTGTTATATAATCATTTTTATTTTCAAATAATTGAAAGAGCCTAGCGTTATCTGTTAGTTTAATGTATAATCTTAGTCTACTACGTAACTACTGAGTACACAATGCGTTTGCTGCGTCGCCATCATGCCGCCTTATTGGTTGTTCTGTGACGTTTGGATTATGATTGTGTCCGAGTCAACAGACAGCAACGGGAAACTTACAGAACGCCTTAAACACAATTAAACCGACATCTGTTGAAAGCGAGAGAGTGTTCTCCTTGTCCAGTGGCATTATTACAAAAATCTGAAATAGATTGTTGGACAAAGCTGTTAACGCTCTGATTTTTTAAAAGCCTATTTTATTAAATCAGCAAACAAGTCTAATGTGTTAGTTGATCATTTAAAAGACTGATTTATAAGTCTGTTTTATTGTTTATATTTAGATTATTTAATTATGAAACAAATCTGAAAATGAGAATTAACAACGTTGTGTTTATGACTAATGATTAGATACTAGAATTATTAGATAACAGTAAAGTTATTAAGATTAGTATGATTTTTAACAAGTTTCGTTTTATAACTATAAGATTTAACTGCTTAAAAGTGAAACTATGTCTGATTAAGAGAAATAAACAAAGCAATTATTAAGACTGAAATTAACGTTAAAGCTATTAAGATTTAATTTTCTGTTTAATAAATGTTGATTTTTACAAAAAAAAACCTTTCTTTAAACGTTTCACCAGAAATTAACTCAATTAAAATTCTTCAAAAAAGGCTTACCTCTCTTAAAAAAACAAATAAAAATCTTAAAAGTCTCGAATTCCCGGGACTTTGAAATTGTCAGGAATTCCAAAACCCCACTAAGAACCTACCTAATACATATTATTATGATTTAGTCTGCACCACCATGACATAGAGTGAGTTCTTTGCATTCTCTCTCGTTTAAATCTTAAAGGTCTAATTTACGTCTAAGTGAATAACATGCCGAATAGGAGATTATTCAAACTTTAGTAGTATTTAACGTCCCACTCAGTGGCGTAACTAGGCTTTTAGGGCCCCAATGCATATAAATGGAAGTGCCCCCTTTGCCTATTATGAAAACGAATGTGGACTGCCGAACGTTCAATGACAAGTCGGCTAGTCGGCATTAGAAACCTGAAAGCTGGTTTTTATTTTAAACGAATAAAAACTGAAATTGCATTTTTTTTGCAATTTAACTTCACATATAATCTTCTTTTAATTTTTATTCAATAATACGCGGAAATTACACTTTTTTCTTGTGGGTTTTTTAAACTTCTATGAGAGCCGTCCTCGAAAAAAAAATTTGAATTAAAAGAATCTAAATCACTGCTGGGCACGGGCCTTCCTTCAATACTAGGGGCATCAGGCCATAGTCTTATAACGCTGGCCAAGTGCAGATTGGTGAACTTCATATGTCTTTCAAAAACTTGGCATGTTCTCTCAGATATGCAGGTTTCCTCATGATGTTTTCATTCACCATAAGACAAGTGGTAATCATGCTGGAAATGATTCGCATATGAAAATATCACAGGTGCTAGACTGGGATTTGAACCCGCTTCACGGGTTTCCCAAGCGAGCGCGTTACCACTATTATCAATCAATATTACTGAAATCGTACCCATCAAAATTGTTATTAAAATATGCGGACATGCGTATGTATTATAACTTCGTTCTGATTATTATCAGCCCACCCATACCATCAACTCACATACATATATGCCCTTTGCGGAAGCCCTATGACGAAGCCAGATGTAGTAAACGAATACTCGACCCGTTGTTCCTAAGATATATTCTGAATTTCGATTTTATTCAATCGAATGCTACTAAGACTCGATTCTTTAGTTTCGTGGCCTCTAGATTCCACTAGAGATGGTCAGTTGTGATCACATGGCACTTAAACTATGCAACTCTCAATTTAAATAAAAAGTACCTGGGCTACCAAGCTTCGCTCGGGGTTTTTTGGCCAACAGTACAATTTTTTTTAAACAAAAAACTTGAATAAAAACATAAGTTAAAACTTGGATGCGACCGAGATTCGAACCTGGACACCTGTGATTGTTGATCTTGCACCTTGGCCGATTGACTACGATGTTTATAACCGAGCGTGCAAATTACCGACCATATTTTGCGTGGAATAATGCAAAATAAAACTGCATGAAAACTCGAAACCACGCGTTTTCTCAGACATATGACTAATTTAAATGCATTTATCGTCCCTTGAACCCCCTGTACACTAAATTTTATGAAAATCGTTGGAGCCGTTTCCGAGATTCAGATTATATCTATACATATAATCCATACATATAATAAAATTGTAGCTAAGCCGAATCTGTAAATTAAATATTTTTTGGAAAATCTAATTGAAATAGACATTATTATCGATACAGAGTCCAAATCTATAATTTTTAGAATGTTTGTCTGTCTGTCTGTCTGTCTGTTACCGCATCACGAGAAAACCACTGGACAGATTTTGATGAAATTTGATTTGATGATAGCTGGTTATCCGGGTCAACATATAGGATACTTTTTACCGCGGGAAAATATCTCATTTCTGAGAAAAAATACAAAAATGTAAAATCTAAGAATTTGATTTTTGGGCATCTAAACGCGGGCGGAGCTGCGGGCAATGCTAGTATTATATATATACAAGAAATGCTCGTTTGAAGATATTATAAGATAAGCTATTGGCGAAGATAAAATATGTTGCCTACCGACAATTCACAGAACCTTATAATAATTGTAACCTTCGTATAATATAGCAATATATTTTCCTTATCTAAGCCCAGTCTTTGACAAAATGGCTGGGGTTCATAATATTTATATCTGGGGGATTTCATTTTTTTATTTTGGCATTGAATTTTTAAACTGTGCTACAGTGACATTTATCTCTTTATATATTCTGTGATGACATTTGACAATTACGCTAGCGGCTAGAGTCAATGTCAAATCTATCAAAAGTTTTCATAACACTGTAACAGGGAAGCTTCTGGTGTTTGTATTTTCGGTGTATTTCATTTTATCAACAATAAATAAAATATACGATAGTATAAATGATATTAAGAGACTAGATGAAAAGAAAATATTATGTGCTCTATTTTCTGACAAGTATTAATTTGTAACTAAAGGAATAATCATGAATTTGGAGTTACTTGGTAAACAAACGTAACTAAAATTTGGTTTTCTTTATTGTTACTTCATAAATTATTATTAAAATGCTTGATTTTTTTTCAGAATCGTTTGGACAAAACTACCCCGAGGTATCTTGTAAAGATTATGGCTTCAAACAAACTTAACCTCCCCTTTATTAAGTTTAAGTGCTACCATGTTTTGTTTACACTTAATTTATACATTTATAATTAATTTTTACATTTAGTTTTCGTAGTATCTTAAAGTACTGCTGCTAACCATATTGAACAAGCTGTTTTATTTTTTCATTTTTGATTTTTAGGAATTTGATGGCACTCTTGATTCTATATCTTTAGCTGCAACTTGTGCTTTCAACCGTCGTGGCACTTTACTAGCTGTAGGCTGCAATGATGGTAGAATCTTCATATGGGACTTCCTCACTAGAGGCATAGCTAAGTCTATATCAGCTCATGTGTACCCTGTATGTAGTTTAAGTTGGTCACGAAATTGTAAAAAAGTAAGTAATAATATAACTACTAACAAGTGTTTTAAGCTTCAAAACATCAATTAAAATTTGGTGTATCAAGTAAAATTAAATTGTGCTATTTTCAGTTACTATCAGCATCAACAGATCACAATGTTTGCATTTGGGATGTGCTATCAGGGGAATGTGAGCAACGTTACAGGTTTCCAACTCCAATATTGAGAGTTCAGTTTGATCCTAGAAATGATAAGCGATTTTTAGTTTGCCCAATGAGACATGCAGCTTTGTTAGTCGACACTGATGGAGAACATAAAATATTGCCTATAGATGAAGATGTAAGTATACTAAAGCTTAAAATTATTTTCTTTTCACTTAACATTATATAATAATGATACTTATAAAATGCTAAGTCCTCATAGTGCTGTAGAAAATAAGATACAATGGTAAATATTATACAATATATGTCACTATCTAAGCCACTGTCTCTTCATTAGATGAATATGATAGGGTTTTAAAAGTATGTTAATATAATTCATTTTGTTTTCAGGGTGATATAAATGTAATAGCATCATTTGACCGACGAGGAGATCATGTGTATACAGGGAATGCTAAAGGAAAAATTTTAATTCTAGATTCACAAACATTGAGTGTAAGAGCCAGTTTCAAAATAACAGTGGGCACTTCAAGCACTACTGGGATAAAAAGTATTGAATTCGCTAGAAGAGGAGAGTAAGTATACGAATCATGTACCAAGTTTACCTCGCACATGCAAAATGTGGAATGATCTTCCTTCTTAGGTTTTCCCTGAGCGCTATAACATGGAGCTCTTCAAGAGTCTTGTCTTCAGGTCAGCATATTCGCAAGCTCTTTTTTGGTGCAGATGTCTATGAGCGACGATAGCCACTTACCATCAGGTGGATTGTTCACTCCTTATACTATAAAAAAACCATCCAAAATCATAATAGCAATATTGTTAATTTCCTTTCTTCTATTTATTTTGAAATAAGAGACTTGTGCTTGAGTTCATATCGTTGTATCATACCTTATATTTTATTTTCATATTAGAAATTAAGGTACTACACATTAACTTTGGCCTGATCCCCAGCATATTGAGGAGAGGCCCGTGCCCAGCAGTAGGACTTTAAAAAAACGACTGAAACCATTAATATTAAGTATATTTTTTATCAGAATTAAACAGTAATTCAACATGAATTTTGCCAATTGTTAAATATATTGCGTTAGTATGCATTTGTTTATTTTTAAATGAATACTGCTCATAACCAATGACTTTTTCCTTTCGGGTTTATATCTATTTAATGTTTATTGTTACTTCCAGCTGTTTCCTTGTGAACACATCTGACAGAGTCATAAGAGTGTATGACACAAACACAGTCCTGAAATCAGGTGTGAATGGAGAGCCCGAGCCTATACAGAAATTGCAAGATCTTGTTAACAAGTAAGCATGTTTTAAAATATATAAAAAATATGTTACTTTAGTGTACACTAGCATTGCTAAGTCCTTATTTGTATTTAATAGGGACTTTTTAAATAAAACGATTTTTTAGGATTTTTTCGTGGATTTATTTAGATTTTTGGTTACGAATTCATATAAATAGACCTAGTAAACCTAAGAAAGTATAATAAGGATTATCAATATCTCAGTTTTGTTAAAGATTTTAAATACACATCCGGCTAGTATAATTTCCAATTCGGTAGCCAGTGTTATAAAAGTATTTTAATCTCTCTTTGGCCAAAAAATTATGTCTATACTTAATCCTATGGTTTTTTCGATATGTGAAAACAGTATATGCTTATTACTCACGGATAGACTTTTCAAGGAAATTCAAATTAATAAATTTGTAAAATTATGGACATTTGTTTAAGAATCTGTTATTTTATTTTTCTTTGCTTGAGTGCTGTGTTTAAAGTTAGAGTAAATATAATATAGGATTCATTTTTTCATTTGTTAATGTTATATACATAATACCATCTATTGAAATTTATTTGGCCAAGTTTTCTTTTATTCCTGATGACAATCCATTACATTAGTAAATCAGACAGATTGCGAAAGTTTGTATACTTGTAATTCCTTCTATCTGACTATGACCTTTTTTTTTAACGTTGGGAAATGCATTTACGCACGAGGTGTGGGACTCACCGGCAAAGCCAGTACTACCCACTAAAACCCAACAAAGCCTTCCCCCGTCTTAATGGGGCGTCGCAGGATCGCTTACGCATTCAACTACGACGCCCCGACGGCAGGTCTGCCGAAGCAGACCACAACAACCACGGGGTTGCTCCAAGGTCCACTCTGCTATCAGAGAAGTACCAGGAGCAACCCGCATGATACACCGCTCTCCGAAAAGGGCCACCTCCCATCGCCCACCGAAGTGGGCCACCTCCCTGTGCGTTTCTTGGCTTCGCGCCCGGCTGTATTGCCGGGCACTACTGAGCCCCCCTACCACGACAAGGTGAACGCACGTTGGGGGGGCTCTGACTATGACCTGGACTAACATATGCACTACTCGTCTGCCTCTCGGCAGCGCATTCGCTACTGCTCTTATGTTGCAGATCTGCATGAGAGACGTTAACCACTTATATCATGTGGAATGTTTGCTCGTTTGAACCTTTTCTACAAAAAAAAACTTCTTGCTCTTACCATTAATTACCATTAAACATACCATTAACCATTGGCATTCAGGACGACCTGGAAGAAGTGCTGTTTTTCCGGCGACGGTGAGTACATCTGCGCGGGTTCGGCGCGACAACACGCGCTCTACGTGTGGGAGAAGAGCATCGGCAACCTGGTGAAGATCCTGCACGGCACCAAGGGGGAGCTGCTGCTGGACGTGGTGTGGCACCCCGTGCGCCCCATCATTGCGAGCATCAGTGCTGGTACGGGCGTGTGTGCCGGGCTTTAGCTTGGCAGGTTGTGTCACAGTACAGTACAGCATCAGTAGATCTCTACAACGACCATGAATCACTTCCACTTTATTGAGCTAATTAAGAGTACCATGTTGGTTACTTTAGTTCTTTGGCGAATGACTTGATTTCGAATTTTATGTCAGAGAAACCCCAAAAATCGTGCGTTTCATTACTCGCTGAGCGAACTTGAATGTGTGGACCAGCTGTACTATATTTAAATATATTTTTTTCTTAGACATTTTACTCTGAAATTCTTTATCGATAAATTTGATTGAATGTGTCCCTTCCCAACAAGTGTTACCGGCACAATGTTAAAAATTAAAATATTATAATTCCATTCAGGTGTGGTATCAATCTGGGCACAAAACCAAGTGGAGAACTGGTCCGCGTTCGCTCCCGATTTCAAGGAGTTGGACGAAAACGTGGAATACGAGGAGCGGGAGAGCGAGTTCGATGTGGAAGACGAGGACCGCTCCGTGGACCAGGCTGGGGAGAGCCGAGATGATGAGGAGGTAGAGGTAGGTTACCTAGGAAACATACAAGTGCACTCTCTATTCCTGTCACTCAAACGACAACTCGACACTCGCGGTGAGCCGTGAGAGTTTAGGCGTTGACCATTCTTTTCGTGGTGGTCCACGCAGTTTACAGGTCTGATGTCCGGTGGAAGATGATGAGGGGCTGAAGTCGAAAAGCTCTTTAGAACAACGACCCACGGTCGCTTGTTGCTAAGGCTCTTTTACACGGATCAGATTGTGTGGCCTAAAGACTTATTTAGATGAAAAAGATGTTAAAAGTCTTAGGGTTGGTGGATAAAATATGTTATGGGCCTCTGTTTACATATTTTAGATCCTTTTGTAAATATTGCATGAAATAAATGATTAAATAAAAGATAAATAAAAGCAAGGACATTCCTACATTCAATTATCTGATTTTGATTTATTTGGGTAGGTATTACGTAATAATGTGAGAAATGAGATAAAGAATCAAGAATGTAGTACTATGCATGTTTTAACATTTTTAAGGATCACGATGTTGAAAACTCTATTGATATTGATTTTATTAAATAATGTTTTTTATGTAGTTTTTAGGGTTTCGTATCTCAAAAGGTAAAAAAGGAACCCTTATAAGATCACTCTCTTGTCCGTCTGTCTGTTCGTGTGTCACCACCGATTTTTTCAGGAACGGGTGTACCTAGCAAGTTGAAATTTATACTAGATACTGAGGTCTATAGTCCCTATTAGGTGTAAAAAAATCAAGGTTCTGAGTCAACACGATAAAAAGATATGGACAAAATTAGATATTCGCGAAAACTTGTAAGTACCGAAAATTAAAGTAAATTTTGGTACTTACAGGTTTTGGGTCGAAAACCTATATGATAGTTCCCGTCGATCTAGAATTACGAAATTTGTCAAGAAGCAAGATGTTACAGCACAAATAAAGGAAAAAATCCAAAAAATTAAACAGATTTTCTACAAATTTGTACGGAACCCTCGGTACGCGAGTCCGACTCGCACTTGTCCGTAATTTTATTTTATGTATAGAACAACAAAAATTGTCTTATTTTATTTTAAAAATTCAATATATAATGGAGCAAATAATTTACGAGTATTTAAATAAAACAAATTTGCGACGGTGAGGTGGACGTGACGTCGTGCGAGCCCGTGGCCGCCTTCTGCAGCTCGGACGAGGAGGGCGAGGACGAGCACATGCTGTCCTTCCTGCCCATCGCGCCGGAGATAGAGGACCCCGAAGTGAGCTATTCTTTCCGGTTCTCATCGTAGTTTTATTTTTTTTATTTCTTAATATATTTGGGAAAGTATTACATAGAAATAAATAATAATATAGATTAATAAATGGAGAGCCGATTTTTTCGTTCAGTTATACTGCGATAACTACTGAACCAATCGTAATAATACTCATACCATAAGATGCAGCGTGTTTCGGAGAAGGTTTAAGTATATGATATGTTGGTGCTTAATGTATTATGCGGGCGGAGCCGCAGGAAAACGCTAGTTATATATAAAATACAAACCGGTAAATTTTCACTTAAAAATAATTCATAAATTAAGCAGTGACAATGAAAAAAAAGAAAACAGTTAATAATATTGGAAAAATAAAATGAAGAGTAGATTATTGTTATTAGTTCATAGTCTATTATCTATACTAATTCAATCTTCTCACTAATTTTCTTTTATCATTTTCTATCGGTTGCTTGTAAGAGATCACTTTTAGTGATAAGGCCGCCTTTGCACATCTCTTTAAGTGTATTTTTTTAATGTTAATGTACTATTTTTGTGTGCAATAAAGTGTTATAAAAAATATATATAAAGAGGTAAAGTTTGTGAGGTTGCTAGGGGGTAATCTCTGGACCTACTGAACCGATTTAGATGAAATTTTGGTAAGAGGATAGCTTGAGACCCTGGGAAGGACATAGGACCTTTTTATTCTGGAAATCATCCCTTAAGGGGGTGAAAATGGGGATGAAAGTTTGTATTGGGAAGCAAGCCAGGAATGAATGAGTTGATAGTTTTAGAATAAAAGTAAATTTTAAAAAATATAATAAAAAGGAAAAATATTACGCATTATTTAATTGAATTGGTTATTAATTTTATTCTTGTAAATTCTGATATATGTAATGTATTGTATATGTGAGTATACATATGTGTTTTAACTGCCTCGTTGATCTACTCTAGTGGTTAGTTTGTTACTTCTTTACACCGAAATGGCTTGACGGATTGAATGAAATTTAAAAGAAATGAATGAAATTTTGCCAATTCTTCTCAGGTCTGAGACTTCTTCTTTCCGAAGTGATAGTAGACTGATGACGTTCAGTAAAAAATGTAATAATTTAATGCTGAATAAAATATTTTGAATTTGAAAACACAGTCCATGACCTGGAATAATACAGGTTACTGTTAGGTACCCAGAGACAACTGAGCAAATTAAGTGTAAGTCGCTAGTATACTTATGTGCTACGATGTGCCCGCAGGACGGCTGGGCGGCCACGCAGGAGACGGTGACGCCGAGCGCGACGCCCGAGAAGCTGGAGCCGGCCGCGAAACGCCTGAAGAGCAAGACCTACGATATATCTCTCAAACTCGCACCTCCCGGTACCTATATACAGATTACACTTGTTTCAGCAGTGCAGCATAGTAAAAAACGCCGCTCTATTATCGAAATTTAGAATAAATTAAATGGTATATAATAAATTTAATGGTACCTACTTCAGTGGTGTAGAGCCAACCTGTACGGTTGCACATCCGGGGGTACTGGGTTCGAGTCGCGGGACAATTTTAAGTTCAATAACAGCCTGGAGTTGAGGAGTTGGCGTTGTTTCACCGTGTGCGGAGGCAGAGCATGTAAAGTCGGTCCTGCGCCTTTTCTCTCACTGGTCGTATCTAGTAGCCGTCCCATCGGAGTATGAGAGTATCAGAAATAGAGGAACAGAGGACATATTTGCACTATATCTCCTGCGCATTTGGCTAGTATCAATGAGATTGGCCGCCGTGGCCGGAATCGGTCGGGAGAACATCTTATTATCAATCCCGTGACAATCTATTTTGCTTTTTCAAATAGGGAAATCTTTATATTATGTATCTAGTGATAGTTACACCTCGTCCATCCGCTCTAGATTAAGACTTACATAGAATAAGAGAGACGCAAACTCAGCGTTTGGTCGGCGTTGGCCCACCCGGCATCCGCCGGCCGAGTGAATGTACTCAGAGAATAAAGGAGCCTCAAATCGGCTACACGTCTCTCATTTTGTTTTTTTTTTATTTAATTTTAAGTTAATACGAGTGGTTTTCAAAACGTTTCGAAACCAAAATCTATTAATTTTCATCAAATGCGTCTAAACATTTAAATTATCCCATTAAACGTAACCTATTTTAAAAGTATTTTTTCTTTCCAGAACAACCACTCTCGTTTGGGGGTAAAAATAAGCAAGCAGCGGGAAATAAGAAAGTTGCTGGTAGACCTCGAAAATAAATATTTTTATTATATAAATTCTTCGTTGTTTTATTTATGAAAACATTACTTTTCTCCATTAACACTTGTGCAAATTCACAAATAGTCGATAAAGGCATAATCTAAACTTATAAAGAACTTATAGGAAAGATTTGTTTTATTATTATTGTTACGATGATTTTATTTGTAATTGATATATTTTGAAACTGCTGAAAATATTTTTTTTACTACAAAAATAAACATTCTAAATGCGAAAATATACTCCCAGTTAAACTATTGACACCCATGCTGGGTTCGTCCCTTGGTATATTTTAACGGTTAGTACTTAGTATAGATTTCTCAGGGATGATTCATTTTCCCGCAGTAAAAAGTATCCTTTATGTTAACCAGCTGTCATCATACCAAATTTCATCAAAACCTGTCCAGTGGTTTTCTCGTGATGCGATACCTAGATAAAATAATGACTAGGTACTTTGAATTGTAAATTTTAATAATTAAACACTAACCTAACCGTTTTCTACAGTAACGAAGAAAATAAAACTTATATAACGGGTAAGAGATATCTAATGCTTGAAATATTGAGCAGAATAAAGTATTAGTTCTTTGGATTTAATTATTATTGTTATTATAATATTTTCTTAAGTATCAAAAAATACGGAATAGTAGCATGAATAGCAAGATTACACACTATTTTCGATTTTTTTTTTTTTGGCAGACTGTGTATATAATTCTTTACCCTGACCTTCACTATTCCGGAGTATTATAAACTATAAATTATTGTTTGCCTAAATTTTTAAGGAACTTTACACGGGTCTGGCGGGAGTTAACGCCCACGAAAATTGTCTGGCAATAATGAATATTGAAAAAAAAAATTTTTTATTAATAATAATTAAGTAATGTATAAAACTAAACATCTAGAAGAAAAAAAACATTAATTTAATTATAATGTTATATAAAAATATTCAATTAACTGATAAACTAATTGTAAATTTTATTTTAAGGAAAGGCTTATTATTATTATGAAAATTGGTTTTTGACAATATTCTGTGAAAAATATGTAAAAACGAGCGTTTCTAATTTTACGTAGACGAGAGGGATTTTTATGTACCTTTAATACCTGTTACCTGTAAATTTGCCTCGCTTTCAAACTAGAGCCAGTATGCTTACCGTCTTAACTGCATATTAGACTATTAATCTTCAACATTTTAGCTTTTCTAAAATAACATAAGTCTGGGATCTTGACCATCTATAAGTTAGCTCGAATTCGACCGATCATGACTCGGGTTGGACCAAGACCTATAGAATGGACCGAGCAATACTCTCATGAAATTGATCACTCTAGAAAAAGAGAAAGCGGACGTACGTACAATATCTGTCTATTTCCTTTGAATGAGTTAAATTTATAAATGGAATATAAAAAAATAATATTATAATTTTATTAAAAATTATGTAGGTATATTATAATGGAATGTAAAATAAATATACATATCTATATCTTCATTAATTGTATTTCAATGAATACACAAGACTTTTAGCCGCACATTCGTTTTGTCTCGTGGCTTTCCGCTATTTTTACTATTTTTAGCCGACTGCAGGCAAGGAAACGCTCAAGACACAGTCCACTCTTTATGTCTATGGGTTGGATACCCACAACCAAACTTCATTTCGTGTATAGACAGACATTGATATATAAAAACAGATACAAATTTCCTAACAAATATTTCTTCAAAAAATGATGTCGACATAATGTGGCGACGCCATTTTTGAAGAATTTCTTTAACGTGTAGCATTTTTTATATATGTAGCAATATACTCTATGACGTGTAGTCATATTATGACGTCACGTCAAAAGAAAATATAAAATTCGCAAAACGAAAGTTCTAATTGTTTAAACATAAATTCGAACTTACTACAAACCACCACCACATAAAGTACTTTTTAAACGAAACAACGTGCGTTTTTATTTTATTATCCAAGAAGTAATGAACGAGATTTAAAACAAGCGCAATTCAATTTCGAATTGTGCACTTCTTTTTGAGGACACTTTTCAGACGCTAATTGTGTAATTTTTTTTGTATATCAATGTTAATAATGTACAAGTGGGGACTATAAACGAATGAAAAGATTACTTGCCAAGGTGTAATACCTTGAATCAGGCTGTTGAATCGACTACTGCTGATTCAATTTACATGGAAGATGAAATTTGGAAGTTAATTTATAACAAGTTCTTCAAATGAATATGCAATTAAATCCATGTTCTTCAGCAGCCTTATAGTTGAAACAATATATTGAACTGTCATATTCAGCGCCCTTGGCAAAGGTATCTAATACGAGATACTTAATAGGTACTAAATTGTAGCGACCATCACACCGAGAAAAATCAGTGCTTGTAAATTATACGATATAGGTCGCGGACGAACGTTATACTATTGTAATTCACAGGTTAATTCAAACTTATTTAGGACGCGCTTGAGCGAAGCCTGGGCGGGTCGTTTGTGTAACTGAAGATAGTAATTATAAATAAAAAGTTACAATAGGAGAAAACATTTATTTTGCAAAAAGAAATTATCGATCTTTAATAGAATTCGTATTTAGAGTATACTGTAAGTACTTATCGTTCTGTATATAAATAAATCTCACTTAAACGTAAACAAAATAATACATCGTTTTATTCGAGACCAAAAAGAGTCATCACCGAACCGAACTTTAAAATATCATACATAGCGTACGTCTAGGCGTCTATAGCCGGTATAAATAAAATTATCTATGTTATATGTACAGTAGTCACTACGCGTCCAGCTCGTCCTCGCGCTGGCTTGAGAAGTAGCTCACGAGGCCCCCGAACACGCTGCCCTCGCCCTCGCCCTCCGCCGGGCCCCCCGCGCCCTCTGTCTTGATGTGCGCGGGCGGCGGCGCCTTCAGGAACTGCGGCTTAACGTCGGGCGGACTTGCGCGGTGCCCGGCATCCGCGGAGTCCGCAGAGTCCTCCTTGTCGTCGGCGGCGAGCAGGCGCGGCGAGGGCGGCTGGGCGGGCGGCGGCGCGGGGGCGGGCGCGTAGGGCGGCGCGCGCAGCAGCGGCAAGTAGGGCCGCGGCGCGCGCATGTACGGGTAGTGCGGCGGCAGGTCGGCGCCCGGCGGTCGCAATATGTCGTGCATCAGCGGCCGCTCCGCGCCGGGCCCCGGCGGCCGCGGAATATCCGGCATCATGATCCGATCGGCGCCGGGGGGCCTCGACAAGTCCTGCATGGGGAGTCGGTCGGGTGCCGCGAACCGCAGCATCTCCTGCATGGGCGATCGGCCCGGGGCGGGCGGGCGCGCCGCGGCGCGGGCGGCGGCGGGCGGCGCAGCGTGCAGACGCGCCTGCAGCGACAGCAGCGCGTCGGGTGGCGCGGGCGGCGCGTAGGGCCCGTAGGGACCGTACTGCGGCGCGTAGGGGCCCAGCGGGTATCGCGGCCGCCCGTCCTTGTTCTCCGTGTGCTTTATCTTGGGATGTATGCGCGGCGGCTCAGGCGAGCCCCGGCCGGCGGGCGACACGGGCGGCGACTGGTACTCGGGCTCCGTTTTGACTTCCGCTTTAATTTTTATTGGAGGTTCGCTTTCGGCTTCAGTGTTGGGCGCGGGGGACTTCTGCCCGGGCGGGCCAGGGGCGGGGGTCGGTGAGACGGAGGGCGGGCCCGGCGTGGGCGTGCGCACGGGCGGGGTGGGCGGCGCGGGACGCAGGCCGGTGAGGAGACCGGGCGCAGGCCCACGCAACATCGCGTTGGGGTGGTGCGGGCTCGACACGGGCGGGCCGTGCGGTATGTTTGGGCCGAGTGAACGCATCGGAACGTGGTGCATGCCGGGGGGCCCGTGGGGGGGCGCTCCTGGAGGCCCGTGAGCGCCCATAGCCGAAGGTACGTGAGACATATCCGGCCTTCCAGGATGAGTCGACCGAAGTACTCCAAGTGGTTGGCCATGCGGCCCTTGAGGTCCTGGAGGGCCATGAGATCCCGGAGGCCCGTGAGATCCCGGAGGCCCGTGAGATCCCGGAGGCCCGTGAGATCCAGGAGGCCCGTGAGATCCAGGAGGCCCGTGAGGTCCTGGAGGCCCGTGAGGCCTGTGTACTGGTCCATAGGGCATCGCTTGGGGAGACGAGGACGGTGGTCCATGTGGCGAAGAGACGGGGGGTCGATGTGGGAGACTGGGTGGCGGACCGTGAGGAGAGGAGGGGGGCGGGTGGTGCGGGCTCGGTCCAGGTGGCCGGTGCATGCCCAGCGGGGGCCCGTGCGGGCCGTTGCCGGGCCCGTGAGAGAGCATGGGCGGGCCGTGGGCGGGCGGGCCGGGCGAGGAGGCGGCGCGCGCGGGATAGGGCATGCCCTGCAGGTGCGGGTAGTACTGCGGCGGGTACTGGCGCACGCCCTGGTTCAGGTGCATCTGGTACATGGGCACGGGCTGGCCGCGCGCCGCGTACGCAGGGTTGCCGCCCGAATACATCATGGAGCCTCTGTTAACAAACACGTAATTAAATTATTCATGATGATGACGTGAGTCTGTTAATTAGTCTTCAAACGAGTTTTCTTTTTAGCGGTAAATTACGACTGAAATGATACAACTATCAGCGCAGTGCGAAAAATATTTGTCTGAGTAAAAAAACATACGTTAATACTTAAGGGTCTGAAGTCTAAGGCCAAGGCTGTAGGGGTGGGCGTCGTAGTTGAATGCGTAAGCGATCCTGCGACGCCCCATTAAGACGGCGGAAGGTTTTGTTGGGTTTTAGTGGGTAGTACTGGCTGTATTACGCCGGTGAGTCCCACGCGTCGTGCGTAAATGCATTTCCCAACGTTAAAAAAAAAAAAAAATAATAATAAAAAAAAGGCTGTAGGGGTGGTTAATAAAAGATTGAAAATAAAAACAAATGAATAATACAAAATTATATTCATTTCTTTTTATTTTAATATTTTTGAAGTTATACTTCTTTTGGCACGTTTGGAAAAAATTATAAAAGTCAAATTTTTACGATGCGCGCGGACACCGATAGCCAAAAAGCGTATCGATGAAGTTAGCTGCATTACTTTTACAAACAGAGAGTTATGATATACGGGATAAAAATTTTGGCTATTTTTGTTCTGTTACGCCAAAGAAGTATATCTTCTTACGTGCGTACATAAGTTTTTTTTTAATATTGATTTACGAGTGTATAGCAGTGTGTTGTCACACACAAAGTTCTATTCTACTCTACCTGTACTGGTTGATCATGTGCGGCATGCGCGTGATGACGCTGGGCTCCTCCGCCACCGGCTTGTACGGCTGCGGCGACCCCGCCACCGACAGCGTGCCCTCGCCCCCGGGGCCCCCCGCACCCCCCGCCACGCCACGCCCCTCCGCCATGGCGATGCCGCGCAGCTCGGCCCGCACCTGATACCGACATTAACAAATACGTCACATATTACTTTCTTAGACGCAAATATTCGACATTTTAAATAAAACTATCTTTTCGGATTTTTTCACGGATTTGTTTCATCGGGAACAAAAAATCAAAATAAATCCACGAAAAATCCGAAAAGATAGTTTTATTTAAAATACATCACAATTATTATTTTTGTTTTCATCTCTCTTACAGAGACTTTTAACTAGCGACTCACTCTCGTTTCGCTCGGGTTCGTCCCTTTTAACGGTTAGTCTGGAATAGATAGACTATACATGTATAACCCTATACATAGGTATAGAAAAGTAGGTAAATACTTTAAATAATAAAAAAAATCTTTATCTGAGAAATGATTGATTTTCCATACAAACATCCATCGCCCTTTTCACCTTCTTAAGGCATGATTTATGGGAAAGAAACTATCCTATGTCCTTCCGAGGGCCTCAAACTATCTGAATACTAAATTTCATCTAAATCGGTTTAGCAAATTGAGTGTGAATAGGTAACAGACAGACCGATAGACATAGTTACTTGCACATTTATAATATTAGTATGGATTTGAAAATGTCTCAGAAAAGTAAGTTTAGCTTTTTTTTATTAAAATAACAATTTACAACTAAAGGTTCCGTGATGAACATACATATCATTTCTAAAAATAGCCAAATTTCCTATAACAACTATTACATGCTGTCCTCTTTAGCAACACTGCAATAGGTTATCATCAAATTCATACAGTAATTAAATTCCGAGAAAAAACGCTACGCTAAGCGATAATTGCATATTATATTATACATATCACTGCCTACTAAAAAAGATGTATTCTTTGAATATATGTGCTATCTAAAAATGCGACTGCTCCTAGTTCGCTAAAGGCACGATATAAAATATATGTAGATAATAGAGTTCAAATACATAGAAAATGTAACAAAATCTTACAAAATATAAAACCAATCCCAACCTGCAACCTAGGTGTAACCGGGAACCGTTGCTCCTGGTAGTCCCCGGGATGGCGCGGCATGGGGCTGTTCCCGTAGGGCCTCTCAGGCTGCATGGGCCTCATGGGCATGCCGTATCCCATGGGACTCATTGAGAACTCATTCTTCTCCTTCTTCACTCTCTTACTCTCCTGTAACGCGAGACGCGCTAAACGTTTCTCTTCTCTCTCTTTAGCCTTTTGTTCTTTTAGCTTCTCTTTCTCTTCTTTTTTCTGTAAGCGTTCGAGTTTCCGCGCTTCTTTTTCCGCTAGTTTTGCTTCTCGCTCTTGTCTCTTCTTTTCCCTTTCGACCTGTAAAAAATAGAATAAATTAAGCTAAGTTTTTTTTTACACAATGTATAAAACCTTTTGACATAAAATGTTACGAACCTGATTAGGCCGTATAGGTCCGAGCGCACCATCCGGCTTCAAATCTATAAAAAGTAAAAAAACAAACAAATATTATTTACATATGTGATGTGCTACTTCAAATAATTTCTACAGATATGTGTATAGTTTTATTTCAAATATAATATACAAGATTTTTTTATTAAATTGTAATTTGAAGGTTCTAATTTTGACAATTGCAGCCCTCTCTTTTTTGGTGATCAATAAAAATAGAAATATCATTTATGTCTACAATTATGTACCTATTTCTTTTATAAAAATATTTTTTTGCTAAATTTTAGGATGGTCAAAAACCATCAATTAAAATGATTGCCGACTGCTTAGCAGTTAAAATACTGTAGTGCCATCTCGTGGCAAGGTATACATATACTCGTCAACCCTAAAGTTACAAGTACGACAATCCGTACGCCTCACCCGCATTTCCCCAATCGCCCCGCATCTCCCTAATCGCCCCACATCTCCTCATGCACCGCATCTCCCAAATCGCCCCACGTGCCGCACTATACTCGGTCTAGACACGTTCATTAGACGACATCATAGTAGTTTTATTGTAATTGTCAATAATTGTACTTATTATTTCTTATTTTGCTCGCATTATTCTATATATTATTTAATTGTGGAAACTTGACCGGTCGATGTTTTATATTTTGTTTTCTTTTTTATTGTATTACATTGTACTGTTTGTTTCCCAAATAAAATAAATGTAATAAATAAATAGTTCAGTAGACTGTGGTAGACGCAAAGAGAGAGAGTGCGTAATCGATCCTTCTACGCCCCATTAAGACGGTGGAGGTTCCGTTGGGTTTTAGTGGGTAGTGCTGGCTTTTTTAAACGGTGAGTCCCACACATAGACCTATAGAATGGACTGAGCAATACTCTCATGGAATTGACCACCCTCTAGAAAGAGAAAAAGCGAACGTGCGGCTAATAACCTTACTACTACTACTACTATCCAGATCGAATTTATGAATGGAATGTAAAAAAAACGGACGGCTTACTTGACGGCTGACAAAGAAACACCGAGACTAAATCCGCTCTCTACGTCTGTCTATGGTACTACATAACCACCTGTATATATACAGGTGTGATGCGTCAATGCATTTCTCAAATAAAAAAATATATAGTATACCTTTGATCTTGACGCCCACGAGTTTGGCGAGCGCGTCGTCGCTGGACTGCGCGCCGACCGACCCGCGCCCGCGCCCGCGCCCGCCTCTGTACACACACATTGTAGGTATAAATATACAGTGCAATATATCATAGAATCTACACTACAATTATAAAGAAGAAAGATTTGCATTTTTGTATGTTTGTAATGGATAAACTCAAAAACTACTGGACTGATTTAGTTGAAATTTGGTAAGAAGATAGTTTAAGACCCTAGGAAGGATATAGGATATTTTTTATTCCGGAAATCATCCCTTAAGTGGTTGAAAATGGGGATAATGAAAAGATAACATAATAAAACTAAAATATCTTTGAGATCAATAAGAGCCCAAATAGATACTATATAAAAAGTTTGTGATGATAAATTACGCAACTTTTTAAAAACGATCTTTTCAGGTTTTTTCGCGGATTTATTTCGATTTTTTGTTCCCGATGTTTCGAATGCTTTACAGCAATCATTGTCACCGGATAGACTAGGGTTTTAAACATCTCAAACATATTACACACGATGCCCACCAACCAATTGTCAACTGATTTTCGAAAACACAAAAATGGCAACAAAGTATTATATAATATTTGTTAATTTTAATTAAAAACATTATTTATTTAATTTTATAATTTATTTTTATTTATTACAAGACACGCCCTAGCGCAGCGAGAATAAATCACTTTTCAATCGTAATAATGAGTTTTAAATAAGAATTATAACTTCTTAGTTACTAATTGGATTCTCTGGTATAAATTAATATACATTTTTTAATTTCCCAATTATTCATAACAATGACTAGCTTTTAAAAAAATGTTTACAACTTGCAAATAAATTTTAAACTAGATTAATATTTTAATGAAAGTAAATAAAAAAAAACTCAATAAGACCTGCTGCCGCGTCCTCCCCGGCTGCCCCTACCACGGAGTGGCCGCGGAATACTGCTCATTGGAGGTTGGGAATCTCCACCTGTAGGTCATATTATAATATTACAGAAGATAAAAGGAAATATTAGAACTACCATTCCATTTACCACAACCTATACGAACTAATTATGGGAATAAATTAAAAAAAAATCGAGCAAGTGCAAGTCTAACTCGCACACCAATGGTTCTGTGGCACAAAATATTAAATTTATATTTTTTTAACAGTTAAAAGTAGATAAGATAATCCCATCAATATTAAAAACCACTAAATTGGCTAAAAAAGAAAGTGATAGCAACACATGTCTGACATACCTAACGCAGCCTCCACCTCACCAGGCTTCAGACTAACAGTGCTGGTCACGTGGTCCGGTAACTTCCGGAGCGGCACCACTGCGGTCTTACTGATGAGGTCTGACAGGGCGCGCTGTCGCTCGTCACCCGAGTCCTTGTCCTTGTCCCCGTCCTTGCCCTCCCCGCCGTCCTTTTCCCCGTCCTCGCCCAACTCGCGCCGGCGCTTGTTGCGGTCCAAGTCCGAGTCGGAGGTGAGGTCGGAGTCGTCTATTTTGAACTCGTCCGAGCTGTCCGGCATGTGCTTGCCGCTTGATTTGTGCATCTCCTGTTGTTATGTTAAAAGTTCTTTATTTTTGAAATATTTCTTCTTCTATAGGCAGGTTTGGATGGGATGTAAATTCATGTAAGTTGTCATCGACATGGTCACGTGACGTGTTAACGCTAACACTCAGAGTGCCGATAGATGTCAAGACCAATTAAATTTAAAGAGTTTTAATACACAAATTTTAATTTAAGATCAAACAATTAATTTCAATATACATAAAAATAACAACTGTTTTTTTATAGTTTTTTTTAAATATGTATATGTACAAAAATTTTATATTATAGTAAAAAATATTTGAACACTCACATCTTTCGACTGCACGTTGATTGTACGTGTAACGTACATCTTAGAATAGTCGATATATAAATACATATATACATATGTATTTGTTCATATTTATATATACATTTTATTGTACACCACAGTAATAACATAAAGATTAAAAAACAAAAACAAAAGACGGTCTTATTGTTAATTAGTAATTACCTTCAGACAACTTTTAGGTTAGAAGATACGAAAGTCTATACAGGGTGGTGTTGGTGTGGTGTAAACATAAATACAACACATACCATAATACAATCTAACACTTAGAAATTATACAGATATATCTGTACATATAATGTAATGTATATACATATGTGTGTGTGTAATGGGTATGTAGGGGAGATTGTGCACTCAGCACTCACATCTTCGGACTCCGTGTTGGGCATCTCGGTGTAGTCGATCTTGCGCTGCCTCGTGCGGTGCTTGGGCGACCAGTCGTTGTCGTCGCTGAGGCCGCCGTAGGTGACGCGCGCGCGCACCACGCGCCCCTCCGCGTCGTACTGCGTCAGCCCGCGCTTGCGGCCCCCTCCACCCCCTCCCCCGCCGCCGCCCGAGCGACGCGACCGCGACTTGGACTTGGACTTTGACCTGGACACACAGAATCACAATTTTAATAAAGTATTCTCCCTTTCTTCCCTTTTGAAGTGATAACTTCTTATGGGAGAGTAAACCGCTTCGTTACGTAACGCGTTACGGCGCCAGTCTGTCTGGCTTCCCTTTCTCTCACGCATACGGCAGCGGTAGGCAGGCTCCTCCTCTCTGACTCTAACCCACAGCGCTAGCCGTACGCACGCATATGCGGGTACCGGGGTTGGCGGACATCACATGTCTTTTGAAAACTTGCTAAGTTCTCTCAGACATGCAGGTTTCCTCACGATGTTTCCCATCACCGTTAAGACAAGTGGTAATCATGTTGGAAATGATTCGCACATGAAAATATCAGAGGTGCGAGACCCGGGATTTGAACTTGCTTCACTCGGTTTCCCAAGCGAGCGCTTTACTACTGTGCTACCACTGCCTCAATTCAAATAAAATAGACACTAAATACTACCCTTTCCCTCCTACACCCTCTTTCCGCAAGGAGAGAGCCCCGCGATTTCGACTACGATCTGGACACACGGAGTCACAATTATTTGAATAAAAAATGAAATAACCCAACTAACTACACCATCTATTACACACATACACACACATACATTTTTATCTCTTGCTCATACAATCAAGATACTTACAATAAATATTACGACATACTAGTATATACGCCTATCCATGCATATCGGCCAACGAAAGAAAAATCTAACCAATTGAATTTTCTTGAGGTTTATATGAGACCTCCCTTATGGTAATGTAAATTGTAATGTAATGCTTTTAATAAAAAAAAAGTATTGATTAAAAAAGTGGATAAACCAAAAAAAACTTCATAATTAATAAATAAATATTAACAAATAGACCTAAAAAAATTCCCTCCGCACGTTTTCCTTTTTGATATCGATCAATAATATAATTAATTAGAAACGATTCTCCAATCAATAACATTACTTCCACTTTTCTTTGAAAATGTATAACATTTAACATACTTGTTCGACCACTCCTTGGCGCCAGCCGATTCCTCCGAGCTGTCGTCGAACACACCCTTTTTCTTCTTTTTAAGTTCTGGCGATTCAACTATCTTTTGACGGTCTGTTAACAAAACAAATTACTCAGTAAGCTAAAATATTGTTTGAACATCATTTACACAATGAAAAGTGAAACTTCTTTAGAATCGTTGTGATTTGAAACTCGATGAAACGAAAATACGGCACTAGAAAGAGACAAACATAAATATATAGGATTAAGCCGGCGAGAGAATAAGATAGAATATATTACACAGGAAGTGAAAAATAATAGTGAATTATATGTTATGTAATATTTGTTAAATAAAATGTAAAATAACTTTTCAACTTGGTAAAAAAAAAACTAAACGTACTATCCTATGCCCCAGTATTATCCTACTCCTGATACTCTATATATGTTCATCTCATTCTCTCGTAGGTAATTTTTCTGAAGTTTCACTTCTACCATGTGTGAATTACACACACTTATATTACTTATATTTTTTATAAAAAATATTCATTAAAAAATATACAATGGTTCATAATAAACAAATCATAAAACACATCAAAAATTAAAAAACGAGCAATAATACAGACTTTTTTGCTTAACAAATGTAATTTGTTACATTAAAAGTAAAACAAAGTATATACATTTCTACAATATGTATTTTAATGACGGTACAAATAAATTTATTTTTCATAGTATTTTTAAGAGCATAAAAGAGGGACAGAGAGGCTTGGGCACACAATATTTACCACTTTGAATGCATTTAATCTGGCGACTATTGGTTTGAAAAAGAAATACCTATCTCAATGGAGAAGTTTCATTATGTTGTTAATATCATATTTAACGCAATGGATTTATAAAATTTGTAGAATAGAAAAAATTGAAATCAATTAATATATAATAGACTGAGATATTAATTTAAATTCCAGTCGTTCAGGTCGTGTGACGTCACGAAATTATTCTTACAAGCGCGCAACTTTACTTTTAGAAACCCTCCCCCCAACGCACGTTGACCTTGTCGTGGTGATGTGGGGGGAGGGGGGAGTCATTAGCGTCCGGCAATCCAGCCGAGCGTGTAGCCAAGGAATGCACCGGGAGGCGGCCCCCATCGGTGGGCGGTGGTCCATCCGGGTTGCTCCCGGTACTTCACGGATAGCAGAGTGGACTGTTGGAGCAGCCCCATGGTTGTTGCGGATTGGTTCGCAGGCCTGCCTTCGGGGCGTCGTGAGGTTCCGTTGGATTTTAGTGGGTAGTACTGCCATTGCCTGTGTCCCACACCTCATGCCTTAATGCATATCCCAACTTTCAATCCATTTAGCATTTCCCAACGTTAAAAAAAATAGGGTACGGAACCCTAAATAAACTTTTGGTCATAAATAAATTAGCGAAGCACCTTTCTTGTCGGGCCTGCAGGCGCGGCGGATGGGCAGCGAGTCGGACGAGTGCGAGCTGCTGCTGTCGCGCTCCGCCGACGACGAGATCTCCTCCGACGACGTCTCCATGCTGGGAATGTACAAAACACATTGCAAATTCTCGTTCAAACATTTTTATTATTATTATTTCAACGTTTTAATTTTTTAGAGCGAAGCATAAACTCTTTTTTTTTTAAAAAATAGCCTAAGTTAACAATCCAGTCTTTTCACAGATTAGCTGGAACAAACAGACAGACAGACAGAAAAAACTTAAAAAATGGTGTTTTTAAAGTTATATATATATGTGTATACATAATTTCATATGCATTTATTTAGTAAAAAGCTGTTATTTGACATTACAAACAGACACTCAATTTTATTTATCTACTAGCGACTCACTCTCGCTTCGCTCGGGTTCGTCCCTAGGGTATGTATACAACTTTGAATCGGATATTATTAAAATTTTCATTGGTTTTAATTTTTATTTGTGGAGGCCTTAATTTTTTTTCTTAAATAAAAGTAGCCTAGGTTACCCCTTATTACATCAGCTATCTGCCAGTAAAAATCCCGTCAAAATCGGTTTAGCCATTTCAGAGATTAGCCGGAACAAACAGACAGATAGACAAAAATTGTAAAAAATTATTTTGGTATATGTATCGTGTATACATCCATAATATGCATTTAGTAAAAAGCTGTTATTTTGACATTTCAAACAGACACTTCAATTTAATTTATCTGTATAGATTTGTTTTTGAGTAATGTTACCATCGTATAAATATTGACAAATATTGACATTAATATTTATACGATACTAACGTCACTCAATTGTTTTGCCTTTCCGGAACCCCTCCACTAACACTTAAACTTTATGGTATGGTATTAAAGTTCAATTAACTTTTAACTATTATTACGAATCTTTTGTATGGGAGTATAAAAGAAAAAGTGTTGTTTTTAGACTTTTTCTATGGGAATCTTTTGTATGGGAGTATAAAAGAAAAAGTGTTGTTTTTAGACTTTTTCAGGCAATTTTTCAATTTTTCTCTCCGTAAGAACCATCCTCGTACTTCAAGGAATATTCTAAAAAGAGAATTAGCGAAATCGGTTCAGCTGCTCTCGAGATTTGCGCTTAGCAACACATTCAGCGATTCATTTTTATATCATAGATATAGAGTAATCGTCATGTATCTTACCATCATTGCAAAAAGAATGCCATAACGCAAATGCCACTAACAAAAACTGGTGACAGAATCTCAGCGGCACTAGCTACATATGTACAATGTATATATACAAAGGATATTGTAGAGCATTGTAAGTGTGGCGAATTTTGCGCGCTTAACGTGCTCTCTCTTTTGGCACGGAGGTGTAATACCAACTACCAAATTCCGGATCGTTATTAAGAATTTCTTGAAACAAAACCCATTAGAGTACAACTATACTTAACCCAAGACTCGAATCTAGGACCTTCAAATCTGCAGTCGTAAGTGCTAGCTTCCAGACCGATGAGTAGTAGTGAGTAGCTATTCTACAACATAAAGGATAGCAGAAAGATTTAACCGATTAACCTAACAGAACATTCTTTGCCTATACATTTAGTATGTACAAAAAAAGTAAATAATAATATACCCAGTATCTTTGAAATCCTCGTCGGTTTCATCGTCGTCCTCAGAGGGCACGTCCAGAGAGTTCAATTTGCGAGGTTTCCTGCGTTGCTTCTTCTTCACTTTCTTCATTTCTACTGGTTTTCCCTAAAAAAATTTCAATAAATACTAACTTTATTTCAAACTAGCGACTCTTAACTTGTCCCTACTTACGTTTTAAGGTTTAGTATAAATTTCTCAGAGATGATATATTTTCCCGCGGTAAAAAGTATCCTATATTGACACGGATAATCAGCTATCACCATACCAAATTTCATCAAAATCCCTCCAGTGGTTTTTCAGTGATGCGGTAACAGACAGACTGACAGACAGACAAAAATTCTAAAAACAATAGATTCGGCCTATGTATCGATAATAATGTCTATTTAAATAAGATTTTCCAAAAAATATTTAATGTACAGATTCAGCTTAGTAACAATTTTATTATACGAGTATGTATAGATTTTCCCTAAAAATGTTCAATCAATACAAAAACATCCACTTTTGTCTACATACAAACATACATACATGCGAAAATATGTATTTATTTTGTGACAAACGATCAGTGTAACCTTCCGGTCTTACGATTGTCTATACGTTATTTTAGATCATAGTTTACCTGCATACTATATTTAATTCAAATTCATGTAACCATTGCAGTGTTAGGAAGTAACAAACATACACACATATGAATATATAGGTAAATGTACGTTTGTGAGTTTGTTACATTGAAACGCTGTAACAGTTAGAGAGTTATGAATGAAATTTTAAAATAAAGCTCTAAATATAGAGCTTAAGAGTCTAATAAGCCATATTAGACACCAGAATATTTGTATCACTGGACTATAAAAAGACACCACGTTTAGCTCACTTTGTAGTGACCCTGCTTGCTGTGCCAGTGGTTGCGGGTTCGAGTTCCGCTGGGGTATTCATTTGTGTGATGAGCACGAATGTTTTTACTTAAATCGTGGGCGTTCATATTTATGATTTGTATTTATTTAAAGTTTATAATATGTGTAGTGTATCAACTGTCTGGTGTCCATAACACAAGCCTCGAAGCTTACCTTGGAACTAGATGGTGCTGTGTGTTAATGTCCCAACATATTTATTTATTTTATTTATTTAACTACCTGTTCGATAGCCTCCCGCTCGGCCTTGAGCTTTTCCTCCTCTGCGGCCTCGATGATGGTGGAGATGTCCTTGCCGCGGCCTTGGTTGCCCGCGCTAGTTGTCGGCTCCACGTATTCTTCCTATGGTATAACGAAAAGATTTAGTTGTAGTAGTATTGTATTTAGCCATTTTTAACGTCCCACTGCTGGGCACGGGCCTCTCTTCATACGAGGAGGATGAAGCCATAGTCCACCACGACTTCACATATCTTTCGAAAACTTGCTAGGTTCTCTCAGACATGCAGATTTCCTCATGTTTTTCTTCACTATAAGATAAGTGGTAATCATGTTGCAAATGATTCGCATAGGAAAATATCAGAGTTGCGAAATTGGGTTTTGTACCAGCTTCACTCGGTTAGAAAAGATGTGATAACGTTTAAATCTTTATCAAAAACTAGCAAAGCTACATAATATTTTTGGTCACTATCCGTCACAAGAACCGATGAAGTCCATTCTGCCTTAAAAGAAAATAGTCATTTTGTCCACAATTTCATGAGTTTTAATTTTGTATACCAGAGACCTTTTTTTCTAAAATAAAAGTAGATTAAGTTATTCCTTATAACATCGGTTATCTGCCAGTGAAAGTCCTGTCGAAGTCGGTCCAACCGTTACGGAAATTAGCCGGAACAAACAGACAGGTAGAAAGACAAAATTTTAGTTTTTTTTTTAGTATTGTATACTTTCATATGCATTTAGTGAAAAGTTGTTGTTTTGTTAAAACAAATCGATTTCCTTAAATTATGTGTATTTGTATAGATCATCGTTTAAAAAGTACTAGATACACAATCAGCGACAAAAAATGTCCTCACTGAATGAGCGCTCATTTGAACATATGAGCGCGCTTTTAATCTTTTTGTTTGTTTGTGAAAACAACTTTAAGCATTGCATTTAAGGTCCAATTTACATTGTTGTATATTTATTTCAACTATAATATTATTACCGAAACACAATTGTTGACAGTTTTAAAAGAACTTTTGCATGGGTTTGTGTATCTAGTACTTTTTTGATCGATAGTATAGACAGATGAAAGGTAACATGATGGGCACCTAATTATTGTAAGTAATATAGTTTAAAAAAAATATATCTTGTAACCGTTGTGTATTTAAGTCAATAAAGATATTATATAATACCTTGATGGCGGAGCTGATGAGGCGGTCGTACTCCTGCGCGCGGTAGGACACGGGCAGCGCGCGGCGCGCGCGCAGCCGGTACACCGCCGCGTCCGACGACCACTCCGACCCCGACCCTGCGCTCACATCGTCGTCTGTTAACGTGTCTGCCCTAGTTCACGTATCAGGCACGGGAACGACTACTATGCCCACTAGACCGTATCAACACCGTATCATACCCGTACATAACGGTTTTAGTGCTGCGTATGCTCACCATTGCGCCGCCTGCGCGTACCGGTCCCGCAACATATTCTCGCCAACAATTGTTACCGCTCCGTGCACGCGAAGGTGCCGGTCCGGTCACGGAACGGTCTAGTGGGCAGAGTCTCATACTTTTCAATACAAAGAATATTTTTTTGCCTGACACGGTCCTAGCACAGTCATGGTATGATAAGGTGTAGTGGGCAGACTCCTTTATACTTCACAGTAGAGAGTCGGGTGCGTCTCGCCCGCGTCACTCTTCCCTCGTTTTTTAAACTATTTCTTTCACAAAATCATATTTAATGAAAAAAACATACAATAAAAAGAATTATTAGGATTTTTTTATTCAAACCACAATTACCCGAGTTATCAGAGAGTTCCTCCTTCTCCTCCGGCTTGTCCCCCTCGCTGGCCGGCTCGGGCTCCTCCAGCTTCTTGCGCTCGCGCTCCGCCTGGACGGTCGCGAATAGCTCGTCGTATTTACTCAGCTCTTGTTCTAGGGCGGTTATTAGTCGTGCCTGTAATTTTAAGTTAAATTATAACTAGCATCAGCTTATGGATGGTGTTTGTTAAATGTTTATGAAAAAAAACTCGACCGATTTGGATGATGTTTTTAGTACAAAAATAGACTGTAAGCTAGACCTCAGATAGAGGAGTAGCATGGCTAGTGTATATATAAAAGCGTAACACTATTCACTGATAATTATGAATTCTCGGAAAGAATAATTGCTACAAGCTTGAAATTTAGAAAGGACTAGAATTGCCCGCGACTCCGCCCGCGTTCAGATGACCAAAAAGCAAATTCTTAGGTTTTACATATTAGTATACTCTTACAATGCAGTTTTTGTATTTTTTATCAGAAATGAGATATTTTGACCCGGATAACCAGCTATCATCATACCAAATTTCATCAAAATCTGTCCAGTGATTTTCTCGTGATGCGGTAACAGACAGACAAACAAAAATTCTAAAAACTATAGATTCAGACTCTGTATCGTTAATAATGTCTATTTCAATTTGATTTTCCAAAAAATATTTAATGTACAGATTCGACTTAGTTACAATTTTATTATATGTATAGATTGGTAATTCAAATCTCTAAAGAATCTCTAAAAAAGGGAAAGGTTTAGAAGTTTGAATAAAAATTCATTATTTTTGCAGTTATTGTGACCAAAATTTTAAATCTTTGTAAATCAAAATGATGACTATTCTAATTCAAGGTTTTAAGCAATACACTCTCCCTACAGATGAAAAATAAGTCAGTCACTAATGTAATGTCTTGCAATCCAGCCGTGAAAGTAAAAGACATATTGAGAGGCGGCGAGTTGTTCTTGTTACTTCTCTGATGGAGGACGGGAGGAGGTCTGCTCGGTACCTAAACGTTGCGGTTAACTGCGCAAGTGATCCCCATCACTCAAGAAGATTCCTTTGGATTATAGTGGGCAGTACTGGCTAGCCGGCCACTACATAATCACTTATTGTGTAGGTGGTATACGTGAACACCTTTACTAACGTTAAAAAAAATCGGTCAGTGCTCCTGGGACAGAGCGTAGGAAATAAGCTAATTTCGCTGTACGCCCTTGGCTCATACATTAGCTTATACACATTGTCACGAGTACCAGGGTAGCATAGACATCGAGCAACGTACTGCGTACATGTTGAAGCTTCTTCTTCTTCATCTAAGGAAAGCCTGCGCAGAGTGCTAACGATTTTCTTACAACATACACTCCACAACACTTATGATCGCCAGGTACTTTTGTCAAAAGTACTACCACCACGGGCCTCAAGGAGTGCTCATTATATATGTAGGACCCCATCAAAGAGTGCATGCGACCTCCTTAACACTTATGCTCGCCTGGTAATTGTGATGACGTCACACGGGGTTGCTCTTAGTAAATAATAAAGCATAACCTTTTTCGTTACGTAATCATTTGTACTTGTCAATTAATTTTTTTTAACGTCGGCAAATGCATTTAGGCATACCACCTGAATACATACAGGTGGTTATGTGAGACTAACCGGGTAGAAAACCTACTAACACCCAACGAAACTTCCCCCGTCTTAATGGAGTGTCGCAGGATCACTTGCGCACTTAACCACGACGCTTCGAGGGCCACAACCACCACTCTGCAATCAGAGAAGTGCCAGAAGCAACCCGGACGACACACCGCCCACCGAGGTGAGCCGCTTCCGTGGTTTGTCCGCTTGCCGGAGCAAGAGGGCGGTATACGTACGTGGTCGCAGGGCGGGCAGTACCAGTCGCCGTCGGGCACGCGCAGCAGCAGCGGCGTGAGGCACGACGCGTGGTAGCCGGCGTCGCACGCGTCGCACAGCAGGATCCACTCCGGCTGCGACCCGCTGCCGCAGCGCGCGCAGCACCCGGACTCGCTTGTTACCTCTGAGGATCAATTTAGATACCATGAAACATAAAAATCGAACAATTATTATCTATCTTCTATATAAAATGCAGTGGTGGACCAGTGGTAACGCGTTCGCTTGGGAAACCAAGTGAAACGGGTTCAAATCCCGGATGTCGCACCTTTGATATTTTCATGTGCGAATCATTTCCAACATGATTACCACTTGTTTTAAGGTGAAGGAAAACATCGTGAGAAAACCTGTATGTCTGAAAGAAGTTTTCGAAAGACATATTAAGTCCGTTAGTTAATAATAAAATTTATATCCGCCCATAATTGGAAACGGTGTCCTCGTATGACTTTAATAATGCTATCAAAATAAGACCATCGTTCAATATACATGTGTCTAACATTACTACACCGGCACATAAACACCGACATGATACAGCTTTCCTTACCATACTTATGACAACAAAGGGAAGCAACAATACTTATAAGTCAAAGTAAGTCCAGTTAGGCACAGAAGCATCATTTGGGACTTCACCATTGTTCTTTGGCCAACCAGTCGGGACCTTTAAAATCAGAAGCTTGGAGAACCCAAAAACACAGAAAAACTGATTTAATCACTAACCCTGCAGTGTGCGGGCGCGCTTAACCGGCTCCACGGGCTCGCCGGTTTCCAGGTCCGACTCGGGGGAAAACTCGTGGTCAGACTTATTGAAATCCACTGTTAACAATACAGAGTAATCATTAATATTAAATAACTAAGTTTTTAAAAAATAAGGCATATTTAAGCATCTGCAATATACTGATATTGTCAAATGGAGTTGGATCAAGTTAGAAGGTTTTTCTACTGCCCGGCTCTACCACATTATCAAAATTTCCAATTAATATGATAGAAATGGGTTAAAATCGTCAATCGTCGTCGTAAAATCTTCCACTTTTTGCTTAATTGTTTGTTACAAATGAACTCAAAAAACATATTAAAAATGTATTTGGCCACTGACGACGTAATAGTTACTAAATACGAAAGTATGAATGAGTACACTGAAAGACCTGGAGTACTACTGCTACTGTTAGTAATAAAATTTACCAATAGGTGGCGTTACCTGTACATAATATTATAAATAAAAAAGGGCTAGGCTAGTTATAGATATAATGTATTTAAAACATAGATTATTACGAGTATTAAGTCTCTTACAATCAGGCTCATCGTGTTCAAACAATGGTTCTTCAGAGTCCGAGTCCTGGTCGGGCCCGGTGGAGTCGGAGGCTCGCCACTTCTTTACCTTTTTGGGTTTTTTAGCTTCTGAATCTGAGCTGCTTGCACTTGCTTTCCATTCATCTTCATCATCTTTACTCTAAAACAGCATAAATGAAGATATATAGTACTATGAAATTAATTAAATAAAATATTACTAAATTAGGATGCGAATGATTAGCCCACAGTGGCGTTCCAACGGGAGCCTGTCGGTCAAAGGCATGCCTGTATTATCCAAGCAGTAACTAAAAATAGAAGGACATAGAAAACTACTGCTCCAGCCCTAAGTGCCACGACGGAATAATAAGACAACCCCAACCTTTAAATTAAATAATACCCACATTATTTTAATTTTCATTTAGTTTAACTCCTCCAAGTAAATCTCTAAGAAATTAATTAAATTTCTAAGAAATTAATTGTTAACTGTAACACCGGCACACCGGTGTGCCCGCGGTCGTTGCCTTCATTTCCTAAAAAAATCAGTTAAATAACTGATGAGGGTATATTAATAACACCTGTTTGCCTGTTTGTACTTGACAACTCCATGTTTGTGCTAAAGCAAAGTTTAAACTAAAGCTAATAAATTTCCAGTTGATCGTGTAATATTCTCTCGACTTATTCTCGATTTCCAACAGTAACAAATCAGGGAAGTTGATCAAAAAAGTTAATTAAAGTTAATATTATTTAACAGTATTGGCCCGTGATTTAGCTTGGCGATATTTTGCGATTTATCGATGTACAATGTACATAATTATCTAACACATAATTTTTGTCATAGTCAAATAATAGATGAGTATATATATTTCTTATACCGCATCTTAGATTATGACGTCACACGTCGACGCCACTTTTTAAAGGGATATTTGTTAGGAAATGTGTATATAATATGTTCTAAGTTCACCATAATATCAATGCTCTAAACTCATACAATTTTCTTGATTCATTTGCAAATTATCAAGACTTAAGGTCAATTTAAAACTTACATTTTACATTTTTCAAAGCGTCTGTATAAAAATAATCAAAAAAAGAGTTTTAGGGAACAACAATGAACAACTAAGACTATTATTTCGTTTAAATATGGAGGAAAGGAGGAGGTTTCAGGAGAGTATGTTTTATCTTGCATGTTGTGTATTTTTTGCAATATTTTTGCCATTTAAGAACTCATTTCATCTTGATTTTAAAATTATTGAAAACCTTAACACAGATCTCATAAAAATTTCATAAAAAATTTCAATCCAAATGATTGTTCTTTTACTTTTTTATAAAAAAAAAGTAATTACATGACACTATTAATAAGATTTAAATCTCTTTGTGTATCTGTAATTTCAAATTAGATTTGAAATATCAATGATTTATCTATGGTTGAGGTGATTATTAGTCTATCCCATATTGGGCTCAAGTTACACAACTTATTATATATACATAGCTTATAGCAACAATCACCTTTTTCTTATGTATCATCTTCATCTCCCTCAAGGCCACCTCCTCCAAGTGCCTTCTCTCAGCTTCCTCCTTGATCTTCATCTGGGCAATGCGACGCGACTGTCGCACCGGCGTCACGTCCTCGCCTGACGCGGACCCGTCCTTGTCCTTATCCTTGTCCTGTGTCTTGGCTTTGGGCTTCTTCTTTATTAGCTTTTTTGGAGATCTTTTACCTGTTAAGTGAAAGTTATGATATCATAGTAACTAAAAAGTATTGAATGATTTTCAAATGAAATCAAAATTATTATTTTTTTAATTTATCATGAAATATGACGTACCTAAATTGTTTAGAGTTTCTTCTTCAGATTCACTCGAACTTTTTGCCATGTGTTTAGCTTCAACCTTTTTCCTAAAAATATATATATGTATTACAAAATTAAAACATATATATTTATAACATAAATATCGGCCATTAAATACAATATAAGAATGTATAGTATTACCTAGTAGAAGTCATAATTTTCTTAGGTTTGATTTTCAACCGCTTCCCACTAGCTATTGGTTCCTCTTCCTCACTTTCACTATGAGATTCATTGTTCTTATCACTCGCGTTTGAATTCAACAATGAACGCTTAACTGCTTTACTTTCCTTTTTAACTTCATCTTTATCATTAGTGGATTCATTTTCAGGTTTTTGTAGAATTTTTTTAGCTTTAAATTTGCCTTTTTTAGCTTTTATTTTCTTTCTGTTTGATATAGTATCATTTTGTACATTTGTATTTGAATTGTCATTTTCATTGTTTTCATTTGAATTGGCATCATCTTTATTGTCATTAGTGTCTTTGGAATGTGATTCTTCTAATTCGGGAGAGGGTTCTAGGCGTAATTTTTTGGGAGGCAGATCATCTTCTGCTTTAACTTTTTTATCTAGACTCTCTTCTTTCTCAATATCACTGTTTTCTTCATCTTGTTCTGATGAGAGACTGCTTTTTCTCTTTTCAATAATACTGGCTTTATTATTTTGACAACTTTCTGATTCTGATACAGAATTTAAAGCTTCTTTAGAAGGATCCTTTTTAAGTTTGCGTAAAATTTGCTTTTTCTTTATTCTATTTCTCACTTTTTTTTTGGTTTTATTTACATTTTCACAGTTAGTTGTGTTTTTGTCATTAATACTGCTTTCTTGTTTTGAATCTTTTTCATGAACAGAATTAGAGTTAGAACCATTAGATTTATCTAAGTCCCGTATACAGTGTTTCTTACAGTCTGATTTGATATTTTCTGTACCATCATTAGACTGTTTCTTTAAAGACCTCTTAGTTACTGATTTATTTTTTAACTTAATACTTTTACTTAATTTAGCTTTTTGTGTAGAATTTGACACATCGTGGTTTTCACCGTTACATTCCTCAGGAGGATTTTCTTCATCACTTTTTTCATCAGTATGGGCTTCTTGAATGGCGTCAGGGTTTCCGGTATCATTTTCGACCCCATAACCTTCACCATAAAAATACATTACCGGTTCAGATATTTCTTCACCGTAAAAATAAGCGCTTTCACAATCTGCACCACTGCCTTCCCCAGTTACAACCATAACAGGTTCCTCTATTGCTTCGCTAACAAACTCAGATTCCTCATTTACAGTTTTGGACTCTTCTTCAACAGTTACAGATTCCTCGGCTTGCTTTTCAACATTAATATCACTACTTTTAATGTCTTTTACAATATTCTTATTTTCTACTACTTTTTCTTCAATACTTTCTACATTATTTACAGTTTCTTTTTTCTCTACTATTTCTTCAGGTTTATCATCTGGAGTTTTATCTACTTTATTTTGTTCTTTTTGATCATCACTTTCATGGTCAGACTCAGATTCTGGACTTAGGAACTCTTCTTCATTATCTTCTTCTACTTCAGATTCACAAGGCTGAAATATTTGTGTAGAACATATTAAACAATAACATTGATATAAAAAGAAGAAGAAGAATGAATTTATTATGTATTAACAGTTTATTATTTCAATAACATGCAAATATCTCTAACACATAATTTGTTGAAAATATTGTAAATGTAATTGAATTTTTATTTTGGAGATTTACTTTAAATTGGTGGAATATTAAAAAACTTGCGACTCACTCTCTGTTATCTTGTCTCTAGACAAAAACAAATCCATCCCACAACATCTTTTTAAATAGATATTTGAGTATTGTAACTGTTACACAGAAATTATTTATGATGTCACAAAGATTCTTACTTGTTTTACATCTACTTGTGGGGGTATTTCGGCACTACTTGAATCTTCTTCTTTGTTGTTAGAAGCTACAGGTGTCACCTCTTCACCACTCTTTAGCTGCCCAATAATTTTCACTAATTCCTCTCTATTGCTGCAAAAAATAATCTTTCACATATTTATTGACATTTGTATTTCTAATTTTCTATTAACATTTTCAAGGATGCATGATTAAATTTAATTTGTACCCACCAGCTAATTATAATTCAAAAATTTTATCATCAATTTTGTGTAGATATGTGCTCAGTAATTTTAAAATCACATAATATATAAAACAAGATTGTAAGAAATACCTTGCTATTAATTGCCAAGTCTCTTCATCCTGATCTTCTTTAAACAAACACAGATTAGCCTCATGGTCAACTTGCAACCAATAGACACAACCATTTTTATCCCTTCCTAATGGATCTAACCTTAACTCATCACAAGATATTGCATTAACTGCTGTTTTGAACTTTGGGTGACATGTAAATTGATATTCTAGCAGTAGCTGCAATGAAAGTTTCAAAAGTTTGTTTTAGTCTTATAATATTCTATTAAAAGAATTATATGATTCAATGACTATATTATTTATAATTTTAAGTTTCACCAGTACAAATATTTAATAAAAGTACTAGGGCATTAATAAAATATGATTAATCCTTTGATAACTTTGATAAAGGAAATGCACTTAATATGCAGTAACAAACTGATTATTAAAAATAATAATTATTATCCTTTTATTTCACATTATCATTCTATAAACAACACGAAGTATAAAATAAAATGAGGTAATATCTTATTATCATAAAACAATAGATTCTCTTCTTATTGGAAATTACTGGATGCAATATATTCCTTATTTAAAATGAATAAATTGTCTTATGAAGTAAGTATAACTCTTACTTTCAATATTCGCAATTTCACTTGAACACTAGCTTTCTTGTAAGAAAATCTTTCTATTTCCCAAGCTTCTTGATGGTAAGACTGTTGGTGACAAAATTTGATGAGACTCCTCTCCCATCTGTTGCTCTGTACCGATTTCAGGGCCCGACGCAATAACCTCAAGTGAAGCTCTTTTAAAGGATCTAACACTAAAAGAATAAAACATTCACTAACATGTTTGCCAAGTTTGTTTATATTTTACGTGACAAATCGACACCGTTAGCTCACCTTCCTGCGTGTTTTCTATCAACTCTTGCAATTTAGCTATCGTAGGTACTTCTAAACTATACAATTTACCGAAAACTTTTAAGAATGAGTAGATAACGGCGAAATTAGGATCATTCGTACACGAAATTTCTCCATCAGACGCCATCGTCGTCAATTATTAAGCTTTTTTACTTATCATCGCTAAGTGATTCTCACTACCGGTATATAACAGTTTCACTTACAACTATTAGATTATTACAAAACATGTACATGATTCACGAAAATATCATCATTCTACAATCACTAAAAGTTTCTTTCCCTATTTTCCTAAAATAATAAAATAAAACTCGATGACAGCCATCGCCACATAGACAACCACGTTTTTTTCAAACTAAGCATTCAAAGGCAAACGAGTTCCTTCATACAGCATTAGTCTATTATAAAATAAGTTTAAAAAAATGTTTAATTTAATTTAATAATAATATTTAATCAATTGTAAAGAATTACACCGATAATTCATTTATTTAGAACTTACTAAAAGTAAAATTTATGATATATTATATTTGATGTTAAAACGATATTATTTATATTATACTTTTGTTTTACTAAAGAAATTAAAAATATAATAATGTTAAAGAACAAATATTGTTTTGAAATGAATTCCTTTTAAATTATTGACATATTGAACCTGTAAAATTGATATTTATATAAAATGTCACTTCACTAATCAGTGCACTTGTCACATGCATACCAAGAAAACCCTATTGAAATTTGAAGGAGTGTGTACTGTGTATGTGTGTTGATTTCGTTTGCTTTGTGCACAGTGTGACTGCTTTGTTCTTATTATTAGGTTTAAAATTTGGTACCAACCATCATGTCTTCAGTATGTTTCGGAACAAAGAAACAAAAATTGAACAATTCGTACAGTAACCACGTTGATCGACCTATTAATGGTTACCAAGAGTCAGTTGCAATACCTGATATGTGCTACTTTTGTTTCGATGTCTTGTACTCTCAGCTGCACAGTATGGACCCCCCACAAACACCTAATTTCACTAATGAAGCATAGTAAGTACTATAATACTTTGTACTGAAGCCATTAGAAAAGTAGTTTTAGGTTCACTTAACTTAGTTAATACCTATTGTTTGTTAGTAACTTTGCCATAATTTACTTCCTGTTTTAGCATCCAAGAAATTTTTATCCAAAGACAAAAGATTTCATTGTGGTTTGTCATTGAATTGATACTCATATTAAAGTTGATATTTGACCTTAAGATATAAATATTTAATACTTCATATAGAAAATGTTAAAATATTTTATGTTCTTATATCATTTATTATCAGGAATATAGTTATCATCTTTACTTTATGTATAGTAATATATGTTCTAATAGGTATATAAAATAGATTTATTTTTAGGATTATGCCATAGATTTTGTATGTTTAAAAAGCATTGTTTTTATTGAACATTATTTTATTATTAAAAATTATCATTTTCAGTCCCCTTTTTGTTACATGGAAGATTGGCAAAGAGCATCGTCTTCGTGGGTGTATTGGAACCTTTAATGCTATGCATTTGCATTCAGGTTTGTAAAAGTGGAAGTTTTAAAGGAATTATAAAATATATTGAATAAATAATATGTTATTCCTTGGTATCAATCTACAAAACCATGATAAATACATACTTTTACATTTTTACTTGTAATGCTAGTGCTGCTATTAATATAATTAATGTTTGATTTGAGAAAAATGGAAAAGATTGCCACTGGATTTTTTATTGTAAAGATCTAATTTATACTAAAATTATAAATGCGATAGTAACTCTGTCAGTCTGTTACCTTTTCACACTTTTAATCTGCTAAACTGATTTAGATGGAATTTGGTATGGAGATAGTTTGAGACCCTGGAAAGGTCATAAGATAGTTTTAATACTGAAATTCGGCCCCTAATGTTGCTAATAAAAAGCGAAGCGAGGGAGAGTCGCTAGTAGTATAAAAAATAATGCTAAGTTTCATTTTAATTGTTTAATTAAATCCAAAATAAACATGTGGCCGAAGTCACAATATTGAGTAACTAAGCATTATTATTACAGGCGCAGTGAGTAGTAAGGTGACATTTTAATTATCAATGTTCCAATTTTTTTAACAAAACAAAAAGAATACACTGTGTTATAATATCTATACATATTGTGATTTCTAAATAAATATTCTTTAAAAATAAATAAAACATTTTCAAAATCTTTTTATTTAAAGATTAATTTATTATTTTCTTATTTTATTCCCGACTTTTTTATTTTTTGGTCACGGGAAAAAATGTTTACTGTAAAGTTTGAAACGTCGGGATCGTCAAAATAAATCCGCGAAAAAATACGAAAATATATATTTTATTTAAAATGACAAATACATATTTGTATACATCTAACATAATATTTTGTCCCACTTGACCGTCTATATTCTTTAACATTTTTACATAAGTGAATCAACAAAATATAAATAAGATTGACTACTTACATGGTCAGTAGCGTCTAATCTCTACCACATAAGATATCATTCATCTAAACTTAAATGTGTTTCTAAATATAAAACACTTAAAACTCTTTGAATTGAAAAATCATGTACCTACAACATGACTCATGACATATTCTGTTTGAAATTTTAGTTTGTCTAGAGTAATTTCAAGCATCCTTATAGATACTTAAGATTTAGAATGATGACCAAGTCAATGTTATTTTTATTCAGTGTTCATATATGTTATATATTATATGTATAGTTTTATATAAACCCTAAGAGATATTATAATCTATAGTCATGCAAAGAAATTTAATTCCTATATAGAATTCTTAGTATGTATTGGCAATTCATTAATTCCAAAGGTTTCAAATTAAACAAACATTTTAACATCTGATAATAGTAGAGTACATATTACAGTTAAAACCGTTTATGAGGACATCGTTTAGAACAACATCGGTTATATTGATCAAAATCAAAGGTCCCGGCTGAATGCTATATGACCGCCTTACTAAAAATATTGCTTTTTACGACATTGCTTATTACGAGATACCTCTTTAAGCGACCACATTTAACTAATATCTTCGGCGAATTACATCTGTTAGAACGACCAGCTGTATTGTAAGCAATTTGAATAGGTAACAGTATCCACATCTGGCCCTCGAGGCCTCAGCATAATGGTTAAGATCGCAAAAGTAAACAAAAACTTGTCGAGTTTAGGGTATTTTGTAATTCTTAGAAACACACACACACACACGTGCATGCAGTATAATCAAAACCTGCTTCTTCATATTTCTTCAGTCAGTTTCTTACTTATCTGTACACAAGACGCACCAAATCATATAGTCGAGTTATTTGTGAAACTTTTAACATGTCGCAAAGAAAAAGAAAACAAATTAATATCCCTTATGACAGCAATTTTTTGAAAATGAAACGAACCAGAACAACGAGGAATACGAAGATTGAGGAAGCTTTGTTAAAGTGGTTTAAATATCAAAGGACAAATAATGTGCCAATAAATGGACCAATTCTTCAACAAAAAGCAAACGATTTTGCTCAGCGTGTTGGTGAAGATTTCGTTTGCTCTCTCTCTCTCTCTCTCTCTCTCTCTCTCTCTCTCTCTCTCTCTCTCTCTCTCTCTCTCTATATGTAGATACACATCCAATAATACCACTTCATAAAAAATACTTTGTGCCTAAAAACCATCACCGGCTGCTACGACTATCGGTTTTTACGACCAAATATGAGTGGTCCCTTCGACGTCGTTATAACAGATTTTGACTGTATTAAATAAAGGTAAAATGAAATGTATCAGTATCAGGGTTCGAAACGATAATTATCATTGATAAGTATCATGATAAATATGGGTTGATAATTATCTTTGATAAATATAATTGAAAATATTTAATTTGTAAATCTTCAAATTGTCGATCAGCTAAATAACTCTCTCAATCACCTCAAAAAACTCAATCAGCAAACTGTGTTAATGTAGTTGAGGAGGATGAGGATGATATTCCGCTCATTAAGGAGTCTGCCCAATACACCTCTCATACCATGACCGTGCTATGAACGTATCAGACACAGAAACAAACGACTATGCTCATTAGAACGTATCATTCGCGTATCAACCGTGTATCATTCGCGTGTCATATCCGTATAGTTTCCGTTTTCTCAGTCGTAATAGTTCACCTATGTTTTGGCGTGAGCTAGGAAAAGCGAGTGAATATTTTTGTTACGAAAATTATTTCCTATACCTATACGATGGCTATTAGGAACTTGTCCGACAAAAAATAAACAATGATAGCCATTGTTTTAGACGAGGAAGAAAGAGAATAACATCAGTCGATCACGATGTTTCTAGGTTCAGGCCGATTTAAAAAAAATATAATTTAAAAGAAAATATTATAATTAGAAGACAAGCGACAACACGTTTATAACGGGCTTAGAATGATCATCATACGCAGTTATAACCCGTGTGCTCACCGTTTCGCCGTCCGCGCGCACCGGTTCGGCAACATCGCGTGCCAGGCACGGAGCGTATCGACACCGGCAAAATATTCTTGCCAACAATTATTATTGTTAACTTTCCATGCACGGCACGCGTGTTGGTTGGTGACGGAAAGGTCTTGGTCGGTGATGGAACGGTCTAGTAGGCATAGTGTCATATTTTTCAATACAAAGAATATTTTTTTGCCTAACACGGTCCTGTTATGGTCCTAGCACGATGATGGTATGAGACGGTATAATGGGCAGATACCTTTAATTTAATTAAATAGTGTCTATATAGTTAGTTAAATTTATTCTGTTTTTATTTCATATTTTGTATATGTCGAAATAATGAAAAAATAATAATAATAAAAGATTACCTTGATTGTAAAAAGTGTACAATTTATTCTAACGATTATGATAGGCAAGTAGTCAAATACCAAAACCTACACAAGTATTGCTGTTTATACTTGTTTGATAATTATCGGATAATTATCAAAAGATATATTTATCTTGATAATTTCATCATCATATTGAAATATATTACTATATAATATATAATAATATATTACCAGACAATTTTAGAGTTAAGTTGACTAGCTTCTATATTTGTGCCTATAAATAGTAAATTTAGTATATGTTACATCACAAACTGATAATGAAACAGGTTTGAGAAAACACTTCTCTAATATTATATTTTATAATAACATTCAATCAAGGTAATGTGTATACTTAGATAAAAACGTTTACTATAAAAAAGTGTTACGTACGCACGTTAAAAAAGTTATACTTCTTTGTTTTTTTAGAGCATCTAAATCTAAGCTTTTTTTTATTCGTACTCTTCTTATTTTAGCAAAACCCTTTATTTGATATCTATAACAGGTGGATGCATAAAAAAACTTAGGCTGCTATCTTTAGGAGTCCGCCATATTGGATTTACAATATGGCGGACGTCACTTTATTGTGGTTCGCTCTTCACGCCCTTTCATTTAATGCTCATAAAGGGTCACTAGGGAAATGATAAATCGGCATTTTTTAACGCCCGCTACATTGGATTAAAATGGCAGCATTAAAGTTATTGTCCACTGTCACGAAAATCAAACGTGTGTGCCAAATTTCAGCTCAATTGGACACTGGGAAGTGGGTCAATTTAACTTGCAAAATTAGATTACAGACAGACACCGGGACAGGGAAACTAAATAAAAGCCTGTTATAATTTTTATTTTTATCGATATAAAACGCGTTGTGTATATAGAAATACCGGAATAAACATCTAGAATATAGACTTCACACTATACTTACTAAAGAGGAGATTTAGCGACTAACTTCATACTGCAGTCTAAACCTGTCGCATCGTAAAAAAATCACTCATTTTTTTCCTTAACGCGCCAAAAGAAATATAACTTCAAAACTGGTTGCACTTTTCTTTCTTTTAGTTTATTAATATAAAACTATTTAACAAGAAAGTAACTATGGATTAGTTACAATTTAAACTTCAGGTATAAGGACTGTTATATACCTACTTATTAATCCACTATTCATTTATCTGTAACTTATTGCAAAAGTGGCTTAACCTTAATCTTTTTATGAAATATTTATTACTTACCTCTAGTTATTGCATTAACTTATAAGAAAAAAATATTAAAAATTTATGTTTGCTCTGTAAAAAAATATATCTTATATATAATTTTTTTCAGTTTTCTTATTTAAGTCATTTTTGCATTGATCATCTAATGTTATGCCAATTTAAAATATAACACCAAAACAAATTATATTATGAATACATATTATTATTTATTTTTAGATAGCATTGTATGTTTCACGATTGTACTTACAGGCATATGATTCTAATAATGATAATTGTTTCCAGGTCTTCGCGAGTACGCGATAACGAGTGCGTTAAAAGACTCCCGGTTCACACCGATCACTCGTGAGGAGGTGCCTCGCTTAACCGTATCTGTGTCCATTTTGCAACATTTTGAAGAAGCTGAGCATTATTTAGACTGGAAGTTGGGTAAACATGGTATACGCATCGAGTTCATAAGTGAAAGGGGATCTAAACGCACTGCCACCTATTTACCTCAAGTCGCTACTGAACAAGGTATTTTTTGATTTCATGTTGTATTTTTCGTTGGATTAATTTTCGGGTTTTAAGTTAAATCTTCTACTCCATGAAATTTCTCCTAAGTTTAGAAAGTAACGATTTTTGCGAGATAGAAAAGTAGCCTATGTGTTCATTCAGAGTAATATCTACTCCGCTCTGTAAACTATGTCTATGCGAAAAATCAAGTCGGTACGTTTCTGCGTTGTTGCATAAAAGAAAGAAGACCAAATTATCGAATTATACATTTGTATAATAGTTAGAGCAGAGCCCGCGGCTTCGCCCGCGTTTAATCTACAAAAAAATCTTTGGGTTTATTTTATACAGCGACTCACATTCGCTTCGCCCAAGTTCGTCGCTATGTACCTATTTATATAATATTGCTCATACCAAAAAACTAAAATCGCGATTAAAAATGGAGGGAGAAAAATACCTTACGACCTATTCTCATACCAAATATACAAGATAAAGTGGAGCCGTTTCGGAGGAGTGCGACCACAAAAATCGTGACATGAGTTATTTATATATTATATTAAAAAGCAGTAATAGTAATAAATGCAAATGATATCCAAGGTTCATGTGCAGATTAAGCTCTGTTAACAAAATCCACTCGCACTATATTATACTGGTGTAAAATTTTGGTAAATCATTTTGACGCCTTAAAGTCTATAAATCAATTTAAAAAATCTTTAAGTCTGCGTTGCCTATGAAAGTTAGTTTTAGCTTTTTATTTTTAAACATCCTATATTAATAAGGTTTATTTTTATTAATATTATAAGTGCGAAAATGTGTTAGGGTGTAATTATTTAAAATATTCAAACATGATTTCAAAGAAAATTACTCAATTTTTATCCGTTTCAATAATATAAACATGTCACGAAGTGTATAATAACTCTTTAGTGTGAAAAGCAACATTTGTAAAGCAAAGTAAACATTTTTTGTATGGTGTTAGTCCGTTGCCAATAAAGTTACCGTATTGTTTACAGTTTACATAGGTACTATTATTTATTATATTTATCGTTAGAGAATAGAGGACGTTATAAGGTTAGACCTAAAATATAATCTGAAATTTGACCTATTTAGAATATTTACTCACGTATATTTAAAAAGTTACCCATGTATCGATTTTTTTAAATATTATAAATGCGACAGGATGGATGGATGTTTGTTACTCAATCACGCCAGAACGGCTAAACGGATCTGGATGAAATTTGCCACAGAGATAGATTATAGTCTGGAATAGCACATAGGTTACTTTTTAACCCGGAAAAATGTGTGATTCCGGTAAGATATACATAAAGCGATAAATAAAAATTGATTAATTCCAGGTTGGGACCAAATACAAACTATCGATTCGCTCCTCCGAAAGGGCGGTTATAAAGCAACCATCACGGCGGACATGAGACGTAGCATCAAACTAACTCGCTACCAATCAGAGGAGGTGTCCGCATCATACAACGACTACATCAACCAACGATGCTAGCAAATGGCAAGCCCGCTCGCATACACGTGCCTATACAGGACCAATGCGAGCGAGAAACATTGTGTTAACAATAATATAGACAATAAGAATATGTTTAGTGTTCCGAACGCGTGGCTTTATGGTACGGGTCAGGGTTATGTTCAAAGTGACGCCGTTTCGAGTTATGTGGATATCGTGTAACGTTTAATGAAAAACACTGCCAACGACATTCCTCAGTCCACAGGTAGGTGCCATGTTGACGTTTGATTGGTACTCCGATATTTTGTTGCGACGTTTCGCTTCAATAAGTTGTTTAGTTTTTTGTGTCGTGAATAGAGCTTTAGTGCTGTTTTAATAGTCAATATGAATAATCTGTTTTTGAGACTTTTGGCCTACTAGAGATATATACTTGACTTAACTGTTATAGAGCATCTGTCGAGTTTCTATCTCAGTAGGTCCAGCAAACAATTTTGATGAAATTATAGTATATGTTGAATTTTAATGGGACTTGTTTTTTTTCTATATCGGATATGTTTATGTGCCAATATTAATTTAGTGTTACAAAATAGTCTATTTCATTAGATTCCCTAAAAAAATGATAGGCTGTGTTGTGAAATTTACCGTTAAATATGACTTATTGTATAGAACAGCTTTACTCAACCTGCGGCCCGCGGGCCGCATGCGGCAGCATCAAAAATCGCATTATAACATATTTTTGTTAAAAAAAATAACTACATCGTTAACTTGGAATTACGTTTTCTTTAAGACCTAAATAATTTTTGCTTCCGGCCTCCACACTATGACTGAAATGTGTTTGTGGCTCCTATAAAAAAGGTTGAGTATGGCTGGTATAGAAAAAGCAAAACGTCGCATACGAACAAGATATCTTTCGTAACTTGAATAAAATATTATCTCGCTTTGAACGTCTGCAATACTTCGTTACTCGAATAGACACTTGTGTGGTTTAGTAGTTAGAGTGCGATAGCTGTAGCTGTCTTAAACAAGGTTTAAAATCAATCGTCCTGATGCAAGTTTTTACAAATGTCAAAATCTATACATACTTTCAAAGGTTAACCCCCTTACCATTACTATGAGACGTAAGGTAATCGTTAATACACTTAATGTGATATCGATTACAACACAGTAATCGATATTACATTAGTTGTATGTCAACTCGACCGTAAAATATTAATAAAATCTTTGAATTCCCTAGGCCTAGTGATTTCTTCTAATGTATACAGCACTTTTTAACGTCTCATTGCTAGGCACGGGCCATAGTCCACCGCGCTGGCCAATGGCAAGTTGGCGGATTTCACATGTCTTTTAAAAACCGGCTAGGTTGTCTGAGGCATGCAAGATTCCTCACGATGATTTTCCTTCACCGTTGAGACAAGTGGTAATCGTGTTGGAAAAAGCATACATACAAACGAACATAAGAGTCTTCTCCTTTTTGGGAGTTGGTTAATAAATGTAGTAGTGCAACTTACGAGTACTTAAAAGTATATAGTTGTATTACTTTGTCACAGACTAAATAGTGATTTTATCGCTTAGTTCTGGACTTGCCGGTAGAGCATCTGCTCATCGCCAAATGGACGAGTTGACATAATCAGAATTGATAGTCAAAAACGATTACAAGTCAACGTAATAGTAAGGTAGTTTGTAATTGAAATCATGATTGTGAAAATGCACCGTTTCATTAATTAATTATATGGAATCGCTAGTTTTAGAGTTTCGATAATTTGAGTAATTAATTAACTACATCGGGTGTTCACTTAGATCATAATTTTGACTCTAACGTAAGGCTCGGTTCACACTATCAATCTCCACATAATAATCTAATTCTCGTTAATTGTTAAATAGGAAATAGTGAGTGCATTCATATTTTCCATATCGAATAAGTCTTAAAATAGTGTATTGTTTACAAATTGAGACTAGATTTACCGGAGATCGTCATATTGTGAATCGAGTCGTACTGTTGCGTAAAGGTTTCGTCTACACTAGCAATATAGGTAAGTGTGAGATAAACGCCGAATTATTATATTAAGAACTGAATGGTGTTTATTGTTCACAAAATGTCTGAGAAGTATAATTTTTATAACGAGTGTAATCTGGACATCGTGGTTCTAACCTTTGCGAATAGGTGATATGGTTATTAATATTAATGTTAAGACTCGTATTTACTAGATTTCGTCGGTGAATTTCTAATGCTTGTACGTTAAGAAGTTCCAGAACGCCACTGATAATACGAATTTAAGGAGATACGACTGATCTATAACTTTTTTTTGAATTGTTAGACCAAATTGAACTTTTATTGAGTTACGAAATTCGGAACACATTTTTTTGTTGTCGTATATTTTGACCTATGGCTAAGAAGTTTACCGATGATAATTCTATATTTTTAAAATGAAAAGATTATGGCAACATATAAAAAAGAGAACTTAGTCCAGTTGGACACAAACAATTAAAGACATCGGCTTTAATTAACAATGAATAAGTAGAGGTAACTTAATATTTTATGCCAAATGAAATCTTTTGGTTTTTATTTACTTCCTATAAGTATTGATTCGATACTGTGTGAAAAATTAGGTACCTACTGTGATCATCTTGAACGCCATGACATTTTCAATTTTGGCAATTTAAAACTGTAACATAATAAAAAGCGGTTATTCCAAATAATATGTAACTATTTTCAAGAAACATCTAATTTGTACGAGTCTCAATATATTGTGTTTCTAAAAATAATTAATGATTCTGATTTATGTGGTATCTGGTGAACTTTTCACATAAACTTATATCCAACGTGATAATCCGTTCAAATCAATAATCATCAATAGATAAAATGTTAGAAAGAGACTTTATGGTTATGTCTCGCATATCTTAACTTGACAACACTATTGGTAACCTATCCATCTGTGGTTTAAAACCACTGGTTTTCCATAATATTATAGTATAACGATAGCAATTTGACATAATTTGTTTGGTGCATATGTCAATTTTCTATCTAAAATAAGGAAAATTCGAAAACATAACTTTTGAGAACCGTTAATTTGCCTATTCCTCTGTCTCAATTATTACATACATGTTGGAAATTCTTTTTTTGTCTTAGTATAAACATGCTGTATGTTTTTTTTATTTTTAAATATGAAGTTTAAATTTTTTCAGGCTATATTAATATAATCTTTATATTATCTATAAATCTATTAATAGAATCTCTGCTTTTCTTTATGAGTCACCTTGTAATTTAAACTTCATGGTTTAACTTATTTTTATTTACCTATACGCGTATTAGAACTATGAGAAAAAAGTTTTAAGAATTGCAATAATCATGGGTGGATTAAGTCTAATACTTGTAATGGACACTGTCAATTATCAAAGCAATTTTTATGGGGATTTGTAACCAAAAAAATACAGACTTTTTGGATATCTTAAACGTAAAGTTTATGTGAAAAGTCCCTCGCGTGCGTTGTTTAATTAAACATTAAGGTCATGGTGATTTTGTTAATTATCAGTTAGGTATAGGATGATATACTTTTTTACGTTTTACAATTTTAACATGGCAGAATCACGCGCTGACATCCAATATTTAACAGTACTTAGGTCGGGATAGCTCATTTATGCGTTAACATTTGTTATAATTTTAAATATCGAATGTCAAAGCGAAAAATTCTAAAAAAATTAAAATATATATATAAAAAGGAAATAAAAAAGAGTATAAATATAATAAGATTTATTTGTTATAGATTGTAAGTGGCCATCTTACTTTGTCGATATTTTTAATACGAGTTGTTATTGTATCGATGCTTATTTTGTTAATGATCAAGAACTTATCTCTAACTTGATAATAAAATGTCTGCCAAAAGTCAATAATTTCTATCTTTTTCAAATGTTATAATTAAATATTTTATAGCTCAATCTTACCACCCGTTGTCTTCTAGTTAGAGTAGAATAGGAGGAGTGTTTAAATGAGTTACTGTCATTGTGAAATTTATGAGAAATTTACATTTTAAAAATCGGAAAAGTAAAGAAACCGACTCCCTCACCAAGAATATATTGTTTCTAGGTTACATAAATACGTTACTATTTCAATTTCGTAGTAGGTATTTCTATAAAAACAGGTATATTATATATAGCGTGGACTGCAGCTGCTAAAGGAACAAGGTGTCGAAAATGGCATGCCACGAAAACTAATCACCATACCTATTCTATCAGCAAATTAGAGCAAAGGCATCTTTAAAATAGTCACATAAAATATATTATTGTTTGTTTTTTTGTTGTATTCCTATATACTGTTTCTAAGACATGTTTAAAGGTCTTGTTTTTGACTGCTGGTTAGTATTGAAGCCTTTTTCCAAGTACTTTTTTAATATATATATTTTTTAATTTACTTACGATATTGAAATAGCTAGGATACTTATATTATGCTGCTATAAACGAATTCTAGTGGATGGGAGGACAGTTTAAAGGGTTAAATATGGATAAAATTACCATACTTTTTTTAATTTGAAAAGGAAAAGAGTTCTCACTGTTAGAATGAGGAATACCAATCGATACGCAAAATCGCACAAAACTTTGTTATAGTGGAGCTACTTAGATGTCTACATGTGTTTTGGTTTCATTCAAATATTTTACACAAAATACTATAATAATAAAATATTTTACAAAAAATACAAACATTAAAGTTACGATTAAATTCAAATTTCCACGCGAGCGCGCGCTTATATTGTTACGTCATACAACATATGACCTCAATTGTACTCCCAGCTCCCGCCCGCAAAAATAAAAAAGTAAGTACCTACTTCTATACATAAATAATAATATTCTGAGTTGAATCTGTACATTAAACATTTTTTGGAAAATCTTATTGATATTTAAATAAGATTCTCGGCCTCTGTATCGATAATAATGACAATAGTCATCTAGTATGAGTAGAGTATCTATAGTTTTTAGATTTTTTCATTTGTCTGTCTGTCTGGAAAAGTAATCACGAGAAAACCACACTGAACAGATTTTGATGAAATTTGGTAAGATGATAGCTTGTTATCCGGGTCAACATATAGGATACTTTTTACCGCGGTAAAATATTTCATCTTTGAGAAATCTATAGTAAACGTTGGGGCGTAACACGGAGGAACCCGAGCGGAGCGAGAGTGACTCGCTAGTCCTTAATATTATTGTGTTTTATAGAGTAGACGTACGGTATATGTATGACTTGATTTATCGATTAGAAATAACTTTTCGGGTGCATTGCTGGTTGTATTAACACACATAGGCACAGTACAATATTTTTTGTAGGTACTTGGATTGGACATATCGACAGTTTTGGCGAGCTTCAACACAAGACTACGGGAGCGCGCGACCGACTGCCCGAGCGCGGGTATCGTATGAGGTATGACGTCATAGTATCGAGCGTAGACACCATGCTGCAAGTTAAAAAATTCAATTTCTTGAAAACTATTTGAAGTAGATATTGTATTGGAAAAAAATTTTATAAGTTTTTTTTTTATTTTCAATGTAGTTTTTTAAGCTTAAGCTTAGCTTTAGCTAGAAATCTAAAATTGTTGGTATTCTTCATTACAACCTTTTTCTGTCATATCATATTTGTCCTTATCTCACAAAGCCATAGTTGTAGGCTTATAAGCACTTGGGAGACATAAACAGTAAACAACGAAAACATAGAACCACTAATTTATATTCATGATATTTACAAACTATTAACATAATTTATAACAATTACATTTCACCCTTATTCTCTAAACTCTTTTCAAGTTCCATCATCTTGTGTCTTATTACAATATTGTTTCTTATTTCAAAATATGTTATTGCTGCAGATGCGGTTAATTGTGCTAAGACAATAAATCCTAGGGTCCCAGTGAAGGATCTAGTGTGTTTTCTCATGAATTGAAACATAACTTTTGGTCCTTCTTTTAAATGTGGAACTCTGAAAGTTGCATATCTGTTGGCAAACTGGAATAGAATTATAAATTATATTTTTTTCAAGTTAATTTTATACTCTTAGTTATACTACTTAAATTGTTAAAATTTTTGCAAACACATGGTAGAATATCTAAAAATATAAAACAGATATGGATATTTTTTTGATGTGTAACATCTTTACTCTCGCTTTCCTGCAATCTGTGGGAGTGATTTCGTAAAAAGGGACGGAAGTGTGTAACAGGAAACCGGGGAAGCGCCCGCTATTTGATTTGACTAATGAGCGCACGCGGTGGTAGAATTGACCGTCAGATGGTAAAAAGTGTAAATTCAATATGGCGAAACAAACAAGGCGGTCTGCTTTTTTATGCATCCACATGATATGGATGTCAAATAAAATAGCTTGATGAATGAAACACAATAAACAAAATGACGTCGTTGTAGATCCAAAATGGCCGACTTTTTTATGCAACCCCATGACAAAGAAATCAAATAAAAGGTTTTGTAGAATAAGAAAAAAAGTTAAAAACATTACAAAAAAGTTTAAACATTTTAAAAAACAAGCTTTTATTTAAATGCTCTAAAAAAACGAAAAAGTATAACTTCTTACGTGCGTATTAAGTACACACAAACTTTTCTTCCTTGTTGTTGCTCTGTTGAGAGCTGGAGTCCTGACTGATACAATTGTACCGCTAAACATTATTTTAATCACAGGTATTCCCTTATGTACCCCTTTCTTATATAAACCAAGAATATTTTATATAATTACAATAACGAAAAGTTATACATTTTCTTTATACAATTTTGCTCATACGATTTTCATAATTCCAATTGCAATATTTATCAAAATTATTGAAACATCTACAAACAAAAATTCTCATTCTCATCTTATGTAGTTATACAATACTTCTAACAACATTCAAAATCCTCATCAAATTTACTTTACTCAGTCTAATTAGATTACAATAGGAAATTCAATAGCAAATTTTAAGTTAAATAGTCTAATTAGAGTAAAATAAATTTAATTAGGTGAGATGTCAGATGTTACACATCACATGTGAATACTGTAAAGCTCACGCGTTTTGTTTTCTCCATTAAAAGATTATAAATCCCATAAAATCCTTTAACACCTCCAGGTGAATTTCTATGAAATTAATATAGGGTATTATTATAGTTGATTAGTTTTACCATTAAAGCAGATGTAGGTGCCAACACCATAGGGTAACCAATACCAAATAACATCTGAATTCCTGCAGATTTAATTTCATAACATATAGGACAATTACTTTTTAGAAGAACAATATCTGTTGATACAAGCTGAAAAATTAATAAAAAATATTATGGTCTTAGCTCAACAAACTTAAAAACTCAAAATGGACAATTTTGACCCATTTACACACATTTATGATTAAAATTTACAGTTTAATTATATATAGCCATTAGGTATAATAGATGTGATTTAGTGAAGTAATAAAAATGTAGTTTTTGCTTTCAAATTGAATGATTATCAAAGCAGGATTAATCTATTTTAAATAAACTGATTTATAAAGAAACCTATACTTACATATTTATGAAACAACAGGGTTAGTATACCAGGCATAACTGCTAGAGGAAAAGATGATGCTACATATCCAAAATTGCCCAATTTAAACTTAAATCTGTAGTGTTTGTTTATCAATAAACTACTAATAGAGCTCATTGCGCCTAGTACTACAGGTCCATGGCGTAGAGCCCAACTGTAAAATTTATTTTTGAATTTATATTCACTAATATATATATTTACTAATAGTAAAAATTAAAAAATCATATAACTTTTTATAAATACAAAAAAAAGTATGGTAAAAAAGTTTTAAATATTCATTGTGACCATAATTTACTAAAATCCACTTACGTATCCGTCCAAGGGTCCCATTTAGATATAACATCCCAAATATATCCGATCGCTTCCGTTTCGTCTAATATTACCGCATCTTTAGGAATATTGGAAGATTTCATCAAAGCCATGACTGAATTTTTGTAAATAAAATATCTATCTACCACTGCTGTTTTATTGTTTCAATATTCTAAGCAAAGAACATTACAATAATAGATTTAAAATATAATTCTTAATACATTTTGGTAAAGTTACAAAAGTACTTTAACTTCAAGTTCAGATTAAATAATATTGCAGCTGTTTTTGACGTTTATTAGTGTTACCTTTATATATGTAGCAATATACTCTATGGTGTTACCTATAGACTATACATATAAATAAATATAAAGTAATGGGAAGAATTTTCCCTTTTTCTCCCGCCTGATGTCACGATCACTATAGCCCTCAGTATATTGTAAACCTCTTATAGCGTGGATGGTTTTTTGTTTTATTTTATTTAAATTTTAAATAATAAATGATATAATAAATGACAAATGGTGCAGTGCCAGGATACAAAGAAAATGGATATCGTTTGTTCTTAAAAGACAAAAACTGAAGAAATTGATGACAAATGGTGCAGTGCCAGGATACAAAGAAAATGGATATCGTTTGTTCTTAAAAGACAAAAACTGAAGAAATTGTGGGCGACGAAAAAAATTGGCGAAATCACAATCTTTATGTTTAAGCTATGTGGACATTATTTTAAAGAAAGTGATTTTGAAACTCTTAAATCGTTTACAGGTGAATTTTTTTCTACTCTTTTACATATTAATTACAGAGTTTCATATAAACTTTCATCCCTCATTTTATCCCCTTATGGGATTGAATTTTGAAAAATGTTAAAGCATGTATGTATTTAATTGTATTGAAGAGCATTAATACTAAGTTTCAGGTAATTCTGATCGTAAATATTTTATTTATTTATTTATGTACCATAAAATATACGTTATACAAAATAAAATAACAAAATGTTGACAAAGAATAACTTATCTCTTTAAGAGATTTCTTCCAGAAACCCTTCAGAAGTGAGAAAATAAGTTAATATAATGCGGTGTAGGTACAGTACAGCATTAAATGGAATTGTCTTAATATTAAAATACATATATTAACTAAATATTATGATTATACAAATAAATATATATATATATATACATATATATATACATACATATATATACACACATACATACATACACATACTTACATATAAATACATACTAATCTACAATAATTTATGTCTGATTTGATAAATAGTACTGTTTAATTCTCAACTTAAATGTAGTGAATGAGGGATCATCTTTGAAAATATAATCAGGCAGTGAATTCCACAAACTTGCTGCCGTAACAGAAAAAGATTTTTTATAGAATGTAGTATTGTAGTGAGGAACCACTAATTTGGGCAAATTGACACAAGAACGCACTGGTCTGCATCTAGGGGACATTAATGTGAAGCGTTCACTTAAATAAGAAGGTGTAGAAGTCTTCAAAATATTGTAAAGCACACATAATACTCGAACGTTTTGGCGACAACGAATAGGGAGCCACTTCAGTTGCCGTCGGAAAATACTTATATGATCAAATTTGTGCAATCCATATATAAAACGGATGCACAAATTCTGAAGGCGATCTAGCTTGTCGAGTAGCTCCTCGGTTGCATCAATATAGCAAACGTCGGCATATTCGAGTAGAGGGATTAGCAGTGATTGAGCTAGGGTAATTTTAGTTTGAAACGGAAGAAAATTCTGTAAACGTTTCAAGGAATGAAGTGTATAATGTACGCGCTTACTGACCTCGTTGACATGCGCAGCCCAGGACAGGTTGCAGTCGATTGTTAAACCTAAGTTTTTACACGTGTCTGAGATATTGATGCAAGTGTTATCGTAGATGATGTCAGGCAGATTGTTGAAGTCGATTTTGTTCCGCAACTGCTTACTACCAATGATCATGGCCTGAGACTTTATTGGATTAACAAGGAGTCCGAAAGACTTTGCCCAATCTTTGATTCTTGCCAAATCAAGGTTTATCCTGTCTATTTCAGACGCTAAGTCCCCGACCAAAGTATGTCTATAAAGTTGCAGATCATCCGCATATAGGTGGTAGTTAGAAGAGAGTACCTGTGGGAGTTGGTTAATGAAAATTGAAAAAAGCAATGGCGATAACTCACCACCCTGAGGGACGCCTGCTAAGAGATTGGACCACTCTAAGATAGTCTCGTCGCAGTAGATTCTCTGCTGGCGATCATAAAGATATGATTTAAACCAATCAATCACAGAAGACGAGAAGTTAAGGGAGGCAAGGATAGAAAGTAAAACATCGAAATCCACTGAGTTGAAGGCATTACTAAAATCAAGCAAAATAAGAATAGTCACTTTCTTAATATCCATGGCGAAACGAATATCGTCAGTGACTTTTAGCAAAGCAGAAGTCGTACTGTGCGAAGGACGGAAGCCAGACTGAAAAGCATTTAATAGGTTATTTCGTAATAAGTACTGACACATCTGCTTAGATACTAAGCCCTCAAAAACTTTCGATAAAATGGGAAGAATTGAGATAGGACGAAACTGTGAGGGAACAATAGGATTGGGTGATTTAGGTAAGGGGATAACATGTGCTAACTTCCAAGCCGCGGGAAATGAGCTAGAAGACAATGAAAAATTAAAAATGTGAGTTAATATTTGGCAGATGTGATCAACTGTTACAAGCAGCATATCACGACTAATTTCATCACTCCCAACGGCTTTAGTAGTAGTAGAAAGAATGCCTCTCTTATTTTTTTGCCCATATAAACTTTATTACCCTCTTGTACCCCTTCAAAGGATGAATTATATAAAAAAGAAAAAACAACTATATATTTCTTATTTTTATCCTAAAGCTAAATGCTATTTTCTGTGTATTTCACATTAAGAATGACAGAGTTTCATACAATCTTTTAGCCCCTATTTTACCCACTTAAGGGAGAAATTTCTAAAAATCCTTTCTTATCGGATGCTTTCGTTATTTACGTCCTCTACACGTTTTTAATACCAGCGGCTTAGTCTATGGTCTGTGGACTGGTGTCTGGTGATCTCGCTAGAAAAATTGTATTCTGTCAGTTGTCACTTATATATGTAGCAATATACATATGGTTGCAAAGAGTATAGATATATACTGGGTATGGTTGTCACTCTGTGCTGGTGAATGGTGATTGTAATTTATATGTCATTTTATGTTCAAATGTACATTTTTTTCATGAACTATTTAAATATTTACCCTGTGTTTAAAATACACGCTAAGTTAATTTAACTATTTCATCAAAACCTAATGAAATTTTGTCGAATCAATTTGAAAATAATTTTAAAAAAATGTAAGTATTTCAAATGTTATGTTCTTAGTCATACATATTTATTTTTATTAAGTCAACTATGATAAAGATTTAATGTTAATTATAGTTTATAGTACAATGGCTGATTCTGAGTGGAAAGGCGTGCCTATAGCTAATATTGTTGGCTCTTATTCGCCTTGGGGAGCTCCAGAGTTCCCTTTAGTGCAACCAGCATACAATCATACTGTTTTATATCATATACCGGGAAGTGGCGCGCAGCTAGATAGACCTCCAAAGCCACAGATCGGCAAAGATAAATGGGACCAAGTTCATGTTAGAATGCCATTTTCTCCACAAAACTTGTATCCTGTTGAAAATGTATGTATAATTTAATGTGCTAAATAAATCGTTGCTATTCGATAAACACAAATAATATAATGAATGTACAGTAATTTATTGAAATTTTTATGAGTAACAAAATATATTGATTTTTTAGAGTGCAGGTGAAACTGAGTTGAAGAAGCGGTGGGAAATGATACAAAATGCTCTCAATAAGCCTATAAAGAATAGTAAAGAATTAGCTAGTGCCATACTTAGTTACAACACACAATTCAAGAATAGATGGAAGTTTTTATCATTACATTATTTATTTGAGGAGGTATGTAGAAACAAATTTACTATACAGTTTTTTTATTTGGCTATGGCTAAAAGTCTTGATTAATCAAGAAAAGCTCTTTCAACTTTATACAATTATTTAAAAGGTTTTTTTATTCATATGATATTGCCATATTTTATTAGGTATACTTTACATAATTTATGAATACAGATAATTAATTAATAATTAAAAAAACTTGTTATTAATACAATTTTGCATTATATTTCAGTATTTAGAAGAGGAAGAGGCACAATATTTTTTTGATGTAACTCTGCCTGAAATTGCTAAGTTGGCCTTGGCTCTGCCAAAATTAATACAATCACCAATACCATTATTAAAGTGAGTTAACATAATAATTTTTGTAGAGCATATTAGTACAGTAAAACCCGTTTAAAACGATTTCACAGGGACCCAACAAAAAACGCGTCTTAAGCGAGAAAGTGTATTATGCGGGATAGGGAAAATAAAACGTACCGCATATTATTGTGTATTATGTTCTAATTTGTATATATAATTATGTATTTATTAAATTATACATTTCTAAATTATATTAAAAACATAGTCTAATAATAATTACGTTATTTAAAGTAATCAGTTATTTTAGTTTGATTGAAAGATGCATTAGCTATCACAAGATTTCCAATATAATTTAGCTTTTGCAGTGCGTCTTCGCTTTGATTTAAAGAAGCTACATAGAGTCTTAAATCATTAACAGCTGATAATGCCTGGGCGTTTGATAAAATCGGAGTTGACTCATCTTCGTCTTCATCATTATCACTTAGAGCCTCTTTTTGTGTGTTATTCACATTCTCAATAAGATCTTCAATTGATTGAATTTCGTACGGTGCCACATTGTTGTCAATGGAAGAATATCCAGGAAAACCTTGCAGTATCAAGGGTTCTCCTTCTTCTTCCAATACGACGTCAACCACGTTATTTCTGAAACCTGCTTTCTTGAAATAATTTTGAATGGTTTCAGGCTTAATTGCTTCTCATGCCGCTGCAATGTTCAAAATCGCATCATCCACAGTTAAGGGTCGTTTGCTATCAGGGTCTTCCATTTCTCGAAGATAGCGATGTATTAGTCTTGTCCTGTAACCTTGCTTAAGGACCTTTATAATTCCCTGATCCATTGGTTGTAATTTGCTTGTCGCATTTGGAGGTAAGTAAACAAGCTTGATATTCTTTAATTCAACACCTTTAGGGTGAACGGGGCAGTTGTCAATGAATAGAATTATGCGTCTACATTTAATCTGGAAGTGATCGTCTACAGCTTTTAACCAGTCGATGAAACGAATGCCGGTCATCCAAGCTCGAGATTGTGCATCATATGTTACAGGGAGCGATCTTACGTTTTTGAAACAACGTGGATTTTTCGCCTTACCAATAATACACTATATACTAGCAAACGTAACTTTTCTGAGCCATCAGAATTGGCACAGGCCAGAACAGTCAGTCTCTCTTTATTTGCTTTACCACCGTGACAAGTTTCTCCCTTAAAAACATAAGATTTATTTGGCATCAATTTAAAAAATAAACCGAATTCATCTGCGTTAAAAATGTCTCGCGGTTCGTAATTTTGCAACAATTCGGGAAGTGTTGCCATCCATGTATCAACATCTTGTTGTGCCACTGTCTCCGATTCCCCACTAATTTGACGGTACACACACTTTCAATATCTTAATTTTTTCTTGAAGTGACAATGCCTTTCGCTTAATTGTAGTCATTTTGTAACAAACAAATGATGCACTATTACAAAAGAGTCAGAACGCGCACGTGACAACATGTAAGTCAACAAATAACGACTGGCCAGTGGACTGGTTAAACGGCGCACGGGCGGTGCGGGCGAGCCAGCAGGGGAGCTTGCGTTCGGCATTCGAGCTCAAGGAACAATAGATAATAGGTATTAGGTTGTTGGCGTATTAGGCGTATTAAACGGGATGACGAATCGTATTAAGCGTTATGAAATGTATGAAAACATGTCTCAAGTTGCAGGGACTAGCTAAAATGGCGTATTATGCGAAAAATCGTATTAAGCGTGATCGTATTAAGCGAGTTCTACTGTATATAGTATTACACTAATAATAACATACTAGCAACTCTTTTTCGCTTCGTTGTTGTTATGCTTCATTACTGGTTCATCCCCAGTGAAAAACAAAAACAAATCTATCCCACGGGAACCATTTTCCCGGATAAAAAGTAACCTATGTGCTATTCTAGACTATAATCAATCTCTGTGCAAAATTTAATCCAGATTCGTTTAGCCATTCTGGTGCAATTGAGTAACAAACATTCATTCATATTTTATTGTATATTTTTAATTCTTTTTGTAGATGTAGTAGTTGTAGTGTACTGCGAGTAATTGTAGATGTAGTAGTAGTAAATATGAACTCAATAATCCATACCTACTAATATTATAAATGTGAAAGTGTGTTTGTTTGTCCTTCTTTCACATCAAAACGGAATGACCAATTGGAGTGATTTTTTGTGTGCAGATACTTGGAGGGGTGGAGAGTGTAATACTTTTTACAACAGGAGGGTATCTAATTCCCACGGGAAAATAAGTTATAATACAATCCAAAAAAATATTTATGATCAGAATTACTTCAAACTTGGTTTTAATGCTCTTCAATAAAACTAAATAAATACATATTTTAGCATTTTTTAAAATTCGTCCTATAAGGGGGTAAAACAGGGAGTGAAAGTTTGTATGAAACTACCCTTTTAGAGATTTTTTTGTAGTTTAAGCGCGAGCAAAGCTACGGGTTCTGCTAGTATTATATAAATCTATATGAAATAATAACTATGAAATACTAAAAGTGTATTAATAATGTCTAATCATTGTTTAGTATTTTGTAACTTTAAGTGTTTTAGAACTTAGTGGTATGAAATTAATTTAATAACATTTTTCAGACAACACAAAAACAGATCAATATCTCTGTCACAACAACAAATATCTTCGTTATTGGCAAATGCATTCTTCTGTACATTCCCAAGAAGAAATACTACCAAAAAAGATTCTGAATATGCATCATACCCGCATATTAATTTTAATGTGTAAGTTCTATTATTGTTTTTTTTTTAAATCATGCAAAACTGTAAAACTTACATAAGTGTAATTAATTGTGGTAATCTATGGTCAGAGTATCGTTTCCTCTAATTAGTATTCTACTACTTGGTGATAATTATACAATAGTGCATAGTTTGTACATATTAGGGTGTCCTGAAACTCAACATCAAGGGGTTATGGGGCAATCAGCTAGGTTATATCAGTTCTGGCAGTCACTGTTCGTCTCACTGTCACTGAAAATAAAATGTCAGTGAAATCTTGATTAAACCGGCTGTTATTCTAAATAACCTGCCTAGGGCAGTATAGTACAATTTTTTGAAAGATTAAGTGCCAAAGTTTTTTGACAAAATGTTTTTTAGCCATGACTCAATAAATTATTTTTTTTTACTAAACTGACAATATTAATTATTTAATTTGTGACTGCAATCAGTAGATATAAATTAAGGATTACATTAAAACAAAAAACATTGCAAAATTGGGAAATTTGTGACACAGTACCTAAAGATGTGATCTAGGGTGTTGATTTTAAACATTTTTAAAAGGATTCCTATTATATCACTTAACCAAGTAATATGGATTTTTTCTTATTAGCCAGAGTAGGTATAACCTAGCCTATCAGCCCGTTCTCGCTCGACGTTGAGTTTCGGTACATTCTGTTTATTAGAATGGGCTTCAAAAGTTATTTTAATTTTGCATGATTAAAATAAAAAGCATCGAAATAGGATTCAAAAGTATTAGGAAGTAAAAAAAGTTTATTTTGTTATGTCAAATACTTTTTAATTCGTTATTTAAAACGAAGTTTTTTTTTATTTTAATCACGCAAAATTAAAGTAACTGTTTTTCTATAAATTCATAAATTAAAAACGGGAATCTTTGAAAAATATATGATCATTTTTGTTTTTGAACCATTATTTCTTCATAAAATATTTAGAAGATTCGCCTTTTATGAGAATATGTATTGATTTTTACAATACGCTATTTTGTTAAAACGCAATAAAATTCCAAATAAAAAAAATGTTTCTACCTATTTTAAGTTATATATGTGTAGTGTATCAATTATCTGGTATCCATAATTAACAGAAGTCTCGTAGCTTACCATGAAACTAGCAATTGACATTATTATCGATACAGAGACCGAATCTATAGTTTTTAGGATTTTTGTCTGTCTGTCTGTCTGTCTGTCTGTCTGTTACCGCAGCACGGAAAAACCACTGGAGGGATTTTATTAAAATTTGGTATGAAGGTAGTTTATTATCCGGGTATAGGATACTTTTTACCGCGGGAAAATATTTCTGAGTAAAAATAGTTTGAAAATATTTCATTTCTGAGTAAAAATACAAAAACTGTAATGTAAGAGTATACTAATATGTAAAACTTAAGAAATTGGTTTTTGGTCATCTGAACGCGGGCGGAGCCGCGGGCAATGCTAGTTATTTCTATAATTTATCCCGTCCAGTCTGAGTCCAACCCAACTTTATTCATATCTTTGTTTATGCAGTTCATTCATATATACCGGGCTTCGAATTGAACATTCCTCTGATGGAAAAACTGTATTCCATTTGTGTTTCATGTCATCTGTCATTATTTTAATTTACTCTATGTTAAAGTTTTCTTAGAGTTATGGTTTACTTTTAGTTCTCAGCTGTCTGCCCCGCATCACTCTTATTTATTTATTTAATTCTTGTTGGGAATGCAATTTATGGTCGACATCATGTATTTTACATCATGTGTCCTTTTTTTTTGATTAGTGGGTAAACCCCTTTGCGGGTGCCCGTGCGTGGGGGGCGCGCGGGGTAAGTGGGACTCCTGTCGCGAGACTACCCACTAAAACCACCACGGCGATCCCGATCGCAAGAGACAGGGCCACGGGATCGCTTGCGCATTCGATCGCGACCCTGTTAGCGTTGCCCGATGTCGAGCTCAACCTATCAATTTAGACTCCCCCGATTACATCATGTGTCTTATATTTATATGTTCTATATAGCTATCTGTATAATTGTGTACTTTTATTGTTTTTTTTTATTCTTTCTTCATTAATGTGTATTCTTTTATAGTTGACGCAAGATTTTACTGGACCCCACACCCCCATTTTGAGCTCACGTAATTAATGGATGTCCCATATGTTCGTTTTCAGATTGTATGAATGTATGCCTTCAGAACATATCCTCGAGAAAATGAAGTGCATATGTCACTATTTTAGAAGAGTCTGCACAAAAGGTAACAATAATGTTGATTTTTATAGTGAAAATACAATTGCATTTATTTTTATTATATTAGGATTAATAAATAATTTAATGAATGCAGCAGACAGGACTAAAAAACTTAAATAGAACATGGGCAGTGTCAAGTTATTGTAATCGTTTGCATAGATTATCATGTTTTAAATTTATATTGACAGAAGTTATAATATATTGTTTGGCATTTTAATTTTAAATAGCTTAGCAGTTTTTACTATATCATCTATTCAGGCAATCAAAATAGCCTGATATTAGGTCTACCAATTTTGTATATAGAATGAGGTTAAAAAACCATACATTAGCTGCCCTTGAATTAATTCTCTTATTAATTACTTCAAAGATTGGGCAGATTACTTCACCAATGTCATGTAGAATAGAGAAGACACGAAGGAAATGGGTCGGTATAATAAGATTATTAATTTGATCCGCCTTTGATTTCAACGATAATATTGCCAAATGTAAGGGTTGATATAAATACCAAACTTCATGGCGACGGTAAAGCACTGTAACGCCATCTCGTGGCAGCCTACAGTTGTACTATTAATTTTTTCCCGATTATTATATAAAATCAAGTATGACAGTCGGGTGCGCCTGACGTCTTCGTTAGACGACTATAGCATGTACTTGACTGTAGTATGGCATTTCTCACACGAGGCTATTAATAAGCGACTCATCCCTAAATTATTAAAAACTAGCGGTTCACCCTCGCTTCGCTCGGTTTCACCTCTGGGAAAACAAAAACAAAAATATCCCTCGGGAACCGTACATTTTTCCGGGATATAAGTTTGTATTATTCCAGACTATAATCTATATATGTGCCAAATTTTATCCAGATCCGTTCAGCCATTCTGGCGTGAAAGAGTAACAAACATCCATACATACTCACAAACTTTGACATTTATAATATTAATACGGATGTATCGGCAAATTAATATTGTCGATATCGATATATCGGAAAACCGACGATATTGCCGATATATAGGTATCGGTATCGGGTGCACCCCTATTCCCTAGTCAATACCCAGCTAACCAATTAACGCAATGCCAGAGCAGTGCCGGTCGGCGTGGTGACGGTGTCGCGTCGCAGCGTGCGCGCCGACGATCTGCCTCGATGGCACGAATGCTCGAGAACATTCGCGGACCTTCCCATACATGTCGATAGCAAGAACACGATAGAAGAGGCCTACGGATTGATACAAGTGGACTTTGCTAACAAGTGAGTACTGAGTGTATAGGCACTTTGCTTGGCGTGAGAAGAGACGTACTGGGAGTGTTGCTCCTAATACTTCTCCGAAGAGTGGATTTTGATGGTTGTTGTGGAGGTCTAGAAGACTGCCTTGGAGGGTTGTGTAAGAGTTCGTAAGTTCCTGTGGCACCCTATTAATACAGGGAAGGTTAATTGGGTAAATGGTAAATAAATAAAAAAAAATTTTTAAGGGTCTATGCATACCAAATGTTTATAAAGGCGCTGTTGACTGGCGTATCATGAATGTACGTCGACAAAAGATTTCGACAGCGCGTTAAAAAGTCGTCGTGTGCATTGGCCCTAATAGTATTTTCTTATTGAATGTTATTGAAATATTCTTATCCTGTTAGGTTTCTTGGCGGTGGAGTGCTCGGTCATGGGTGTGTACAGGAAGAGATCAGATTTGTGATATGTCCAGAATTGCTAGTAACGATGTTATTTACTGAATGCCTGAGACCCACTGAAGCGTTGATGATAATAGGTAATTATTGTTTTGGTATATTTTTAGAATTATAATTTATGTAAGAGTTAGTTAGAACGGTAGTATTATGTGCTTTGTGTACTAGTATTTGAGTATGAAATTAGTCAATACACTTTTAAAAGTTTACGTTTAATTTTTTAAAGTTATATATTGAATTTTAATATATTATATTTTTTAAATGTAACAAATATTCTGAACAAAGTATGTTTGCTACATTTTTGTAATACTATGTAGTTGTAATATAATACCTTATAGAATTAACATTCAGTAAACATACATATAGGTACTTTTGGAAGAACAAATAATAACAGAAGAAAAAATAGTAACATAGCTAAATCTTATATCTATTAATCTGGTCTAATATTTTTTAAAGACAATCACTGTTGTGTATTGTGTACAGAATATAGGCCCAAAACTAAACCAACAAATAACTACATATTTATATCTATTTCAAACGTACCTAGCACGTGAGTTGCTAGTAATATATAAGAATAAATTAGTATCCATCGATCAAAAAGTACTAGATACACAACAATTCTGTGCAAAAGTTCTCTTAAAACTGTCACCAATTGCGTTTAGGTAATTATTGTAGTTGAAATAAATATACAACAATGTAAATTGAACCTTAAATGCACTTAAAATTGTTTTCACAAAAAAATAAAATAAAAGCGCGCTCAAATGTTCAAATGAGTGCTCATTCGGTTAGAACATTTTTGGTCGCTGATTGTGTATCTAGTACTTTTGAAGTTATACTTGCTTTGGCACGTTTGGACGAAAATATGAGAGTAAAATTCTTACGTAGCGCGCGCACACCGACAACCAAAAAGCGACATGATGGAGTTAGCTGTATTCCGTTTTACAAACAGAGAGTTGTAACATACGGGATGAAATCTATAGCTATTTTTGATTTGTTACGCCAAAGAAGTATAACTTCTTAGAGTCTAGCCAACGAAGGCGTGGCCTGAGAAAACGCGACAAATTCAAAAAATCTTTATATACTAACTATAGTATGAGTAATACTAACTATAGTAAGAGAAAAATGTTTTGATACTTGAGTATTTTTTATATTTACGGCAATTAATTTGTATAATAGTTTTTAGCGAACTTATTTGCTAATTTAAGGGACACCACGTTTTTAGAAAATCTGAGATTTTTCCAATTCATATCAATAAAATGTCCGAGCCGTGCTTCAAAATTAAGTAATCGTTACGTTGTTTCTTTATTTGATATACATTTTTATGAATTCATTGTAAACAACTCGAATCTAATATTAGTATACTGTATACACGTTTCACGTTATATGTATGTACCCATTAGTTTATACACAAAAATGTATATAATTACTAACGACGTTAAAAACCAGGGCATTCGAAAACTTTGAAGTTCGACGTGTCATTCACAGCTTAATTATGTTGCCATATCAAAACTTTTAAGAAAACTCCGGGACACGTTCTCGTCGGTCAGACTCTACGGTAGTATCGTACAAATAGTACATACGGTAGTATCGTACAAAAAGAACGGTAACGCAGGGTGCGAGCAGTACAGCGCGTACCGCGGCTACGGCACGTCTTTCCGGTGGGCAGGCGCGCGCGTCGACGCGGCGCCGCACGACGCGGCCGCGCGCCGCCGCTGCGCCGTGCTCGCGCTCGACGCGCTGCCCTTCCGCGACGCGCGCCTGCAGTACCGCGCCGACCGCGTCGCGCGCGAGCTGAACAAGGTACGGCACGCGCCTCGCTTCTGTATGAGGGGGATCAGGACATTCCAGTCCACCACGCTGGTCAAGTGCGAGTAAGTCTTCCGAAAACTTGCTAGGTTCTCTTAGACATGCAGATTTCCTTACGATGTTTTCTTTCACTGTAAGGCAAGTGGTAATCATGTTGGAAATGATTCGCATATGCGGATATCAAAGATGTAAGACCCGAGAGTTGAACCCGGTTCACTCGGTTTCCCAAGCGAGCGCGTTACCACTGGGCTACTAGTGGCGCTACCGTACGTTGCAAATTATACTAAACATACTTGGCGATAGCACTAGATGAAAAAAATAATATTCTGACTATTTAGGGAGTACGCGTTTAGGGTCCCGTACTCGAAGGGTAACAATGAGACCTATTAATAAGCCTCCGCTGTGCGACCGTCTGTCTGCCAGCGGGCTGTATTTTAAGAACTGTAATAGGTAGAGTTGAATTTTTCTCAGTGTGTATTTTTGTTGCCGCTATAACAACAAATAATAAGTGTGGTGGCGAATTTCAAAATGGCTGCCATCCAAAATTAAAAAAAAAATCGATGACACCCTTTCACACAAATTAGTTAAAAATTTCGACAACCCTTCACGTGTTAGTCCGATTCGCACTTGACCGGTCTTTTGGTACGAAGGTTCTTATCCCACCTTATACTCGGCACACTTGGCGATGAGAGTTAGACGGAAACAAATGTAATGTTTCAACCGTCACGACACTTATTATTTACACTACAATTATTATTAAAATCTATAGCCCATCTACATATTCTATACATATAATAAAACTGTAGAGGTCGAATGTCTGTACATAGAAAAAAAATGCTACAAAACCGAGTCATTGGGATGTAAGAAGAGAAATAGAACGAATCCAGTTTTTTTTTCAAATATTTTGTTTCTCTGTCTGTTTGTCTGTTTGTACGGGCTAATCTCCGAAACTGTTGGACCGATTTAAATGAAATTTGGCATGCTAATACCTTATATTGCTGGTCAAACAATAGGTTACTTTTTATCCCGGAAAAATGAACGGTCGACGTGGGATAGATCTGTTTGTAATTTAACTGTACTGTACTGTTTGTAATAAAATATTAACAAGCTTATCTTATTTCTTCAGGCCTGGGTAGGTTTCTCGTTTTACACAACAGAGGATGATACAATACAATACCCCGGAGTGGCCACCGGTAACTGGGGGTGCGGGGCCTTCAATGGTTCAGCCTCACTCAAGTCCCTCATACAAATGATGGCCCTGGCCAGTGTTGGCAGACCCATGGCGTATTACACCTTTGGTGATACACAACTGCGTGATGATATCATCAGAGTGTATAATATGTTCGTTGATCATGGTGTTAAAGTTGGTAAGTTTACAGGTTCTTTTTTATAGGAAGCTTAATATTGTTATTTGTACGTGTTAGGATGGTTAGAAATTATCCAATTATATTTTTCCCTTTTTATTTATTTATCCCTTATTACACCAAGACAAAAATACAATTTAAAAGAATACAATATAACTATACAAATATATATTTCAGTGTATATTACAGCCTTATCACTTAAAGTGATCTCTTCTAGGCAACCTATATTATAAAGAAACTCGTAGGGTATTATTAGTTTAGTAAATGGAAAAATTTACATTTTGTTGTGTCCCTTTTTCTTATAACAGCAGAGCTATGTTTATTAATTTTTAGTTTTAACCTGCCTTAGTGTATGGCTAAAGGTTTTGAGCATATCTAGATTCAACTCCCAGATCGGGCTAAAGAAAAATTTTTTTTTAGTATTGACTATTTTTCTAAGAAGAGTTTGAAAGTGGAGGTTTAATCATAACAATTCACGAATTCAATTATTACTTCCGCCCGATCTACGGGTCTGCGGGAAGCTTTCTCGTAGATTATTGTTTTTGTGTAATTATTTATAGATAAATGTGAAAATTCTGAGAAGTACAGGAATTTTCCGATGGATCGATTAAATTTAATCGATCTCCGTAGATCGGACGGATAGTCGCGTCCATATTACATTCTTTTAAATAATATTTTTTCCCTTACAGGTCAATTATATGGATTGATATTGAAATTCTGTGAGTCAAAATCACAGTCAAATATTTATTCTTTCTTAGAAAAATCTTTACAAAAGAACAGGGATTTTCTTAAGTCTGAATCCACGAGTTGCGTAAGTAATAAACCTAATATTTACTTTTATATAATTTTTAGTCATATATATTGTAATTTTCTCGTTTCAACTGCCACAGTGGTCTATTGATTAGCATACAGCAGATCCGAAGTCGGCCCTGTGCCTTAACTCTCACTGCGAGTGTCGAAGTATCGTCCCATATGACTCTGAGAGTGACAAAAATAGGGAGTGCACTTGTGCCTGCGTGTACACTTGTGCACTATAATATCTCATGCAGTTGGCTAATCTCTATGAAATTTGGCTTCCGTTTCCGAAATCGGTCAGGAAGACGTTATTATCGTAATTTTAAACTTATGTATAAATAGATTGTTTCAGGCAGTATTACAGTATAATTTCAGTACAATTTTATATATTTTTGTTACTTAGGTTGCTTCAACAAAAACAGAAACACAAGATTTATCTTTAAAAGTAGAACTTGAATTGAACAGATCGCCAGATTTGTTTGGTCCGGATGATGATTTTGATCTTGCAACACTTGAGGAAGATACAAATCTTAAAAAGGAGGCAAGTTTAGAAGATGTAGTGGTTCATAAAATGGACGATACACGTAAAATGTCGACGAGTGACATTTCAACAGAGGAAAATAATAGAACAAATCAAACATCTAGATTATTCGATGAAATGGAAAAGTTAGATGAAGATAGTGGCAATTTAAATCTTAAAAGTCCTCAAAAGTCAATTTTTGGACCAAACTCTAAAAAGTCTGATGCTGCTATGGATATAGATAATAAAATTCAGACAGAAGTGACACCTGATGCCAAAAAGAAGTTTGCAAAGAAGATAACAGATTATTTCTCAAAGAAACCTGTTTGATGTTGTCAATCTATAATATATATTATTTTAATCATAAGGCCTTTTCTTTTCGAAATTGTGAACTATTTGCACCCAACTACATACATACTTATAGTTTTTGGTTTTTTTTCTTTGAAAATCCTTTGCCAATGACGCAAAATCTTGGGGACATAATTACTATTAATTTACATAAAATCATGTTAAAAATTTATTTTAATATTTTCTTTACTTGTAATAAAAAGTCGAATTAATTATCAAATATATCTCATCATCTAATTTTAAAATCCATAAATTTTTATGCTGCAAAAAAGTAAGTCTGCAAGACAATAGAAAGGCTTATGAAAATACAGTATGTAAGTAGTTGAACAAAAAATAAATTATAAAAATTGAAATACCCGACTAAAATGCGAACTAACGAGAAAGCTATCGAAGGAAAATAGTGTTATGCAATCGGAGACAATAATATGTACATGTTATTTCCTTATTGCGAGTCTTACTACGTGTATGTTTGTATCCAATCGGATATTACTTATACTTAATACTATTTTCTCTCGATTTCATGTTTTTTTTTTATTTATAGCCTTTTATCTGACAATTTATTGCCCTAAATTATTATTAAACCTACAAGTTGTATATATTTTAAAAACCTTATCTACTTATTTTGATACCCGACTCTATAGGTTTGAAAGAAAAAAATGAAAGACATTAGACAAATTAGGGCCTGAAATCCGCCATGTTCATTTTTAATAATATCCATAACACAACACTCGCTTTATCATGACGAATCTAAATTCTAACTACGACGTATTAAGCGTTTCAGCAGTTTGTCAATTACGAGGGAACATGGATCGGACAAACATACAAACACATAACCCTCCTATTAGCTTGGTCACAACTCACGGTCGGCAGTAAAATTACTCAATGGTTTTGTTTAGCAAGAAAAATATTAAATAAGTATTCAAAAATATTGAATATGATCACGCTCACGCAGGGCGACCACTTTCAGACAGCACGTTAGACAAATACGTCTGACTTGAGAAAACGATCGCGCGATTTACTTCAGTAGCGACTACATCCGTGACCCACGAAAACATTGTTTGAGAATCGTGATTTTCCAATACAAAAAATACAACAGACGCGCAACAATAAAATGGTGTGGAAATAGTAGCCAAACATGTAATTTAAAGAAAAATGGCATCACTTTTCATAGGTAAGTGAATTTTGATTTCCAAATTCATTAAATGTAATTAAATGAGAGCTCAAGTTATATTGGTCATTACGCAACTCGCGTTGATGTATTTAGGATTTTTTTATTTTTATTTATATAGTTAATAAGAAAATAATTGATTATTTTTATTTTAGACTAGCATTGCCCGCGGCCCCGCCCGCGACCAAAAACCGCCAGATGACCAAAAACCAAATTCTTAGGTTTTACATATTAGTATACTCTTACAATGCAGTTTTTTGTGTTTTTGTATTTTTTCTCAGAAATGAGATATTTTCCCGCGGTAAAAAGTAGCCTATATGTTGACCCGGATAACCAGCTATTATCATACCAAATTTCATCAAAATCTGTCCAGTGGTTTTCTCGTGATGCGGTTACAGACAGACAGACAGAAAGATAGACAGACAGACAAAAATTCTAAAAACTATAGATTCGGACTCTGTATCGACAATAATGTCTATTACAATTAGATTTCCCAGAAAATGTTTAATGTACAGATTTGACTTAGTTACAATTTTTTTATATGTATAGACATGGGCAAAATAAATCAATATCATTTACGCAGCTACAATTAGCAAATAGTTTCTTCTGTACATTCCCAGAAAGGAACAATAAAAGGAGAGAATCTGAATATAAGATGTACCCGCCAGTTAATTTTAATTCGTAAGCTTTTTTCTTTATACTTTTCTACAGATTTTTTAAACTAGTCAATATGCAGAGCTATATATTGTTTAGCTTAAATTTTCTTTTGGCTTATAGCTATATTAAATACTTACATATACTTATAAATTTATTCGTGTATCTCAAAAAGATCTGAATACATAATATAAATATTCTTGAAGCTTCAGTTGGATTGTATGCCTAACTTTCTTATCATTTCATTTATAATGTTTAAAATATGATCTTTTTAAAAATTCTAAGAAAGAAATAAACGTATCTAGGGGTTGGCGAAAGTATGGCAATAATTATTGTCTCATTATCTCTCATAATATCTTTTTCTAATATTACAGTATGATATTTTTAGAACCACCAACCGGTATATACTTTTTCCCGTCGCTACGTTCCAATAGAAAATTGCCCAGACTGGTCTTGTAATTCATAATTCATAATAGTCATTTTTACCTAAGTAGATACATATATCTATATCTATAATAAAATTGTAACTAAGCCGATGATTTATAACAGCAAAAACATTCTTATTGGAATAAAAGATAACCTAACACAACTTTAATAGAAGTTTTACGACACGCTTGGCTCAGTTTGTACTGACCGTACTTTTCGAGTTTCAAAGTCTTTTTGGTTCGAGTCCCGCTGGGGGTGGGTATTCATTTGTGTGATGAGCGCGAATGTTTGTACTCCAGTCATGGGTGTTTATATAATAAGTATGTATTTAAAGGTGTATATCTATGTGTGTAGTGTATCAACTATCTGGTATCCATAACACAAGCCTCATAGCTTACCATGGAACTAGATGGTGATATGTGTTAATGTCCTAATATATATTTTATATTTATTTAAGTCGGAAACAGGATGGCCGTTGAGTTACTTTATCGATAAATGTTAGGCGCCTATTAGGCTATTTGTAAATAAGAAAAGAATGTTTCAACATAATAATAGTTCAATACCTAAAATATAACCTAGCAGCTTAGAATGAAATTATAACAAGGTAAAGGTTGTACGTTGATTATATTTTTAACGAGTTTAAGACTTTTATCAAGGATGTAACGTAACTTGATCTGTTTAATTGTGCGTTACTACTTACTCGACAGCGAAAGATCTAATGCGCTACTAATAAAAATAGTTATCTTCTTTGAAATGAAATTTTCTTTAGAATCGTTGTGAACGGAAATGCGACACTAAAGCTGGCGAGAGAATGAGATAAAATACATTGTCATATTGCCATGGTAACCGTTGTTATTATCTGACAAATATATAATATTATATTCTTTCCGTATATGATATTCTATAAATATATGATTGTAATATGCCTTATTTTAATATTGATTTCTTTTAATTTAATTGCGATATTTGTCAAAGAAGTTTTACTTCAACCGCGCGTAAAGATTACACGCACCCATTTATTTTTTAATATATGACCAAGTTTTACGTATATAAGTTATGTAAATACTAAATATACAACCTCAGTACATATTAACTATAGGTGCCAGCCCAGTGGTAACGCTCTCGCTTGGGAAACCGAGTGAAGCGGGTTCAAATCCCGGGTCTCGCACCTCTGATATTTTCATGTGCGAATCATTTCTAACATGATTACCACTTGCCTTACGGTGAAGGAAAAACATCGTGAGGAAACCTGCATGTCTGAGAGAACTTAGCAAGTTTTCGAAAGACATGTGAAGTCCGCCAACCCGCACTTGGCCAGCGTGGTGGACTATGGCCTGATCCCCCTCGTATTGAAGGGAGGCCCGTGCCCAGCAGTGGGACGTTAAAAAGGGCTGAATACACACTTTTTTATATAACAGGTACAGAACGATTCAGTACTCATACGGGATATAGTATGACCTTCATATGGTTTTCGGATTTCAAAGATGATACACCTAAAGACTTCTATGGAAGAAAACAATGCACGATTTTAGCTTTAGACGCTCGAAGGTTTCCCAAACCAGAAGAACAGTATACCAAGGAAATGGTTGATCGAGAACTAAATAAGGTATTTATAGAACTCTTTTTAGCTATGATACTTAAACACACGCATGCATGTTTATTGCTTACATATAACAGTCAATTATAATACCATTACAAGCTTCAATCAGTCGTGTGCACGATCCGTTTATCTTATTATTTTTGTATAAGTTTCTATATTACATTAAATTTTTTTTTAAACTAGCGACTAACCTTGCTTCGCTCGAGTGCTTTTCATTATGAGCTACAGCTCATACTACGTACATGCTACTCCAGATCATAGTCTATTTGTATATTAAAGAGTACAGCAGGGTAAGCATGGGTCAGATGCCACTCGGGAAAGTTCATGGTAAAAATATCAACCTAACTTTCCCGAAGGGCATCTGACCTATGCTTACCATGCTAATACTCTTTCACCTAAATCCATTTACAGTGCGTGAAGTAAAAACAAACATACATATACCCATTCGCGCCTAATTTCGCATATTTCGTCCGATGTTTATCTCAATCAAAAATGAAGTAGCTTGAAATATAATTTTAGGCATATACAGGGTTTTCGTTCGACATAAACAATAACGTTACCATAGCAACTGGTAACTGGGGCTGCGGCGCATTCGGCGGCTCGGCTCGTTTGAAAGCTCTCTTGCAACTCATGGCGTGTGCGCTGACGGGGAGAGCGATGGAATATTATACCTTTAACGACAATCCTTTGAAGGATGATATTATTAAAAATAATGTTACTGTTGGGAAGTTGGATTTTTATTGATCTGTAGTTAGGAAATATAGTTTAATTCATACAATAAAGCTCTAATGAAAAACTTATCATGAGATAAATGAAGACATTGAGGAAGAGTTTTTATTCAGCACTTTTTAACGTGCCACTGCTGGGCACGGGCCTTTCTTCAATACGAGTGGGATCTCCTGATCCCACTCGTATTACTCGTATAGTCCACCGCGCTGGATAAGTGCGGGTTGGCGGACTTCACATGTCTTTCGAAAACTTAAAAAAAATATTTATTTATCATGAGATAATTCTTACGATTTTTCTTAGTGTCAAAATACAATATCTGATAGTAGAAATCTTTCTAGATCTTTCTAGATTTTATATTGGTTGTCCGACCTTTTGTGTTGTTAATATTAACCAATAAGCATTTTTTATTGTAGTACCTACTATGTTAAAGCGAAAGCAAACAATCTAGTTTACATTTTCTCTTTAATGTGGTATTTGTTATTTATTTATTTTTTGTTATTTATTTTCTCTTTAATGTTTTAAAACATCTCCAATCTATAAATATAAATAAATCTCCTGGTCCTGATAGTTTACCTTCATCATTTCTAAAAAAATGTGCAAATAATTTATATAAGCCATTATGTAAAATTTATAATAAGTCATTGGAAACTGGGATATTTCCTTCTGAATGGAAAAAGGCTTATCTATCACCTATTCATAAGGGTGGAGATGTGAGTGATGTGAGTGCATACCGTCCTATTTCGTTATTATCAAATTGTGGAAAAATATTGGAATCAATAGTTAATAAACATATAATGAATCATGTACGTCGGTACATAAATTGTAACCAACATGGCTTTTTACCCGGTAAGTCAACAGCGTCTAATTTAGTTTCTTATGTATCTGATATTGCAGAAGGTTTAGATAAAAAGAAAGAAGTCCATTCTATATATACTGATTTCAAAAAAGCATTTGATCTAGTGAATCATAAATTATTGTTAAAGAAAATTGAGAATATGGGTATCCACGGTAGTTTGTTAAGATGGATTGAATCTTACTTAAAGAACCGCTCGCAGTTAGTATATATTCGTGGTTTTAAATCAGAAGAGTGCGAAGTAACTTCTGGAGTTCCCCAAGGGTCACATCTTGGCCCATTGCTATTTTTAATATTTATTAATGATTTATGTAATAATATTAAATCAAATTTTAAATTTTTTGCCGATGACTTAAAAGTTGATCGTGTTATGAATGATGATTCTGATAAGGAAATTTTACAAACAGATGTAAACTTTATTGTCAATTGGTGTAATTTTAATCAAATGTATCTCAATTCCACGAAGTGTTTCTTTTTAAAATTTTCGCGAAAAATTAATTCTGAACCAGTTACATATCATATTAATAATTTACCTATCCAAGAAGTCAAAAGTATCCGAGACCTGGGTGTTATATTCGATAGTTCTCTTAGTTTCAGGCAACATTTTGATAACATAATAAAAAAAGCTTCAAAATTATCAGGTTTTATTAATAGACAACTAAAGTTATTTAAGCAACCAAATATCACTATTCTTATATTTAATACATTAGTTCGAAATTTATTGGAATACTGTAGTACAGCATGGAGCCCATCCTATCAAATTCACGTAAATAGATTAGAATGTGTCCAAAAAAGATTTTTATATCACGTATCCTACACAGACAACAAATGTCATGAATTAAATTCTTATATACAAAGACTAAGTCATTACAAAGTTATTTCTCTATCTACACGTAGGAAAATACTTGATATAATTTTTTTGTACAAGTTAATTCATGGGTATATTGACTCACCTGATCTTTTACAACGACTGAACTTTTGTATACCACGTCCTAGTAGTCGTCTACAAAATCGTAAGACATTTTGTCTTCCCAACGCGAGAACTAATGTAATAAGCCACTCGCCCTTATTCCGCATGTGTTCAGCGTATGATACTATTCGTTTTAAATTAGATATTTTTAATAATACCTCTATAGCCTATTTACGTAAAAAATTAAAGCAAATTGTTTAGTTTAATAGCTGTAATTCATATAATTTTTTTTAAGATTTTTCTTTATTGTTAGTAGATAAAAGCCGTTCCTCATTGTTACCGTAGTTTAAATCTTGTTTTTTGTAATATTAAGTTTTGTTATATATGCATGCTGTGTCTGCATCTAGAAAAATGCAATCTTGTGCATTAATTTTGCAAGCTATTCTTATTTTATATGTATTTGATTGTCATTTGTTTTGTGGACCACTAAACACAAATAAATAAATAAATAAATTTCATTTTTATAGGTCAACTGTACCAACATCTATTACAATTCTGTGAATCTAACGTCCCACAAACAAATTTGTATGAATTTTTAGAAGAAAAGATATCGTAGAATTTATTAAATTTCAAGAAAATTTTGTGCTTGAGCGATTGTTTTAATTTAAATTGTTAAATAAAAAAAATCATTTGAACCATAGTTTTGTTTTCCCATTTTATCTATTATATGTTTAGTGCCTATAAATGAATTACAATAACAAAATGTATAGATTAAAATAAAACACATACCTAATATAATTAAAATTATTTATTATCCTTCCTCATATTTCTAGCATACTAAACGTAATAAGTGTATAATAATAAATAATTGAATAGTAATTTAGTTTTGAAATATTTCAGCCATATATATAATAACTCGATAATTAATGTTAAGGTTTTTAACTAAACGAGACATGCAAAGTAGGCAAAGAGTTATTGTATTAGTTTTATAAAAACGTGGTTCTATTACAGTCGATTAGCTACAGTATTTTGCTAGACTAATAAAATAAATATAAATTAATTACCTAGCGACGCTTCAAATAAGTTAACTCTCTTACATTACAAACTTTGGCGAAATATAACAATATAATTTATGATTCATTAGAACAGCCTAGCTATCAAATGCACTGCTGGTAACTTTCAAGTTTTTTTATCTGTTTGTGCTGTCCACGGACGTAGAAAATGGACTCGGAATTTGTTATCTGTATTCTGTATGGCATTTTGGCGCCATTATTGACAAAAATATATTTTTTTCATTTTCAAAAATAAAATAATTTTTATGTGAAATATTTGTGAATTCTATAGCTGATAAGCAAGAACTTTTAAAATATTTTTTGTGTTGAAATACCGATATCCATTTTATATGCCGCTTTGTGTGGACTTTATAACATTCACTAAAGAACGTTTGCTTGTGCAAATTCGACAGCTATCGTAACCTATTTTGGTGTATCATTTCATAATACAATGCGGCAGGAAGTTAAATGATACCACTTAAAATGTATATAATTGTATCAAGTTTCCAAGTACAGATATACAAAAAAAAACACTTAACAAGTTAAAATAACCCGCGTTCAAATGTGGCGTTTTCTTTGATAGTTCATTAAATATTATGTAAAATAACAACATATTTTGTTTATTCGTACTTGGAAACGAACAAGCGAGCAACTAGCTAATATATATGCCTACTATCGAACTTCTCTAATACGATTTAAACCGTTCTTTTGTACATTAAGTTTAAAATGCATTGAAGAAATCCGATAGACGGTTTGTACTCATTACAAAGGTAAGTTCTTTGCCGCGTGTGAATCGCATAAAATTATACTAATTTAACAATTTTCATTTACCCACAATTGCAAAATAATGCAATTCTTACATTAAAATAGGAAAAACTGAGTCCAGTACAAGTAGGTAATGTAGTTGTGGAGGCTATCAATCAACGTATTCATAGATTTAGTTCTGTTTTGTTGACAGCAATCAGTGTTATCATTATTTATAATATACTTCATTCATATTTTACGAGTGACAAAATCCACATATATTCAATTAACAAATCGCATAACGCTGTACCTACTATTTTAATTCTCTTATGTTACATTGTAGCAAATCTATGGTATATAAAACTATATAATTTTAAACAAATCGCATCCTGACAAAAGCGGCTATCTGAGATTTTTATTAAAACGATTTTACAATTTCCTTACATAGATCGCTAATCATCATGTTCTATAATTAAATTGAAAAAAAATATTTTAAGTGTAAAATACACTCGAATAAGATGTCAAATGTACAATTTGTCTTAACATTAAATTAGTTTATGTATTCGAGCAAAACGGAACGGTTATGGGAGATAGTGAATTATATAAGGGCTCAATGGACGATCTTTACAAGCGTATATCACAGACACCTGTAGAGGTATCCCTTTGCTAAGCTATTCGTTACCAGTCTCTGCTCTGTTCGACGTCTTCTGTTAAAATACTAATTATATATCAGTAAAGTTTACATGAAGGTCTAAAATGAAATATAGACAGATTTGTATAAAATTTCTAGTTTAAAGTGTTATATAAAGCGAAAACGCAACAGAGCAGGCTGTTTATTCCTAAACTATTCCAACATAAGTTATCCAGAACAATGTATGGGACGTTCAATACATACTATCAAACCGTGCAAGCGAATGTGATCTGAATATTATTCTGTACAAAGACCAAAATGGCATGCACACATTTGATTGTCAATAGAACTCGGTCCCTATATACTGAAAACGATTGTATTTCTTTCAAAATAGTAAAAAGGACTAAGCATGCCTATAAAAGTAGGAAAATCTTCAACAATTGTGTTAAAATTATATTTTAAATACTTAGCCAAGTTTATTTTCAGCGTATTGTCGTGTTAGGGAACTTTAGAGTGCAGTAATTCTAAGGCTCCACCCTTATTAGAAGCGTCTGTACCAACTTAACTGTGATGCGATTGTTTTAACTTTTAATACACGCGTGAAATATAATGCCAATATTTGCTTGAGAATATAATCTAATATATTATAATCCTCCATAAATAATTAATAAATATCATTATCATAAAAAGTTTCATAATAAGGATGGGGCCTAACATACAAACTTTTTGGTTAATGTTTTTATTTTATCTAATATGAATTTTCAATTCATAAGCAATGCTTAGTCGTTTAGACTATTTGAAGATATTTTGTTTTCTACATGGTTAATGATTATAAATCCCTTAGCATAAACACAGCGACACCCTGTCACCCGCCCGAGTGGCCTCGGGGCAAAACGCTAGTAAGCTCCTAAGTTAGATATGACTTCAATATGTTATGTACACTTGGAACTATGAACTTTCCAACAATAATTTCTACATTTTTGAACAGCAAAATATAATTACAACGACTAGGTTATGGTAAAATTTTCTAGACCAACTCCCATTAACAAATCAATTCCGTTGCTGTTTTTTTTTAATTGGAAACTATAAAAATTATATCTTCAGTTATAGAAAGTATATGTGAATGTTTAAAATTATTTGCAACTTAACGAGTATTCTAGTAGAAAGTTTTTATAATATTAGATATATTTGTATAAAGAAAAAACCGAATGCAATCTATGCAGCAATATTTGCACTACAATATTCAGAACTAGGTGTCCAGGGCTTATTTCGTATTTGGTTCAATAAGTTGTTAGCTCTTATTAAATATTTTCATGTTTTCGTTATTTTATGTAATGGGTTTGTTTGTACATAGCAGTTTTTGAAGTTGTTTTAACGGACGGCGCTTTTCTAAAAATTTTGACGCTACTAAAAGCTTCATAGTAAAGTCAGCAGCAGACGTTAGCAGAGCTAAAACATAAACGTCTATATATATATATATATATATATATATATATATAATACTTACTTATAAATTCCTAATATAACCAAACGGATGGTATTACACCATCCATATAATGCATGAATCACCGTACTATATCAATAAATCGTAATAAACCTTATTAAAATCTAAAGATACATAAAAATCAAAGGCAACATGAAACAATATTCTGGATAACTTATCAAAAACATTTTTATACTAGAATTCTTGTAAGGGTCAGTAGGCGTTTTTACAGAGACCTTAGAACCATTTTTTAATACATGTGGTGAAAGTAGTAACAAATACACATTTTATAATATTAAGTACGGACTTTCATCCGACTGTTTAACTATTTAAAATTTTTACGCAATCATAAAAATATGAGATTACAATAAAAGGGTGTAAAAGGTAAAATATAAGAAAAGATAAATAAGTAAGTAAAATAGTGCTTGAAGCTAAACTATGCTAAGCGATTGAAAAAATAAATTAACGAAGGAGATATGACTAGACCTTTTGTTTCATACTAGGTTCTACAATTCATAAAAGCACTATGCGCATCTCTTCATATCTTTATTATATAAATAGATATATAATCATATGCTTAATAATTTCGAAATCTAATATTTGTTTATTCCTGACTGAATATTGGCAATCATCTTACTAACTAGCAAAGGGCGGTGCATGATGAATGAGGCATATTAAACGTTACGACGCGGGTGCGATACGACGGTGCGACATCGCGCCTCGTGTCGCACGGCACCACCCAATGGACTACCTATTTCGCCTAAATATTCCTTCAATTCACATACCGTTTACAATTCCTCCAAACTAGAATGTTCCAACTATCAAGGCTACGCGAGCGCTACGACGAAGTAATTTGCGAACGATATAAATATTTTATAAAATTTTAGAAGTTAAATAGTTTTACAATCAAATTCGATTTCGTAATACTAAGATGTATTAGATCGATTCAGCAAAACTTGCCGTCGTCGATGACATGAAATGTTCTGTTTATCTTTTGTAATACTTATTGTGATATTATTGATTGCGAAATAATACATACATGTTCGTATTTAAGAGTATTATATTTTTGTTCAAAATCAATGAGATCACGGTCTTATTAGGATTCTAATTTTTAAATATAAACTAGTAGAACAATGCAACGGCAAATACGTGTCGATCGTTACGTTATAGTGTGATTAAGATGATAAGTGAATGAGGATACACAAGTTAAGAATCCCTGGATGAAGATTATGAAAGTGCTGAGATAATATTAAATAAGAGGGCGAAGCTAGTTTATTTAAGCCGCAAGTGACATGAAATATGGAAACCGTTACGCTACAATAGTGATGAGAGAGTATAAAAATTCGCGACAGACTACAGTGGACCCGAGAGTGAAGCGGCGCGGGCGCCGCCGCCGGGAGGCCGATGTACGACGAATCTATCGTTTTCATCATCCCCTGACTTCTTTTGTCACCGGTCAAGATTGACAGTTCTCTGTCATTGACATATTTAGTATCTACTTGTGGCCGCAGAAATAGTCAGCGAACGAAGAAGGACGAGTTTAGAAAGTTTGGCAAAATCTGCCTACATGAGAAACATTTAGACACATTTAAATAATTGCAAAGCATACCCTGTATCCTAGAATCACTTTGTGGGCGATCATTTATACATTCTGAGAGGATATTTTAATCTATAGAAATTGCTTTTTTGCAATATTATTAGGGTTTTTTTTATTTATTTTAATCAGTATAAAGATATAAGTACAAGATTAGCCGCTCGAACTTCTTCGCAGTGTGCGTCGAGGCCGAGCGAGTTACGTCTACTTTACCCACGAGGTGATATAATCGTTACTCGATATATCCTAAGTATACGTGTTCCGCTTTGGCATCGATTTATTCTGTAACCTAATAGCGTACGATGCGACGCGGCAGTGTGCGTCCGCCACCGCCCTCCGCTGCCGTGCGCTGCACTCCACCTTCGACCCGAGTTTGCACTTGCTTACAAATTTTGATTCCAATCGTCTATAATTCGAAATTAAATAATATTGTTACTTTGATCTAACAATATTATTCAAGACTCCGTCATATAAAATATCTGGATATACAAATTTCGAGTTAATACCGTTCCATAACACAATGGTATAATATACCCACATAGAGCATGAGTCGTACAACTGCAATGGTGTTGACTAACAAAATCGTCAGTAGCTTTTACCAACGAATTTGTCTTTGCGTGACCCCGACAAAATATTTGAATTAAGTTCCTTCGTTCTGTAAAACGAGACCAAGTCGAGGAATAACTTAAATGAATAACATAAATAAATTCTTACTAATTACCAAAAGTAAGGTCGCTAAACAATTTAAAAAGCGTAACAATATTGCACGAACATGAATTGTGGAGAAAAGAACTAGGTACCTACGCTTTGAACGATAATGGTACTTTCATATCGCTTTAACTTACGCGGCTTATTAATAAATTAAACGCCTAAAACTAGAATACTATATCAATATAATATAATTATTTGTGTAAATATAAAATTCTATGTCTTGTGGTGTGAGTAATATTTGACTAGAGGCGGGCGGCGGCCAATAGATCGCTACCGCACGCGGTAAGCAGAAACATTACGACACCTGCACACAGAAATTAACATTTCTCGTCATTACAATATTTGTAGATGGTTCCTTAGATATATCTAGTCGGTTTACTTTACCATTTTTTAAATATAAGCTAGAAGTGTTCATTTAGGCAAAAAATACATAAGTCGCATTTTTTTAGAATTAATAATATGTTAATGCCATTAACGTAACAATGCATGACCAAAAATTATATTTTCTGTGCCAGGTCGCGTCTCCTTCGAACCATCTTTTTTAGGAGTGAAATGTAGAAATACTTTGCCTAATTTATCGCGGATTATATTTTTAAGCGGACGGAGATTTTTAGCTGTGACTGTAATAAAGGTTTTGGATGTAGGGATAAGGATGTATAACGAAAATTTTAAATTAGTGCTTATTTTTGCCAACAAATTTGGAAGCGTTACTGCAACTCGTAAATAATATGCAAAATCCTATATCCATAATGTATTTCAACATTTAACTCCAATAGGATGGATAGGAAAGGATATTTGAATATTTTTATAAATAGTGTACCAATAATATGAAGCCGTGAAAGATGATTTTGACGCGAGGAAAAGAGAACGTCAATATCTCTCTTTTACTCCACGTCAAAAATATTATGCTCCAAGACACTCTTTATAAAAATAGATTTATTTATGCCAAAAACGTTTACGCCAATTTACGCTCAATATGCTCCTAAGTAAATGGCACATACATTTTTGACCGATGTTTTTAAAGCTGTTGTTTAAATACAACGGCACACCGGGGTACAGAACCCGCCCGCGCGCACGCATTATCATCTAAGGTATCTCATTATTATAATTTTATATTGGTACGTTTTGATTATGAATCTATGTTTTCTGTAGAAATTACACTAGTGTTTGTAATCTGTATCGCTCACTGTCGACTCCCCGGACGTACACCACTGCTAACACCTTAACATGTATAGATTTATATGTTTATATAGACACACACGAAACAAATATATTGGGACGCACGCTCTTTGAGAATTGACATCGCATTTCTGCGAGTTACCGCCCGCATACCTATATATTTTTATCTGTACAATTTCCTAGTATATATATATTGAAGGCGGTTGTTTTTGGGGAAACAGACGACAATATAGAGTTTGGCACGTACGAGAACCGTCCCTAAATCTAAGGTATTTTGACTAAAACATTGAAGACTATCTACAACTCTTCTAGGTATAACCGGTAACGTTTTCGACGCGCCAATTTCTATTCTAAGCGATCCAAATTATTGTCAATATCCACCATAGGTGCCATTTAGGTGCCTCTATGTATGATTTATCTTGTAAAAATTATTGTAAACCTTAAAATCTGCAATTTGTATAAATTAGGATGGCACTTAAGATTTGAGAAATTAAATGTTAAGTAGATGTAGTAAAGACTGAAATATCATAAAATTTGTCGTATCTTGCAAAGTAATTAATAGTTCACGACTTCCAAGTACAGTTCATTACAAAATTTAAGATTAGAAAGCGAAGCAAATTATTTTTATTCCACTTAATTTTGATATCTACATGTAAATTTGTATGCGGGCAGTGTTATAGAGCGTAATATTAAATATGCATAGACGGCCTGTACAATCCATTATTTTGATATCATATTTTTATATCACAGCCCATTTTGGAATTTACAACAAACAAAACAATATTTCAAAATGAAGGCCTTAAGTAATCGGTAATGATGAAGTGCACTTGGCTTTGTACACGGCGTTATATGAACATTTATTTTAATGTCAACAACATTGTGTTATTTAATTTTACTAACATGTAGGTAATCAATGGACGCCGAGCTGGACGTATAGAGCGACGCAAAATATGTAATAATTTAGATAAATATAAATCAATATTAGATAAGCTATGTACAATTTAAACCACGCAATACAAGATTGTTTCAAAGTGAATAATACAAAATTATTTAATATTGTATTTAAATAATCTTCAATCTCTTAATAGTCAAAGCCTTACAGTACTAAGGTCTAATCCATTTTACGCATCTTTCAAACAATCTTATTACAGATTCAAAAGAGTTTCAGCTAAAACGTAACAGCTCAAAATGGTCCAGCTCAGCTATTAGCTTATAAACACACACACCAATAAAATTTAACAAAATATAGGACAATTTACTCCAATAGTGATATATACCACAGTTCTTATATTATGCGAGTGTACGTTGGGGAGGTTACAGTGTCCGCGAGTTCAGGGTCCGGGCGATGCCTTTGTTTTGCGCTCGTATTCATCAACGTCTCTTAAGTGTAAAGAAAGAAGCAGCTCGATCAGCTGTTTCATTGACAAAGTCAACAACTACTCGTTTGTAAAGTTAGTTGAACACTTGAGAAACATTTACGAATACGAAGCCAAGTCTACGGCTAACGAAATCAACGTAGAACGAATCGCGCCGAGACTATCAGCGCCATTTACTCTAAAAACGAAACAACAATACACAAAGATGTTCGCCCAACCCCGAAATTACAATATGCAATATACAATAATTAAAATACATTCTTCTTACTCTCAACTTACTTAATAAATTCAGTTTGGCTTAGTTCAAGCAAATAACTAGTAATAAATTTATGTTAAAAGTTTTTCAGTTAAACGTTAAGTACTTAGAAGTAGAAGTATGATTACAAATGACAAAATTTTTATAACGTGTCATTTAATAATAATAATTTAATCAAAGTTAATAAATTGTATATATAATAATATAATAGAGTAATTTAATGATTAATCGATAATGATAAGAATGAAGCTTTCCTACGCGCTGATCGATAATTACATTAACTAATATAGTATACCCGCCGCGAGGGCTTGTATATTTCTTTAGGTAAGTAATGTAGTTAATGATATTTAGTACTATACAATTAATATTTATTAAATTCCTTAGAATTCTTGATAAAACGCATACAAGTGCACCACGGGCGAATGTAATTTCCAGGCAGCCTTCTGAAAGCAAAACGCTGTTATGTAATTATATCAATACGTATGAGTGAAAATAATAGTTTTCTATTTTAATAGAGATTTTTAATAGACACAGAGAAGTAAAAATATCAAGGAAACAGAATATTCGAGAAAATTTCATGAAATTGGATGATACTAGCACTTGTTATATTTATTTTATAGTACTAATATAGTGACAAGAATGTAGAACAAGAATATCGCACCTGGGGGCTGGGAAAGCACGCGGGGACGGCGTTAGGGGTTAATAAGGCCGGTTGGCATCCTTTGGCCGTTTCAGCTGGACCTTTAGTCGTTTCATGCCAATTTGAAAGCCGTTCATCGCTTGGATGGCCGCTTGGGCGGACGTCGGGTTGTCGAATGACACGAAGCCTATGAAAAGAACAAAATTAGAAAAGATTATATATTGAAAAAAATCAATTAGCTTTTTTTCATTCAATGCTTCAAGGATTTAAGTTTATTTACACATACCAAAACATTTGCTCTGATTGGTAGCGCGATCAATGAAGACCTTGCTGCTGATCACGTTTCCAAATGGGAGAAACATCTGCATTAACTCAGCATCACCAAACTCCTGTGGTAAGTGGTAAATGAAGAGGTTGCAGCCCTCGGGCCCCGATATGGAGCAGCCTGGGAACACGAGAAAATCTTTAAAGAACTCACAAATCTGCCTTTAGACACCCAGATTCGTAGTAAAACTAACGTGAGTAGATTATGTGAGAAAAAACTAGAAGATTAAACGTGAATGCGTCATGTTTTAGTAATAACGTGTCTAACATATTAATACAAATAGTATACTCGTAGCTCTTTAAGAACATTGTCTTTTTTTGAAATAAGAAAAATGGTTTCGTTCATAGGAATTGTGACTGGTCATTATTAGAAGAGGAATTATTTTGCCGATTAGGTACATTATTATTTGTTAATATTTTGATATGTGATACTATTGTATCTGATATGTTTAATAAGTATCATAATTCTTATATTATCTATACTAATATTACCTATAAAGAGGTAAAGTTTGTGAGATTGTGAGTTTGTAACTTTGTGATATTGTAGGGGGTAATCTCTGGATCTACTGAGATACCGATTGAAATTTGGTAAGAAGATAGTTCGAGACCTAGGAAAGGACATAGGATACTTTTTATCCCGGAAATCATCCCTTAAGGGGGTGAAAATGGAGATGAAAGTTTGTATCGGGTAGCAAGCTAGTGACGGGCGAAGCGAGGGTGAGTCGCTTGTATTTTATAAAACGTATTCACGCAAAAACAAGTTTAGGTTAGTTTAGCCAAGAGATCCATCCTATCGAAGATTAGATTCTGCAGTCTGAAACTAATGTATACAGAACATTTACACACAAAGAAGCACAGATAACAGATAATACGGTGACACAGTTAAACGGTAATGTTAAACGTTAAAGCTAAACGCAAAGCATTCTATTTAACACTACAGTCGTGCGATGTTTCCAAACAGACGACATCGAAACTATTAACATATAATAGTGTGCACGAGGAAGTATGTACTAACCTCAGACTAAGAAATAACTTAAGATGAAGCCAAATGATTAGGTTTTAATATAATATCTATATAATGTTTTAAAATAGTATACAAATGACAAATTGTATACTAAGTTATAAGTAAGTAAATGTTAATAAATAAATAGTTAACGGAATTTATTATGATAAAAAATAAATAAAATAAGCTAATGCTATCTCTGTTTCAAGGGGAAGAGATCCTTAAAAAATCCACATTAATATATAGTATAATTTTTTTTTTCATATTTTATTCTAAAATTTTAAATAAATTTAACTAAAACAGGTATAAGATTTCTCTTATTTCTTAAAGAAAGTAAGCGATCTGTATGTTAAAAACGAGAATAGTAGGAGGATCATGGTACTATTTTTGACTTTGACATTTATTTTGGCGGACTCCGTCTTTATAATTCTTTAGTCTGAAGTACTAACAACCATTGTATATATTAAAGTAATTGTACTACTTACTGATAAAGAAAATTTAAAGAATATTATATTGTAAAAGGCTATACTTGTATTTGAATATTATATTATGACTATTGATTAATGATTAGTGTTTCAGAGAGAAAGAAAGAGTGAAAAAGAGAGAGAGAGAGATTGAGAGAGAAAATGAAGGTCATGATCTAGTAGAAGGAAAGTGAAAACGATCTATGAATTCATGGTGACCTAGTCCTCCAGCTTAGGGCCCAACTTACCTTCTCTCTGTGCCGGCGCTATAGTCGACATCGGCGGTGGGATCGGTTGCGGAAACTGCCCATATACCGCGGGGTAAGCTGTTGAACATTAATATGCACATTTTCACAAAGAACACCTATCTTGTTGCGTGGACATGCATTACGACCGACCTAATCAGACATAATTTTTAAGAGAGAATAAGCAGTTACCTAAATGGGATTTCCTATATTTATCCTTAGTGTTGACAATTGATATACGTTATATAATATAAGAAACTATTGTACAAAATGTTATGCTTCTAGATCCAACGGTAAGATTGTGTAATATTTGTTAGTGAGTTAGTGAACATATTTTTTAAATAGGTACTGAAATATTATTTACTTATTGAATACTAAACAGAAAGTTAGTATTACTATTATATCTATAAAAATTATAGACTGTATGTTAATCAGATGTATGCGCTACGTTACTGTTAAGTTTCATGAAAATCCGTTCAGTAGTTTTTGCATGAAAGAGTAATAAACGTTCATCCACCATCACAAACTTTCACGTTTATAGGATTACCTATAATCTAATATTAATTAGTCGGATAGCTATTTTATTTAAGTTATAATTATTTGTTTCATAACATTCTTCATAAACAATTTAATTATTGACAAAGAATTTGAAACGTTGTTTTATTTAATTATACGGAAGGCATTTTTACATAATATAAAGGTAATAAGTAGTTCCGAGAAAGTTTATTTTAGTTTGTAGGTAACTTTCGTATATTAAAATGCTATCCAACTTAACTTGAATACATATATATCAATATGTAACATATATGCTGTCCTAGATTTTTCATTGTATTATATTCCTTTGAATCGAGGTCTTTATTTAGTAAGTTATTAGATTAAATAACGTTTTTCTATTCATGTCTGATTAGATTGGTCGAGCTTTTCATATAGTTACATTCATATAAAGCCTATGATATCTATAATAATGATTAGCTATACGTTGAGGTCATAAATATTTTTTCGTAGTGATATCTTTTGCTTTTCAATTTTTATTATTTTAATCATATTATAACCACTTATCTGTTATAACAGGTTAAATTGATTAATTGTGTTTTTTTTTACGGTTTGATTATACATTTTTTTAGTGTATAACAAAATAAAAATAAAATATATTCAAAAATATCAAAGAAATAAAAACATTTAAGTACAAATTATGTACATACATACAATAAACAAGCTACTATGTGTTCGGAGTCCTGACATTCATGAATAACAGCTCAGTGCAAGGATACAAAATCGAATTGACATTGTATTATACATTTTCAATAAATTGTATGGATACAATATCATACCACTGTAATTCATTTTTATAGCAAAATGTGTGATTGGAATAATAAAATCGATTATTCTTGTTTATGATCAGTCATACACATTTTCAGCTACGAGTATCATTTCTTGGTACAGTTTATCGTTTTTTAAAGAAGGAAAAACAATATTCGGAATTTACAGCCTTTACGTAAATAATCAAATTTTAAGGCCTGCCAAATGGGCGATGTACACTTTTTGTTTATTTAACTGATTGATTAATGTTCTAATATTATTTCGCGGTGAGGACGTCAAAGTTTTCTCTTCTCGGTACATTATTTATCGGGATTTTGTATCGAAATTGACTTGAAAATTATTGAAAGTAATAAATCCTTTTAGGAATTACAAAATACAAACAATATTTTGTTTCATTTGTCAGCTGTCAAATCAGGATTTGCTTTGTTCGAAACTTTGAGAGCACCTGGATTGTTTAAGATGTTTTTTATTAAATAATAATCATGCACCCGAATATTTATGTTTGTTTCGATGTTTTTAGCATTGTTGTTGTATTCTAAATATACACATAGAGGTGACGAAGCATATACCAGACATTCATTGTTGTATTGAGTACATCAAGCGGTACTCACCTACGCCGGGGAAGGGTTGCATGCCGGGGTACGCCGCGTGTTGCAGTGCGGCCTCGCCGTTAGGTATGCCTTGTGCTGTCACTGGAACAGCTGGAATGTATTACATCAATATGATATTGATGATCGATGATTCTTTCGTTAATTTTTATTTGGCGAAGACTCGTTATTATTATTCGATTTTTCTTTGTTATGTGTCTGTTAAAATTAAATAACCGAGAGCCAACTAAGTTTTAAAATATACTACTCATATGACACGTTTGTATGCCAATCCTATAAGTAGGTACAGCGTGAAAATATACTTAATTTCACACGTCTAAAAGCTAGAAATAAAGAATTGTATATGTTTTGCTGTTAATTTTTTTATTAGGGAAGTTACTTGTCCACAATATCTCAAACATTTCAAAATAAAGGATTTATATTTTTATAGTACAAAGTTAATATACTCTGTACTCACGGCCAGTAAAAGTCTGATGAATGCCATTAGTGTAAACGGCTTCTTGTGGTGGCGGTTGTCCGTTGGCGGTCTGTGCGGCCATGTTGAACCCGGGCATGGTGGGCGACGGCAGAGATGGCAACGCTCCGTTGAGCGGCTGTCCACCTGTGCCTATCGCTAGACCCGAGAAGTTATCTGGAATGAAATACGGGTTGATGAATATATATGCTATTTTTTATTTTAAAATAGGTAATCGAGCGTTTGGACCACCTAATGACATGATGAAATGTGATGACAGCTCTCAATATTTGGGAAGTTGCGATGCGTTGGCTACCTTTGAGATGTATTCTGTATGCATAATTTTTGGTAAAAGTAACTTTCATAGTTATTTTTGTACTAAATGAACGTAGTCTTACAGCACAATATGTACTTTATAAGTTAGACATAACTAACATCGCAATCGTAAATGGTACTGTGACATTTTTCATAATTTAATTTTGATCTTTTATGAACGACCGTCCAACTTGACTAAATTACTAATCAAGCCTTTTTGTAATACAATTATGTAGCTACAATTATTACATGCCAACGAATGATGTTTGAAAGAATTCTAGGTATTCTGTAAAAAAACCAATTTCTATTAAAATTCTTAAAATACACTCGCAATAAAGTAAAATTACCAGAAGTGGGAGGCACGACAGAGTTGGCCATGCCGTTCAGAGCGTGCGATGCGAGCGCAGTCATGGGGCTTATGTAGCCCTGTGCAGTCGCAGCGACCATCAAAGCTGCTTGTTGCTGGTAATTCAAAATAATAATAATATTATCATTTTATGTAAAACAATTAATGAAAACGTAATAAAACTTAGGATTAAACTATGTTATTTAGTAACTTATGTAATGAAAATTTTTGATTAAAATAACTTTTCCCATTAGATCGTTGAGAAAATTAGAAATAGCTTTATCCAATATTTGTGAATATCAGTATAGTATTCGAAAGGTGAAAGTTAATCAAAAGCAATCATATAAAATATTGCCTGCCTAAACATATTTTGACCTTTCGTCAATTTATCAATCTGCTATTCAAGATTCTATACATAATATAATAAAATTCTATCGGAGTCGAATCTGTACATTAAATATGTTTTTTGGAAATTTTATTGAAGTAGTCATTATTATCGATACAGAAGCCGAATCTTAGTTTTTAGAATTTTTGTCTGTCTATCTGCGAACGCATCACGAGAAAAGCATTTGATGAAATTTGGTATGATGATAGCTGTTTATCCGGGTCAACATATAGGATACTTTTGACTGCGGGATATTATCTAATTTCTGATAAATCTTATCTAACTGCTAAAACGTACCTAGGGACGAACCCGAGCGAAACGAGGGTGAGTCGTTAGTACTATTATAAGTCTATAGAATATCGTCAACTAGAGTTATTATTTCAAACAGTTGAAGAATAGACATGTAATGAAATATATTGGAATGATATTAGGTATATTATTTTCAACGACAAACCGATCAAATTTGTTTCAGTATAAAATTTAAAATTCAACTATAATACTACTGTTGAAGTTTGACATTTTATCTAAGCCCAAGGAAGTTGGAATGGGAATGCAATTGGAATTTAAATTTCTATGTTTCTTTAAAAAAATACGAGATTTATACATATAATACAAAATTTTATCCCCTATTTATCATTCTTATTTAATATACCTGTATTTAATAAAAAACGTGTGTGGGAACTTATGTACGCACGTAGGAAGTTATAGGTACTTCTTTGGCGTAACAGAACAAAAATAGCTAAAGATTTAATCCTGTATGTCACAACTCTCTGGTTGTAAAAGGAATGCACCTAAGTTCATGTTGCTTTCAGCTAACTTCATCATGTTGCTTTTTGGCTGTCGGTGTGCGCGCGCATCGTAAAAATATAAATCTCCTATTTTTTTCAAACGTGCCCAGAGAAGTATAACTTCAAAAACAATCAACCAAACAACCCAATACTTTTTACCGTGTTAGTAAAAAAGAATAATCAATTAAGTTGCACTAAAATATAGTAACGTACTTGTAGATCAACTTGCTCAGTGATGACTTGCGCATAGGTACCGTACGCGCCGAACTGATTGAACACGAAGGGGTTGAGCAGGCTCATGTTGCTGGCCATCTGCTGCATCCGTCGCAATTGGCGTTCTTTCTCCGTGTCTGCGAACTTCACTACTAAACTTGAAGACGCTCCCTGGAACAAAATGAATTTTACAAGTGAGAATGATTTCAACGTATCTAAATATTTAATCGGACTATTATTTTTAATGCGAAAGTTTGTATGTGTGTCAAAGTGTATAAATGTGTTACTCCTTTAAAGGGCCGGTCAGATTTGGATCAAATTTATTACACAGGATAGACTGTGACCTGGAGTAACACAGGCAGTTAGGTCCCTAGGGACGCCCCCAAGCGAAGCGAATGTATATCGCTACTAATGAACGATTTTTTAATACACAGTATGTTTAAGTAACGACAAAATATGCTATTTACCTCACAAAGGAAGTATAAAATAAATTAGTCACATTTCGTTTGCTAAAATTCAACAATTAAATTATTTCGATTCAATTAATCAAAAATAAAGACATCTCATTATTTAAATAAGTAGTGCCTAGTATTTGTAAAAGGCTTTTGTAGCGATTCTTATTATACTAGCAGCATCAAAACGTTATAAAGCGACGATAAAATCAAAAGACAAAATATGACTCAGCGAGAAAAGTAACCGTAAACATAAATAAAACGGGAGCTGGGAATATTTCAATTATCACTTAATTTAACGAAGTGTTGAAGGAGAAAAGGCAATCTTTCATTACGGCGATGGACGATCTCGATATGAATGTTGCGCACCCTTTCTCTTCCACAGTAATAAAAAAGTGTTCTGAGAGGAAATATTGCGAAATTCGTCTTTCCCAAATCTGATTTGTATTAAAATGGGAGTGTTTTGGTTTCCGGCCGTTATATTTGTAACCAAATTGTAATTACGTAATTATTTATATGTTCTTACTTTAATGTTATTTGCATACGAATTTTGAATGTTGATAATTCAAGATAAGGAGTAACATAGACAGAGTGTCATAGAACTAAACATGAAGCCAAACAATAATGCAAAATACATTATGTATACAAATTATAATTTGTAATTTGTATTGTGATTGAGTGATGAGTAAATAAATGTTAATAAATAAAAATAGCTAACGGATTTTATTACAATAGTGGAAAAAAATAAAAAAGCTAATATTATGCTCTCTCTCTTAAGGAGAAGAAATTAATGTTTAAGAAATACAAAAAATATAGTATTATTTAAGATTCATTTATATTCTCAAAAATTGTATATTAATTTAACTAATTTATATGTAAAATTTCCCTTATTCTTTAAATATAATAAGTGATCTGTATAATTCTTTAGTCTAAGATTGATAATAATAGTTTGAGATTTGAATAACAAAATAGTTTTAAAAGCAATTGAAAACTGTATGAATAATTATGAAAATCAAACCAAAGTGCTATATCTAAGAATAGTTAAGTAATATTCAATACTAGTAGAACCCGCGGCTTCGCTCGCGCTAAAACTACAAAAAAATCTATAAAAAAGTAGTTTCATACAAACTTTCATCCCCTATTTTACCCCCTTATAGGATAAATTTCGAAAAATGCTAAAACACGTATTTCATTGAAGGGCATTAATACCAAGTTTCACGTAATTCTTATCAATTAAACATTTTTTGGATTGTATTATAATCTGCTTTCCTGTGGGAATTAAATAATCTCTCGCGGTTAAAAGTAGCCTATGTCACTCTTCAGCCCTCTAACTATCTTCACACAAAAAATTAATGCCAATTTGTCACTCCGTTTCGGCGTGAAAGAAGGACAAACAAACAAACACACTTTCACATTTGTAATATTAGTATGGATTATGTGAAGATTAATTTATGGCATTTCATTTAACGCTCGTGTACATTTCGCAGTTGTGGATAATAGCTCCGTCGTGATAGATATCGTGTCGTCCGCCGCCGGCAACTAATAACTGTATTAGATACTTCACAAGAAAATCTATTATGTACCTAACTTATTACTACATATTTCTGTAATAGTCTTTCAAAGTTACGAGAGGATATTTTATGTTATTAGTGGAAATTATATTTAGTGTACTTATAATTAAAAAGAAAGATTAGTAATATAATAAAACTAGCAGAAGTCTCGATTTCGCTCGCGTTAAAACTACACAAAAACTCTTTGGTTTTATGCTATTAGTAATAATGTATGGAAGTCTGCCGGATTTCTTGACATTTATGATGACTGCTCCGCCCTCTTGGGTAGTATCTAGATAATATATAGCATATAGTCTTCCTCAATATTTTTGGGTTATCTAATCTAAAAGGAATTATTCAAATCGGATTAGTAGTTTCTGAGACTAGAGCGTTCAAACAAACAAACAAATGTGTTGCCTCTTTATAATACTAGTATTGACATAAACTTTTTTTTAGAATGACAATAACGAATGTTCTGCCGATAACAGTAACATCCTGTTTTCTTTGTCCTACTGATAATACATCTTAAGAATATAATGTGAAAAAGAGATCAAAACAAATTGAAAAGATTTAACACAAGTTAATATAAGGTTTTATGATTCGTAAACATAGGAAGTTAGGATTTTATTATATACCTTACTCCATTACGCGTAATCGCGGTAGTAAAAAATAAACGGCTACCATTAACAGAGCACACAAACGCTTCAGAGAATGAATCCCGAGCGTCCTTAAAAATGCAAGCTCAGAGGCAATTCTACGGAACTACAATGCCACTAGCGTAGGGTTGCCATGCTACGTTGAAACTAATGCTCCCTCGTTTCCACACCAGTAGACTTATAAAATAACCATATTTTATCTAATATGTATAACAGTTATATGATTTAAATATGTAAATTATTTAAAACTCATGTATATTTTATACTATAAAAGTTACAACCTATATCTCACGTGACACTTCATGGTCAGAAATGTTTAAAATTAAAGCCATTTTGATTTTTATCATTTCCTACCTAATAGCATGTTAGAAAGCCAAATTACTTGCCAACTTACTTATTTCATAAAAAAATACCATATTAACTGCATTTTAAGCCCCTAAACACATCGCTAGATGAAAGATTTCATTTATTCCTACCTCCCTATATCTCTTCTAGGCAAGTACTGGCAATACACAATATGTTATAATATAAAAGAAAACATAAATCAGAGAAAAACGCGTATAGCAACCCTACACTAGCGCATTCATTATGTATTTGAGGCAAAAATATCGCTCGTAGGCTCGGCGAGCAACAGGTTTCCTACCCAATGCAACAAGTACTGGGCCGCGGTCCAAAAATGCATCGCTACTTCCTCTGTAATAGTTCTCCTAATTGACTACTTTGAATGCTAAGTAACTTTGCCGTACCTTGAGAAAGTTTTATGACTTTTTAATGTATTAATAGGGCGTTTATTGTATTTTAGTTTTGGTATTGCAATATTTTATTCTGGTTTTAATGGAATGCATTCTTAATTGAACTTAATTGAACCAATAAAATTTACTTCTAACAAGAAGTAAATTTCATTGGTTCTTTTAAGTGAGAAAGAGATTTAAAAAATAATAGTTATTTACACTTGTTTATATATAATAAATTATATCGTATCAGTGAAAAAAATATATAAACGTGCTTATGTAGATATTACTTAGTACTTTTTAAATTTCTTACAGTATATTTTTAATTGAATTTAAACTTATCTTCTCGAATTCAAGATATTAAGTTAATCTTATAAGAATCTATATGTATTTATTATTATAATCTGTTTATTTGATACGAATATAGAAGATAACGCATTTAATTTTTAATGCAGACGTTTAGATTTTATTTTGTAAATATTTTACAAAATACAAGTCTGGACTTATTTTGATGGATTTTACCCCATTAAATAAGAGGAATTTTAAGCTACCCCAACAGTATTCTGTAAAGATACAATAAATAATAGATTTATTCTACAGCTTTGTTTATTTTGAAGTATAGTGCTACAGTTTTTGCGTGCGCTGCGCCGCATATCTGAATATTGAATAATTCCATGGGATTATTTATTCGGAGTGCGATTCCATTGTTTGCCTTACAAATGTTTACACTCAATATTGGCACTGTTTCGGTGCTCGTGTTTATTTTTAAAAGTATATTTCATTGCCATTTTATGTTAACCTAAATACCTTTTGGATTCATTAATACCACTTTTTAAGTATTGAAAGTTTTTACGAAATTTTGTTATTGGTGTTAACTTAATACTCAATTCTCTAAGTACGTTATATTTTTGAAACTTATTTACAAGAGAATAAACGTTATGGAAATATCAATGTACCTTGGAAGTTCTCTTATCTTCTTTCTTCTTCTGTTCTTCAACTTTATAATGAAAATTAAGGCTTCGATTTGTCATTTCAAAAAAGTTACCATATATTAATCTCATATACAGTCATATTAAGCTAAATGACACTGTCTAAGTTCAAACGACCATTAAAAGTTTTTGTTTGTACATCTGTTTGTATCTATTAATTTCTAATGTGGCATAAATTATTTTTAAAATATTTTTTAAGGGCTTTCCGGGATTGAATCAGGGTCGGATTTGAAGGTGTGAGGGACGCATGATAATTATTAATGAGTACCTCTTATAATACTGTAAATAAATTATATTGCCTTTCCGTTTTTAGTTAGTCCAATCTACGAAACCACAAAAATTTACTTAGATGTATGACTTTCTATTGTGGCGCTCTATATATTATGTATTTGGTATAGTGCCATTTATCTTCCCGTAAATACGGCTCTGGGATAAACAGAATAAATTGGAAGTACTGAGCTATTGATCTAAGAATACGAGTTGTTTTATGAGTTATTTGAATATAAATTTTCCAGGAGTATTCGTCTATAATAAATCGGAATTAAAACTGTGTATGGTCGTTGCAGCAAAATAGTCCTTACACGACCGCGGACACGCCGGCGTTACAGTTAACAATAGATTTCTTAGAAATTTAATTAATTTCTTAGAAATTTACCTGGAGGTGTTAAATTTATTATTCTTGATTCTACTTTGAATAGAAATAAAATTCTTGAATATAATTATGTTCACGTTTTTAATGCCCCCTAATTACATATTTTTTTTAGAATGTGTCAAAAAGTAATAGGTATATAAA